GCACCTGTCTTTCCCAACGAGCAAGAGGAAGAACTGCGCTGCGGCCCCACACCCCCCCAGGACCCGGGGGGTTATCCCGGTCACTTGCTCACTTGTTACTTGTTGCTCCTGACTTAAACTGCAAGTTCCATGCATAAGTTAATGATTACCAGCCTGCAATTGCGGGACGCTGGAAGCAGCTCTACCCCCATGTACCCAGCCACTGCATAGGAGGCAACACTCACACTGTGACAACCCCTTACTTGCCTTCTCAAGGAGCGGACAAAACAACCCTTAACACACTCACCCAGGAGACTGCTCACATATCACTCTGGCACACCGGGAGGGTTGCCGATGGGCAGTGACATCATGACTACCAGGCTGTCTCAGGTCGGACAGTGGCGACCTCAGAGACCCGGAGGAGGCTGATCCCCGTTGCTGTGACCCCCCCTGGGCTGGTCTGTGGAGGGCTGCGGTGGACCAATGGCCGTGGGGCCACATGGACTATGCCTAGGAGAAGTGGCCGGCGATAGATGTCTTACTCACTGAGACTCTAATGGGACAGTGGAGGTGCAGAGGCCGTCTGGTTGGTGGACTCTAGGAGAGGGGGTCTCACGGACTTGGGGGTCCCTCGAGTGCCCGCTGTACAGAGAAGCTCTTGGTGGGGGGCTTTACCAGGAGTTGGATGTTGATGCAGATGTTGGCACTAACGGGTGCCTGATGTTGGTGCATTGAGTGGGCCCTACAGAGGCTTCATAATACCCATCACTATTACAGGGGAACAGGGGCAGAGGGGATGACATGAGATGCATTCACAGGCAGGGATAGCTCTCACCTAAGGCAGGCAGTTATTTTTTTATTGTATTTCTTTACTCGCTTATTTTTTCTCCTTTTAACTCATATAACCTGGCCGCACGTGTTTGGACCAAGATCCCTGGGGTTCACAAGCGGACCTACCCAGGAATCTTCACGTAGGGCCCTATCCTACGAGCCCTTCCACACTCCCGGGGGCACCCTTCCCCTTTTTACTTTTCCCCTTCTCTAATAATTTATTTTATCGCACTATAATTATCCAGATCGCCAGGGGGAGATATACTTGTCACAAACCTAATATGTAGCCTGGGCTGCAGAACCATGACCCCAACAGCAACTCTAAATCCCACATATTTTCGTACCGATTATTAGCTAAATCTATAAGGTACGCGTCTATAATTTTGATGTAAATCCACTAACATTAATGCAGGTACCGGAAGCTACCACTGATAATACTACTAATTAACCTATTCCTTATTATTGAGTTCAATGAGCACAACTTTATAAATGAAAAATACAAGAAGAGGAATGTATCTAATACATGATGCGAGATATATGCATCAAGAGAAGGGGTTCAAAATAGCCAACAAAAGGCCTACTATATAGGCCAGACAGAACCACTAAAATGAAGGAACAAAAAATAATAAAGATTTATTAAACACTACAAAAATGTAACCCAAATATGTGCTACCATATAAACACCAAAAAGTTAAAAATATAAATATAGATACAGGTCGTATGAAAATAATAAAAACAAAATATAATTGCAGATCAAAATATAAGAAACTATTACTATCGGTAGTAGCTGGTAATAAGTCAGGTTAGAAGAGCAGAATGCCGATCTAATGGATCAATAATCAATCAATACAAGGCTGACTATGTCTGATCTTCATTTTTATAATATATGATTTGGTGGCTCCCGGAATGATATCATGTTTATATCATTGATCATTAAATTGTACTGTTTACATAAGAATCTGTCCTAATGATGTATTATGGAATCTAATCGTTTCTGGGTCTTATGGTTGCGTTTTGACCTCCACCCATGGAGCTACTTCAGAATAGACTCAAACGTATTTAATAACTGCATAAACAAATCTGTTTTTGTTACCAAACATTTGTGTAGTAGTTTGGTTTAAATGTTATATTTTTCGATTTTGGAAATCCCAATTCTGTCACCAAAGGGTTAACTATTTGCAGCCGCATAGATCATTCTATCTCTCCAAATGCTTTCCGTCACGTCATTTTAGGCAACCAATGGGGAACTGCTTACCTGGACCAATCAAACAACTTCTTTGGAATTTTAAACCCGGTGCTCACGCACCTCCCGTTTCCTCTCTGACGAGCTAGGTGTAGCGAAACGCGCGCGTCAGAGGATTGTGGTGTGCTGCGCTCCTTGGATCCTTAGTGCAGCACACAGACTAGCGACCGCGCTGTTTTCATTCTATATTTCTATTCAAACATATATAGTGTTTATTCCTATTTTTGCAGATCTTATTAATTTTTATAGCTCTATCTTAACTAATAGATCTTTGGGGGGTTGGAGTTAGGTGCCCTTGAAGGCACGGGACACATATTTATATAGAGGGTGCTACCTTTTCTCATATCGTTAACTATATTTTTTTGTATCATTGGATATTCTTGGTATAGGATACTTTGTAGCACTGGTTATTGCTACTTGATTTTTACGTGTGTCTTTGTTCTACTCTCTCCCTCCTAGCTATTCTCATGTATGCTTTACTGTCGGTACAGCGATTATTGGCTGCTGCCGTTCTATATATACCCCTTATATCTAGTTAATTAGTGGTATCCTTCGATTTAGATTACCACTTTAACCACTTCAATACTGGTTTGAATATCAGCTCAACGTTCATTTAATGATCTCATTTTTCTTTTACTGATATTTATGACTTCTTTTCAGATATTTAAAGGACCTATATAGTCCAATAGCATTTTTTTGATATTTCAAGCAACAGACTTTATAATCTATTGTTGAACCATCAGGGTGTTTGAATGTATGGCACATCATTAGCCACTATGGACAGGAACAGCTTTCTAGATTATGTCACACTCACTGGTTGATAGGACCTATATTAATCTACTAGCTTAATTTTGGTCTCCATAGTACCAGACCACACCACTGATTATTGATCCATTAGATCGGCATTCTGCTCTTCTAACCTGACTTATTACCAGCTACTACCGATAGTAATAGTTTCTTATATTTTGATCTGCAATTATATTTTGTTTTTATTATTTTCATACGACCTGTATCTATATTTATATTTTTAACTTTTTGGTGTTTATATGGTAGCACATATTTGGGTTACATTTTTGTAGTGTTTAATAAATCTTTATTATTTTTTGTTCCTTCATTTTAGTGGTTCTGTCTGGCCTATATAGTAGGCGTTTTGTTGGCTATTTTGAACCCCTTCTCTTGATGCATATATCTCGCATCATGTATTAGATACATTCCTCTTCTTGTATTTTTCATTTTCTATTAGGGGTTACCCCCCCACTTCTATTGTGTATCTAATCTGGCTCTACTCACTTACTGAACTTTATAAATGTGTCCATTCATTATATAATATGCTTCTGCAATGTTACCGTATGTTACCGTATGTTATATCTTATTGCAATACACTCACACTCCTAACTACAAACGCCTACAAATAGATGCGATCCCTGTAGAATACTCTTGTGATGCCTTGGCTTTAAGTTCTGAAATTGCAATATGGCTACCGTGACTACCTGTACTACACTGTAATAATGCACCAATGCTGTACACCAGCTTATACTGTCACATGGCCGCATTTCCTACTGTCACTGTATGCAAGATGATTTAAATACAATATGCCTTTTGAAATAAAAAATAAGTAAATAAAAAAAGATTGAAGAGATTGAGGTTCAGGAGAGGAAAAGACTTGTTAGAAAATTGTGGTGATAATTTTATGATTTCTGTGATTGATAACTAAATGTCTGAAAATACATTTTTTATATTTTTAATGCCACTATAAAGTAAATAAACAAATGTTCTCTATTGATGATCACAATAAAAATCTTTGCCGCTAATTTGAGAACTCTATGGGTTTCCCAGACGCATTATACGCAGCATTTACTGCAGTGTTTGTATTGGCAATTAATGGATTTTACAGGAAGTAACACAGGCCGGCACGGTAACGGTGCTTCACATTCACTCTCAGGCAGCGCTAGGCGAAACGGACTTGCGTTGTCATGACAACACAGCAGTTTGTATGCAGTGCCCCCATAGATACCAGACAGGAAGCAGCCTTTATTAGCCGGAGATTGATTAATAAACTCGGGCTGAGCTGGGTGCCTAGATACATCACAGAAACCTATAACAATACATAAAACGTGGGGTTTCATTTTGGTGTGATGCTCAGGAAATGTTGCAGTAACTGATTTACTTCCGGGCTTTGGGATGTAGTATACGTATCTGATTAACAGCATTCACAGTGCCTCCTATTACATTAACTCCAAAGCTAATTAAAATAAACCAAATTCTTCCCGACTCCATAACAGAACAGGAGATAAGACATTGTGCTGTTTACAACACTGCTCTGTAGAAAATGAGCCTTTTATCATGGAGGCTGTGTGATTGACAGCCAGGGGAGGTGTGGCTATGGCTGCATAAACAAAGTGATTTAACTCCTAAACAGCAGAGAATTGAGCTGTGAAACCATAGGAACATGACCTATACACCAAAACCACACCATTAACTTAATGTTGTTTTGGTGCTTACATTGTCCCTTTAATGGTGCTATGAGGGACATTCAAATTTTAGGATATTTTGTATAAACCAAACTTGCTTCTTCTGAACTTCGTTACATGTTTGCTTTGATATCGCTAAGATCTCCATGCGCTGTTCGATTGGATGTCCTCTCTAGCAAGCTCTGGGGACTTCCAGGAATAAATTTATGTAATTTCAGAGCATATGACTCAGACCAACTGATTATGTGACTTTTTTAAAAAGCACTTGGTTGCAAAAATAGCAATAGTTTATAAAAAAAAAAAATAGTATAAGTCGAACAGTTAAATCCTCTGAAATACATCTTAAATAGCGGTTATAGCCATAAAGGTTAAGGAACTGTCCAAAGGTGATGGATATCAATGGGAGGCACTGTAAATCATATGATATGAAATTATTAAAATTAATACTTGTTTAATTTACACTTACTGCCCGTTTAGTTTGCTAAACAGATTGTTTTACAGCAAATTGAATTGGGATTGGAAATGGGATTAACTAATGAAAATATGAAATATGTAGTTCTGATATTGTAATAGTGAAATGATATGTGCATAATGAATGTGTTGTAATTAATAAATGAAAGATTTATATACAATAAGATTGTATATTTTTATCTCTCCCCAGGCTATCAGTATCACCAAACCCGTCCTGGGCCCCTGTACATCCCAGAGGACAGATGTCTTGTTCATTATATGGGAGACCACTTGGGTAAGCCCCCATTTATACTAGAGTTTTACATGGGGAAAAAGAATTATATATGTATTAGTTCAGTTACTCCGAAATTTGTTCCCATGGTGTTTTGGCTTAGAATAATTTCATTCACCCAAATGATTTGTGAAAGTAATTTGGACAAATCAAAATGGCACAAAAATGGGCCAATCAACATACTGCAAAATCTAAATATTATGTATATATTTTACAGCACACTAAATGGAGCATTTTCCGACATTTGGTTTACAGATCAAGTGAGAATAAATAATAGGGAGAAAACGTAAAATAAAATTACATTTTTTTATAATGTATATATTTATTAAATATATAAAAATGTGTTTTTTTTTCTTTTTTTATTGATTCTCCTTTTTGGTCACTTCTCACTCGACCCATAAAACAAATCCGCATTTAGTGGCTGTCCCATCGATAATCTTTTTATGGTACCGCGGACGGAATTCAGAGTCAAACAAAATAGTCCACTGCCTGATTTGTTTGCCGATTCATTCATACGCCATTTCGGCTTTTCGAATTTCAGCTGAGGCACAGTGTGTCCAGAATTCAGACAAATTGTAATTATGGAGAAACCGGATACACAAATCTAACATACAACAATATGTTTAATCTACAATTAAACACATTCCAGACTGCAACCGTCTAAATCCTGTGTAGAGTTCTGTGCTTGTGATGTACTGCCCCCTAGTGGTTACACTATAGAACCAACATTAAAACAACCAAGAGCTAAGAGTGAGGGAATGAGCGGATTCTTTGGGTGAATGGGCAGATTATCTGGGTTTTGGGGTTAATGTGCAGGTTCTCACAGTGAACTGGAAGATTTTCAGAGTTTTCATGTTAGCGCTTGCACAAATCAATATGTGAGATCCTTGGATGCTAGAATTAGCCAACTTACACATCTTATTATAAATAATGCATTAGTGTTGGCAGCCAGATGGCAGCTAGGAGCGAGCGCTGGCAGATTGTGCTGTTTGCTCTCTAAATAAAACAACATAGAAGCGGCGGCGCACGGTGGACTAATAGCTGGAAATGTATAGAAAGATCACCCATTTCTTATTGTTAGAATTGTCTTCTTGTTTCCGTCTGTTTGCCTTGCCTTGTTGAATCCACGTTGTTAGTTAACCTGTTGTAGAGCGCCGCTGAACGTGTTGGCGCTTTATACATAGTTTTAATTTAAATGATTATACCTTTCGGAAGAGCATTTTGGCAAATTAAGATGTGCCCTTACTTTTACTAGTATATTCCTTCTAAGCAGTTAAAAGGTTACTCCAAGTACAATGACACCATCTGTGATTTGAAGTGGTCGTGGTGCCTAGACTTTTGCTGCACATAGGGAGATTAACCCCTGCACCTGTTACGGGGGGGGGGGGTCATCAACCACCCAGAACTCGAGTTCCTGGCTGGCTAATTCTCTGCATATTCCTTTGTACAGAATTGCAATCATTGGGTGAGAGTTGTCAGCTGACTCTCTCAGCCAATAAATGGTGAGCAGGATTAGCATCCGTCGGCAGAACCCAGCACGTCACAGTCACCCTAAAAGTAGACCTGTTGTTCAGCAGGACCAGGTAAGAGGGAAAACCATTGCAAAGCAGTTTACCCCATTACCAGGAAACAGGGCCAGGGTACACCTCACATTATAACCACTACAGCGGGCTATAGTGGTTATACTGTTTGCAGTAACCCTTTAATTTTATAGTTACTACATAAAAGTTATACATGATGGTTTTTTTTTCCTAAATGTCATTACAAAATTTGCAGTAATTTGTTTGATTTCCATGTAAGTAGAGTGGTGTAAAAACTTTTAATAACTGCTTTATCATTTCAGAAAAAGACTGTCCTCTTCTTACTGTCGGTGGGGCAGAACTCGGTGGTGTTTTTGAGACGGCACCACAGAAGGACATAGAGCAAGGGACACAAGCATTGGAGAACAGTGTGTTCATCTGCTCTGAATGTCCCATAAATGGACATACTCAGTGTAATCACAGAAAGCAGCCATATACCAAGAAACTGCACAAATGCTTTGAATGTAAGAAGGCTTTTGGCAGCTGGTCCCATCTGGTGGCTCATAAGAAAAACCACGAGAGAGAAAAAAATAAAAAACAAACTCCAAGTGAAGTTATCAACGATCAGCCGCTTGTAACTACCCAGAAACCACATTACCCCATAGGAAGGGTTTACCAGTGCAATGACTGTGAAAAAACCTTTAGTAACCACTCTGTCCTGGCATTGCACCAGCGGACACACACTGGAGAAAGGCTCTTCAAATGCTTTGAGTGTGGCAAAAGTTTCATGAAACGATCACAGCTGATTGTGCACAAGAAATGTCACATAGAAGAAAGACCATTCAACTGCACATTGTGTGAGAAGGGTTACAACCAGCAATCCAAACTAATTGAGCACCAAAGAACTCACACAGGAGAGAAGCCATTTAAATGCACCGAGTGCTCAAAAAGCTTTTCCAAGAGATCTCACCTGACTGAGCATCTCAGGATCCACACTGGAGAAAAACCACACAAGTGCAATCAGTGCGATAAGACCTTTCACTATCCATCCAACCTGGTAGAGCATCAAAGAACCCACACAGGTGACAGACCTTACCAGTGTACCGAATGTGATAAGAGCTTTATCAAGATGTCCAAGCTGATTGTCCACCTGAGGATCCACACAGGGGAGAAACCCTATAAATGTTCCCTGTGCAATAAGAGCTTCAGCCAGCAGTCCAATTTGGTGGTCCATCAAAGGACACACACTGGGGAAAGGCCATTTAAATGCAATGACTGTGAGAAGAGCTTTAGTTACCATTATGCCCTGGTTGTTCACCAACGGACTCATACTGGAGAAAAACCATACAAGTGCTCTCTGTGCGACAAGGCTTTCAGTCAACAATCTAACCTTAAACTGCATCAGAAAACGCACGATGGGAAAACACAACATGAGAATACTATCCAGTATGAAGCAAACCATTTTGACTCGCTGAGTGAAAGCCCATTGATAGACACTCCCAAATGCAAAACTTTGCCAGAGTTGTCACAAGCAGTTGACTTGATGGAGACCACGAATGCCGTTGATGACTGTGAGAAGACCTACATCCCTTGGTCTCCATTGAGTGAGTATCTCGGTGCTCTCCTGCCTGCAGATAAGCAGCATAAATGTCCTGAATGCGATAAATGCTTCCTTGAGAAGTCCAAGCTTGTTGTCCACCAGAGGACTCACACAGGAGAGAGACCCTTCAAATGCTCCCTGTGTGAAAAGACCTTTATACAGTGGTCCCACCTAACAGAGCACAGAAAGACACACACTGGAGATAGACCATACATATGTGGGGAGTGTGGGAAAAGTTTTATTAAAATGTCCAAACTCACAGTCCATCGGAGGACGCACACTGGAGAAAGACCGTACAAATGTGCAGAGTGCGGGAAGCAATTCAGTCAGCAATCCAACCTAGTGGTTCATCAGAGAATCCACACTGGGGAAAGGCCATTCAAATGCACAGTGTGTGATAAGACTTTTCGTTATCAGTCTGCTCTCATTAAACACCGCAGGAATCACACCTGCCAAAGAGATTTCACCAGCGTATTCTAATAAAAAGATCTAACAACACTGGTTAAATTCTAGCAGACCGTTAAACCACAGCTGCTAGCAGTCTAGCACTGAGAGACTATTTTATTATAATAATTGTAATTTCACTGTTTGTATTTAACTTAACATCCTTTGTAGAAAAATAAATAATAGTGATGGGGACTGTGTAACTGGTAGAACTATATAGCTGTGATGGGATCTCCGAAGTTCCAGTCCTGTAATATCTAGACCGAGGTGCATACTGAACAGGGAGTCCAACACCTGGAAAAATGGAGACTGTCAGAATGTGACTCGAATAAACTTCTAAAAACATTAAAACACTATCAAGATGCTAAGTTGCATTTATTGTAGAAAACACAATATTAACCACATCCCAAGTCTCAAAACAGACACACCACATGAACAAACACAGTAGAATTACCTTATAAATCGCACAGCCGATCCTTAGGAATTCCTCAGTCCTCTCAAACCGGTACGCAGAAAATAGAGAATGCTAGGACATATGCATAAACAAGATCTAAAACAAACAGATGACGTAATATTGCTGGGAGATGGACTCCGGCACGATACCCAGCAGATCACAGCAGTCATGCAGGTGTTTGAACATCATACAAAATACATAATAGGCTAACAAACAGTAGCACATTTCATAACACTTCAGCCTCTTGTTGGGACCATCAGATGAAAATTCCCATTATGCTAGAGCTCTATACTTATTAAAGGTTATTTTTGAATAATTTATTTATGGATTGCTCCTCCATCTCTATAGGTCAGGCTCGTGAGGTTTGAAATAGTCTCTACCTCTGATCCTCCCCTTGTTCTCGTTTTCATACTAACAGCTAGTGCAATACTGGGGATCCATTGTTTAGTTAATCTCTGCGTTTCTCACCAAACATGATGTTCGGTGTGTTAAAATCACTTTCACAATATGCCAGGGTTGCTAAATATCATTAAATAACTCAGGTGGGAACTTGGGGTAGTGACGCCAGTTGATCTATATAAAAGGTCAATCAGAAAAGGGAGCTTTCTAATGAAACTGTCACTTCTGGGGCCACTAAACAGCTTGAATTAAAGTTTGAAATTTCTTGTCTATTTTATTTTTCACACAAAAGTTCAATTTATTTTGGGTTTGTTTGCATGTCGTAGAATGTACAGCTGTTTGTACGGCGCCATGCAAGGAATGCACCTGCTACATGCTAGGCAGTGCTTTGGACGTAAGTGTGGTTTGCACTTCACCTTCACCTCAATGCTTCCGAGTTTTACTGGAGTGAGGTAAATTGGAGTTATGTGAGGTGGATTAAGTAACCAATCAGAGTGTTGTTATGAGTCAAATTACACAGCGTGGGAAAATTCCAAAGAACTTTCCCACGCTGTGTAAAACGACACAGAGCACTCTGGTGGATTTCAAACTAACCAACCAGAGTGTTGTGACAGGTAAATGTAGAAACTTACCTGTCAGTCTCTTCATTTACCTGTCAGAGCACTCTGATTGGATGGCTTAAACCCACCAATCAGAGTGCTCTGAGCCTAATGGCAGGGCGTGGCAAGGCTTTATAAGCCTTCCCCCGCCCTCCAGAGCTCAGTCTGCGCGGAGCCCTCCATGGGTGAAGATGGATTTTTTTTTTTTTTGCACTCGTTTTAAAAAAAAATAAAAAAATTTTAAGTGTGTCGGTTATTATGGCTTTTTATTTGACCTTTTTTGGGGCTGAAAAAATAAGATTTTAGAAGAAAGAAAACATCAAATGGTGTTTTCAGTTACTTAGTTAAATGGTCCCCCCCCCTCATTTTCTTTTTGGGTGAGGGGGGTAAGTAGGGATTCATTTTTTGGGGGAGGGGGGTGACTAGAGGTTTGGGGACCCCTAGTCATCCGGGGGGGATGGGGGTTATTTTTTTTTTTTTAAGGGCCCCCACCCACCGCCCATTATTTTACTTTAGGGCCCTCCACCTGCTGCTCAGGGGTGGGGGCCGGAGGTCGCGGGTGGGGGCTCGAGAGGGGGGACCCATTTTTAAAATAATTTTTTTTTTTAACAGTGAGCAGCCACTGGCTGCTCACTGTTTAATAGACGTGCCCCTACTCGCGGTATAGCGAGTAGGGGCACAATTTACTAATACTAAGTCATTTTTATTTAGTATTAGTACATTTGTCTGAAGACCAATTTAGGTTATCTACCAAGCGGCTGCAAGAGACGTTCTGAAATTCAAAAGTCCCGAATTGCCGAAGTTCTGAAATTACCTAATTTTCGAAGTGCCAAATTTCGGAATGCCGAGCCGAACCGAAAAATTTTCCCATGCACATGACTAGGTGGTACAACCCCCACCTAAGGATTCTTTATGCTTCTTTTTGACGATGAACATTGGTGTAGTCAGGTTAATAGAAAGTAAAAATAAAAAAAGGAATATGGCAACCAAAATTAATAGAGCCAAAAATTCCTTTATTTTAACAAATTAAAATACTTTTTCTAGACGTGTTTCGCCTAAACAGGCTTCTTCAAATAGAAAATAGTCATGTTTTTTGTTTCTCTTCCCATATGTTTTACTGAATTACAAGTCCACATTGTCTAATTCTCTCTGTTTACTGACATGGTGTCTGTCTAATTCTCTGTTTACTGACATGGTGTCTGTCTAATTCTCTCTATTTACTGACATGGAGTCTGTCTAATTCTCTATTTACTGACATGGAGTCTGTCTAATTCCCTATTTACTGACATGGTGTCTGTCTCATTCTCTCTGTTTACTGACATGGAGTCTGTCTAATTCTCTATTTACTGACATGGTGTCTGTCTAATTCTCTCTATTTACTGACATGGAGTCTGTCTAATTCCCTATTTACTGACATGGTGTCTGTCTAATTCTCTCTGTTTACTGACATGGTGTCTGTCTAATTCTCTCTATTTACTGACATGGAGTCTGTCTAATTCCCTATTTACTGACATGGTGTCTGTCTCATTCTCTCTGTTTACTGACATGGTGTCTGTCTAATTCTCTCTGTTTACTGACATGGTGTCTGTCTAATTCTCTGTTTACTGACATGGAGTCTGTCTAATTCTCTCTATTTACTGACATGGAGTCTGTCTAATTCCCTATTTACTGACATGGTGTCTGTCTCATTCTCTCTGTTTACTGACATGGTGTCTGTCTAATTCTCTGTTTACTGACATGGTGTCTGTCTAATTCTCTGTTTACTGACATGGAGTCTGTCTAATTCTCTATTTACTGACATGGAGTCTGTCTAATTCTCTCTGTTTACTGACATGGAGTCTGTCTAATTCTCTATTTACTGACATGGAGTCTGTCTAATTCTCTCTGTTTACTGACATGGTGTCTGTCTAATTCTCTGTTTACTGACATGGAGTCTGTCTAATTCTCTCTATTTACTGACATGGAGTCTGTCTAATTCTCTATTTACTGACATGGAGTCTGTCTAATTCTCTCTGTTTAAAGACATGGAGTCTGTCTAATTCTCTCTGTTTACTGACATGGTGTCTGTCTCATTCTCTCTGTTTACTGACATGGAGTCTGTCTAATTCTCTCTGTTTACTGACATGGTGTCTGTCTCATTCTCTCTGTTTACTGACATGGAGTCTGTCTCATTCTCTCTGTTTACTGACATGTCTGTCTCATTCTCTCTGTTTACTGACATGGTGTCTAATTCTCTCTATTTACTGACATGGAGTCTGTCTAATTCTCTCTGTTTACTGACATGGTGTCTGTCTAATTCTCTCTTTACTGACATGGAGTCTGTCTATTCTCTATTTACTGACATGGTGTCTGTCTATTCTCTCTATTTACTGACATGGAGTCTGTTTACTGACATGGAGTCTGTCTAATTCTCTCTATTTACTGACATGGAGTCTGTACTGACAGTCTGTCTCATTCTCTCTGTTTACTGACATGGAGTCTGTCTAATTCTCTGTTTACTGACATGGTGTCTGTCTAAATTTACTGACATGGAGTCTGTACTGACATGGTGTCTGTCTCATTCTCTCTGTTTACTGACATGGAGTCTGTCTCATTCTCTCTGTTTACTGACATGGTGTCTGTCTAATTCTCTCTGTTTACTGACATGGTGTCTGTCTCATTCACTCTGTTTACTGACATGGATTCTGTCTAATTCTCTGTTTACTGACATGGAGTCTGTCTAATTCTCTCTGTTTACTGACATGGTGTCTGTCTCATTCTCTCTGTTTACTGACATGGAGTCTGTCTCATTCTCTCTGTTTACTGACATGGAGTCTGTCTCATTCTCTCTGTTTACTGACATGGTGTCTGTCTAATTCTCTCTATTTACTGACATGGAGTCTGTCTCATTCTCTCTGTTTACTGACATGGAGTCTGTCTCATTCTCTCTGTTTACTGACATGGAGTCTGTCTCATTCTCTCTGTTTACTGACATGGTGTCTGTCTCATTCTCTCTGTTTACTGACATGGTGTCTGTCTCATTCTCTCTGTTTACTGACATGGTGTCTGTCTCATTCTCTCTGTTTACTGACATGGAGTCTGTCTCATTCTCTCTGTTTACTGACATGGTGTCTGTCTAATTCTCTCTATTTACTGACATGGAGTCTGTCTCATTCTCTCTGTTTACTGACATGGTGTCTGTCTAATTCTCTCTATTTACTGACATGGTGTCTGTCTCATTCTCTCTGTTTACTGACATGGTGTCTGTCTAATTCTCTCTGTTTACTGACATGGTGTCTGTCTAATTCTCTCTGTTTACTGACAGTCTCCCAGCCATGGGGACCATTATGCCACCCCTGGGCTCCCATCCTGGCCCATCATACTCGCGCAATGATTCACGGGAGGTGTAGTTTTACTGGCGCCGCCCCCTGCAGCCTCTTCCATCATCACACTCCTCAACCTGGCACCCCACCCCTCCCCCATCACACTGACACCTCTTACCCTGGCACCCCACCCTTCCCCCATCACACTGACACTTCTTACCCTGGCACCCAACCCCTCCCCCATCACACTGACACCTCTTACCCTGGCACCCCACCCCTCCCCCATCACACTGACACCTCTTACCCTGGTAACCCATTCCTCCCCCATCACACTCGCACCTCCTACCCTGGCAACCCATCCCTCCCCCATCACATTGGCACCTCTTACCTTGGCAACCCATCCCTCCCCCATCACACTGACACCTCTCACACTGACACCTCTTACCCTGGCAACCCATCCCTCCCCTATCACACTCGCACCTCCTACCCTGGCAACCCATCCCTCCCCTATCACACTCGCACCTCCTACCCTGGCACCCCATCTCTCCCCCATCACACTGACACCTCTTACCCTGGCAACCATCCCTCCCCCATCACACTGACACCTCTTACCCTGGCAACCCATCCCTCCCCTATCACACTCGCACCTCCTACCCTGGCACCCCATCCCTCCCCCATCACACTGACACCTCTTACCCTGGCAACCATCCCTCCCCCATCACACTGACACCTCTTACCCTGGCAACCCATCCCTCCCCTATCACACTCGCACCTCCTACCCTGGCACCCCATCCCTCCCCCATCACACTGACACCTTTTACCCTGGCAACCCATCCCTCCCCCATCACACTCGCATCTCTTACCCTGGCACCCCATCTCTCCCCCATCACACTGACGCCTCTTACCCTGGCAACCCATCCCTCCCCCATCACACTGACGCCTCTTACCCTGGCAACCCATCCCTCCCCCATCACACTGACACCTCTTACCCTGGCAGCCCACCCCAATCACACAGCAACTAACCTGGAAGCCCACCCCAATCTCACTGACACTCATTATCCTGGCAGCCCTCCACCTGCCCCATCACATTGAATGTAAGCTCATTGAGCAGGGCCCTCCACCTCTTTGTTTCTGTACGTCCAGTTGTCTGGTTTCAATTACATGTCTGTTAGTCCACCCATTGTACAGCACTACGCAATCTGATGGCGCTATATAAATAATAAAATAATAATAATTGACACCATTACCATGGCATCACTGTGTGGGCTGGGAGGACTAATGTAACTTGTGGATATCTTCTGTTTTATGTGCGGGGGCATTTAAGGTGTGTGGCTGTATTTGCATCTGTCAGAGAGGGCATTTATAGTACATGGATTGCATCTTATAGGAAGGAATCCTTGCTGTACATGGATTGCGTCATATCTCAGAGAGTACTTACTGTACATGGATTGTATACTGTGTATGGTATCAGAGAGCACTTACGGTACATGGATTGTATACTGTGTATGGTATCAGAGTACTTACTGTACATGGATTGTATACTGTGTATGGTATCAGAGAGCACTTACGGTACATGGATTGTATACTGTGTGAGTACTTACTGTACATGGATTGTACACTGTTTGAAGTATCAGTACTTACTGTACATGGATTGTATACTGTGTATGCTATCAGAGTACTTACTGTACATGGATTGTATACTGTGTATGGTATCAGGGTACTTACTGTACATGGATTGTACACTGTATGGTATCAGAGAGTACTTACTGTACATGGATTGTATACTGTGTATGGTATCAGTACTTACTGTACATGGATTGTACACTGTTTGGTATCAGTACTTACTGTACATGGATTTTATACTGTGTATGGTATCAGGGTACTTACTGTACATGGATTGTACACTTTGTTATCAGAGAGTACTTACTGTACATGGATTGTATATTGTGTATGGTATCAGTACTTACTGTACATGGATTGTATACTGTGTATGTATCAGAGTACTTACTGTACATGGATTGTATACTGTGTATTGTAAGTACTGATACCCTACACAGTATACAATCCATGTACAGTAAGTGCTTTCTGATACCATACACAGTATACAATCCATGTACAGTAAGTACTGATACCATACACAGTATACAATCCATGTACAGTAAGTACTTTCTGATACCATACACAGTATACAATCCATGTACAGTAAGTACTTACTGTACATGGATTTTACACTGTGTATGGTATCAGTACTTACTGTACATGGATTGTATACTGTGTATGGTAGAGTACTTACTGTACATGGGTTGTATACTGTGTATGGTATCAGTACTTACTGTACATGGATTGTACACTGTTTGGTATCAGTACTTACTGTACATGGATTGTACACTGTGTATGGTATCAGAGAATACTTACTGTACATGGATTGTATCCTGTGTATGGTATCAGAGAGTACTTGCTGTACATGGATTGTATACTGTGTATGGTATCAGTACTTACTGTACATGGATTGTTTACTGTGTATGGTATCAGAGAATACTTACTGTACATGGATTGTATACTGTGTATGGTATCAGAAAGCACTTACTGTACATGGATTGTATACTGTGTATGGTATCAGAGAATACTTACTGTACATGGATTGTACACTGTGTATGGTATCAGTACTTACTGTACATGGATTGTACACTGTGTTTGGTATCAGTACTTACTGTACATGGATTGTATACTGTGTAGGGTATCAGAGTACTTACTGTACATGGATTGTATACTGTGTATGGTATCAGAGAGTACTTGCTGTACATGGATTGTATACTGTGTATGGTATCAGAGTACTTACTGTACATGGATTGTATACTGTGTATGGTATCAGAGAATACTTACTGTACATGGATTGTATCCTGTGTATGGTATCAGAGAGTACTTGCTGTACATGGATTGTATACTGTGTATGGTATCAGAGAATACTTACTGTACATGGATTGTATACTGTGTATGGTATCAGAAAGCACTTACTGTACATGGATTGTATACTGTGTATGGTATCAGAGAATACTTACTGTACATGGATTGTATACTGTGTATGGTATCAGAGAGCACTTACGGTATATGGATTGTATACTGTGTATGGTATCAGAGTACTTACTGTACATGGATTGTATATGGTGTTTGGTATCAGAGAGCACTTACTGTACATGGATTGTACACTGTGTATGGTATCAGAGAGCACTTACTGTACATGGATTGCATACTGTGTATATCAGAGTACTTACTGTACATGGATTGCATACTGTGTATATCAGAGTACTTACTGTACATGGATTGTACACTGTTTGGTATCAGAGAGCACTTACTGTACATGGATTGTATACTGTGTATGGTATCAGAGAGTACTTACTGTACATGGATTGTACACTGTGTATGGTATCAGTACTTACTGTACATGGATTGTATACTGTGTATGGTATCAGAGTACTTACTGTACATGGGTTGTATACTGTGTATGGTATCAGTACTTACTGTACATGGATTGTATACTGTGTATGGTGTCAGTACTTACTGTACATGGATTGCACACTGTTTGGTATCAGTACCTACTGTACATGGATTGTACACTGTGTATGGTATCACAGAGTACTTGCTGTACATGGATTGTATACTGTGTATGGTATCAGAGAATACTTACTGTACATGGATTGTATCCTGTGTATGGTATCAGAGAGTACTTGCTGTACATGGATTGTATACTGTGTATGGTATCAGTACTTACTGTACATGGATTGTATACTGTGTATGGTATCAGAGAATACTTACTGTACATGGATTGTATACTGTGTATGGTATCAGAAAGCACTTACTGTACATGGATTGTATACTGTGTATGGTATCAGAGAATACTTACTGTACATGGATTGTACACTGTGTATGGTATCAGTACTTACTGTACATGGATTGTACACTGTGTTTGGTATCAGTACTTACTGTACATGGATTGTATACTGTGTAGGGTATCAGAGTACTTACTGTACATGGATTGTATACTGTGTATGGTATCAGAGAGTACTTGCTGTACATGGATTGTATACTGTGTATGGTATCAGAGTACTTACTGTACATGGATTGTATACATTGTATGGTATCAGAGAATACTTACTGTACATGGATTGTATACTGTGTATGGTATCAGAGAGCACTTACGGTACATGGATTGTATACTGTGTATGGTATCAGAGAGCACTTACGGTATATGGATTGTATACTGTGTATGGTATCAGAGTACTTATTGTATATGGTGTTTGGTATCAGAGAGCACTTACTGTACATGGATTGTACACTGTGTATGGTATCAGAGAGCACTTACTGTACATGGATTGCATACTGTGTATATCAGAGTACTTACTGTACATGGATTGCATACTGTGTATATCAGAGTACTTACTGTACATGGATTGTACACTGTTTGGTATCAGAGAGCACTTACTGTACATGGATTGTATACTGTGTATGGTATCAGAGAGCACTTACGGTATATGGATTGTATACTGTGTATAGTATCAGAGTACTTACTGTACATGGATTGTATACTGTGTATGGTATCAGTACTTACTGTACATGGATTGTATACTGTGATAGATTTCAACCCACACTTCTACCAGATTGTTGGAGATGTGATAGGGAACTAGGCTCATTCTCTCACATATGGTGGATTGTATACTGTGTATGGTATCAGAGAGCACTTACTGTACATGGATTGTATACTGTGTATGGTATCAGTACTTACTGTACATGGATTGTATACTGTGTATGGTATCAGAGTACTTACTGTACATGGATTGTATACTGTGTAGGGTATCAGAGTACTTACTGTACATGGATTGTATACTGTGTATGGTATCAGTACTTACTGTACATGGATTGTATACTGTGTATGGTATCAGGGTACTTACTGTACATGGATTGTATACTGTGTAGGGTATCAGGGTACTTACTGTACATGGATTGTATACTGTGTAGGGTATCAGTACTTACTGTACATGGATTGTATACTGTGTAGGGTATCAGAGTACTTACTGTACATGGATTGTATACTGTGTATGGTATCAGGGTACTTACTGTACATGGATTGTACACTGTTTGTTATCAGAGAGTACATACTGTACATGGATTGTATACTGTGTAGGGTATCAGAGTACTTACTGTACATGGATTGTATACTGTGTATGGTATCAGAGAGCACTTACTGTACATGGACTGTATACTGTGTATGGTATCAGAGAGCACTTACGGTATATTGATTGTATACTGTGTATGGTATCAGTACTTACTGTACATGGATTGTATACGGTGTTTGGTATCAGAGAGCACTTACTGTACATGGATTGTATACTGTGTATATCAGGGTACTTACTGTACATGGATTGTACACTGTTTGGTATCAGAGAGCACTTACTGTACATGGATTGTATACTGTGTATGGTACCAGAGAGCACTTACGGTACATGGATTGTATACTGTGTATGGTATCAGAGTACTTACTGTACATGGATTGTACACTGTGTATGGTATCAGAGTACTTACTGTACATGGATTGTATACTGTGATAGATTTCAACCCACACTTCTCCCAGATTGTTGGAGATGTGATAGGGAACTAGGCTCATTCTCTCACATATGGTGGATTGTATACTGTGTATGGTATCAGAGAGCACTTACTGTACATGGATTGTATACTGTGTATGGTATCAGTACTTACTGTACATGGATTGTATACTGTGTATGGTATCAGAGAGTACTTACTGTACATGGATTGTATACTGTGTATGGTATCAGGGTACTTACTGTACATGGATTGTACACTGTTTGTTATCAGAGAGTACATACTGTACATGGATTGTATACTGTGTATGGTATCAGTACTTACTGTACATGGATTGTATACTGTGTATGGTATCCGAGTACTTACTGTACATGGATTGTATACTGTGTATGGTATCAGTACTTACTGTACATGGATTGTATACTGTGTATGGTATCAGGGTACTTACTGTACATGGATTGTACACTGTTTGTTATCAGAGAGTACATACTGTACATGGATAGTATACTGTGTATGGTATCAGTACTTACTGTACATGGATTGTATACTGTGTATGGTATCAGTACTTACTGTACATGGATTGTATACTGTGTATGGTATCAGGGTACTTACTGTACATGGATTGTACACTGTTTGTTATCAGAGAGTACATACTGTACATGGATTGTATACTGTGTATGGTATCAGTACTTACTGTACATGGATTGTATACTGTGTATGGTATCAGTACTTACTGTACATGGATTGTATACTGTGTATGGTATCAGAGTACTTACTGTACATGGATTGTATACTGTGTATGGTATCAGTACTTACTGTACATGGATTGTATACTGTGTATGGTATCGAGTACTTACTGTACATGGATTGTATACTGTGTATGGTATCAGTACTTACTGTACATGGATTGTATACTGTGTATGGTATCAGAGTACTTACTGTACATGGATTGTATACTGTGTATGGTATCAGTATTGGGTTAAAGGAACACAAAGCCTTTAGTTGTAGGTATACCCAAAATAAACCATGCATGCATTTTTACTGCATGTTGCTTTCATGGTATATGGAAATAATGCTTGCGACTGCCTGCAGCCTTTGCAAGGTCTCCCCTTGTTCCCTAACACAGATTTTTAGTCTATGCCAGGAAATATTCTAATCTGGAAATTCAGGTCATCTCACTCTGGTCCACAAATACACGTTTTGCACATTCTTGTTCCTTAGACTTAGAATGTAATTCCTAATGTAATGCTCGAGATAGCTGAAAGTTTGAATTTAATGGTCAGTGTATAATAGGAAGGGCTCGAGTCTCAGTCCTACAATTTATAGAAGGGCTACCTAGTTAAGTATAACGCGCAGGCAGAACTTTTCAGGTTTAAAAAAAAATAATAAAAAAAAAATATGGGGGTGAAACAGTGCATTTAAAAAAAAAATAATTTCCCCACTATTTTAGCTGAATATCTCTGGTGGGGGATGAGAGAGCAACCCGAAATGTTATGTCCTCCATGGTAACATTCTGCTGGGAAAATAAAGAGTTTGAGATTCCATTGGTTACAGAGTTAGGACTAATAGAAATCTGGGGAAAGACCAGTTTTATTCATGTGTTTTGAGAAATGTTCATTTGGAATGTAAGCAGAACAAATAATGATAATGAGCAGGATTTTACAGTGGTTATGGTTATGATTGACACTGACGTCTAACAGATTGCTGGCCGCAGTGAAGCATGATCTGTCATGTCAGCACAGACACGAGAAGGCCTGTCTCTGCGTGTCTGAGCGTGCCCAAACCTGTGAGTCGGTGGGCACAGCTTGTCAGTGTGCTGGCTGCATTCCTGGGAGCTAGAGGCTTGGAGCTGAAGGATGTTAGTATTGAGTGATATGTGGATAGATTTTCTCAAAATATGCAAATCCAGTGTTCCGTGGAATGTTTTAATAACCAAGTGTGCCATAAACAGACCTATGACTCTGTTGGTGACTACAGCCAAGAAGAAACAGCGTTACTGTGTTCACAGGTAGGAGGTGATGTTAAATCAGTTTGTAAATACCATGAAAACAAATTGCTTTGGAAATATCACCCATGTGATAACAGTTGCTGTAATGCCTTGGTATATCACAAAAGGACTAAAAGAAATTTGATTAGCGCGCACGTCAAAGGAAAATTAGACCTTCCCTGGTAGGTCTCTGTGTCCCACCTGTTACAAAAAGATTTTTGTGATAAAAAGAAGCCCGGATGGAGCAGAGAGAGAACTGTGGATTTCACAAAGAAGAAATTCGACTCAGCAGACGCTGCTCTTGGATCCACAATTAGGAAGAAAAGTACAGATAAAAGACAGAGCGAGAGCTGATGGGAGAAGCATTTCGGAAACTTTGGAAATAGATCTAGAAGAATTGTACTTACTGTGCATTGACTGTATCATATCAAAAAGTACTTACTGTACGTGGATTATATCATATCAAAAAAATGACCCGAACAAAGATCAGAGTTCCTATATAGAGCTAGTGCTAAGGGAACCTTGACGCAAGCAAACCGAGCCATACTGACCCCACCGGCACACAACACCAACCAAGTGGTGCAAATCCACATCCAGTGCACAGCCAGTGGAATTGAGCAGGATACAGCCACTCCTATCTGGGGAACACTTGTTCAACCAGTAGGGGGGGCTCCTACCCTCATATTATTCTGGCGACATGTAAGACCAGAATACAATGTACAGTTATGTAGGTTTATGAGTTTAAAAATACTCATGGCTCATCCAGGCGATACAGGGTTCACAGACACTCAAATAACCTCAGCAAACTCCAACAGTAGCAGGGCCCCAAGAGGGAACACACAGCTCGCACCTCTAGAACCTCATGGCCCTTAAGATAGTCTCACTAAACGTTAAAGGCTTAAACAACCCCAACAAGTGTATACTGATACAATGGGACATGAACCACCTAGCTGAGGGACAGGACACAAAGCAGGGGTTGCTATTCTTATACACAAACGCTGCCCTTTCCTACCCACATATAGCCAAGCAGACTCAGTGGGGTGCTACGTGGTGGTGATAGGGACCCGTCACAATATCAAACTTAGCATTATCAATATATATGCACCGTGTAACGGATCGCCTGGCACCCCGACTGGGTACCTCCGTTGAAGGATGCTCCTAGCGCTTCCTGAGGACTCCAAGCACTCTGGCAGACACCACAATCACCGAACCGTAGGAGCATGTGAATGCTCTCAAGCATATGAATGCTGTAGACAGTTGAATAGGAACCATACGAATAGGTTTACTCTCCTAGCAGTCAAACTGGAACAGCATACAATAAATCCACCCCCAATAATGAGACGACACTTCACTTTGAGGGTTAAGCAGGAACTCCCTGTACTGTCACATACAGTCTCTTTTATTCCCAATCCACAAACATAGTACAGCCCACAGGGCGTTACAAAACAACCAATCAATCCGTACAATACACCCAGACACTCCCACACAAAATCCTCCCCTCTGCAGGTGATATGATTACTGAACACAATGGGTAATCTTATTATCACCGGCAGAGGAATACAGTTTTTACACAATATTTATAACTTCTAAAATATACATGTCACAAACATAAAACATACATTTTCATAATCAATCCATTCAGGGGAACAACATATTAAAAAATGGCACGAATCAGACCAGGGGTTCAAAAGTTAAGGGAAAGTCCTTTGTGACTAAATGAAGCATGGCTTTCTGGCCCAAACCAGTTTCAGAGTCTTCTATCCTGGAGAGTAATTCAATTATCTCCCAGGATAGACACAAGACTCCATTAAGCACATGGTTGCAAAAAGACACAAAACACTTTAAAATACATTAAGTCACCTTTTACACATAACACACAGACATTTCACATATCCCCAGATAGCTGGGATCTGAGTGCACATTATTAGATGAATGGCACTCAGATCACACAAATAAGCCTTTCTGCAGGGGAAATAAACGGTTTAACCTGCAGGGCCATAGTCCAAAGGGAGCAGGCGAGCAACTAGGCTTCTCCAGTTCACAGTGGCGAGGTTGGTTTCGCCACACACCCCATGAACCGCATGCTTCATTCTGGTCCTCATTGGATACGCTCACCAGAAACACTGGAGGGGGGTGGTGGTAGTTGGGGGGGACTTCAACACGGTGCCGTGTCCGGCGATCGACAGGAGCAAGAAACCAGGGACCCAGAGATCCAAGGGCAGAGGGGGACAGAACAAGCTCCTCCATACCTTCTTGACTCACACCTGCCTGTTAGATGCCTGGAGACTACAACACCCCAGCATACAAGATACACCTTTTACTCAAACCCACACGATACTTATTCTAGAATTGACTACATATTTTTAAGCGACATAGGCATGCACAAGTTGATACACTCAGAAATAAATAACATCGCCTGGTCTGACCACGCACACATCGCATTTACACTAGGTTAACTCCAATACTCCTAATTTGACATGGAAATTGAGCCCCGCTCTTCTGAAAGATGAAGAGGTATTGACATCCACTTAAGAAACCGTCACAACCTATTTTGCACAAAATTCCACGACCGGGATAAACCCCACCACACTATTGGCAGCACATAAGACCGTAATAAGGGGTCACTTTATCAAGATTGCCACCCACAAAAAGCAGCGCAAGACTAAACTACTGGAATTACAATCAGCCTTGCGCAAGCTAGAACATAAGGCCAACCCCACAGAACCAAACATGCCATAAGACATTCTATAAAGGAATTATACATAGACGAGGTGGCCCGCTCCATAGTGTGATCCAAAAGACGGTACTATGAAAAGGCAAATCAAATGGAAATCCTCTTGGCCAGACATCTTAAATCTCGACAGGGGAGCAAACCTATCACCAAAACACCAAGACCTCCAGAGAAGACATCAAAGCTGAATTCACAAATTACCACATTATACAACCACTCCCCTCATCACACCCAAGATAAATTAGAATACATGGGTCACGTCTCCGCCTTCCTGGACCACCTCCCATTGGGGCGGATAAGGGAGGAGGAGATTAGGGAATTAACAGCACCGATTACTGAGGAAGAAGCAAACCTAAAGGGCAACAAGGCACCGGGCCCAGATGACATGAGCTACTTCAAAAAACTCAAGGATGACCAAGGATGACCCACCTAGAAGCCCTGTACAATCACTTCCGCAAGGGTGGCACACCAGACACTGACATGACAACAGCAAACATAGTACTAATACCAAAACCAGACAGAGATCACACTCAAACCTCAAGCTACAGACCCATCTGACCTATTGACCCGTCTGATACACTCAGACCAGGTGGGCTACATACCTGGGAGACAGCTGTACGAGAATACCCGTCGAAGTGCAGACCTGCTGTGGTATATGAGGGAGTCTAAAAAGCCCTCTCTGGCACTATCGTTAGATGCTGAGAAGGCTTTTGACAGGGTTAAATGGCCTTTATGTTCAAATTACTCTGCAAAATTGGATTCAAAGACCCCTTCATCACTGCGGTTAGAGCCGTGTTTTCCGATCTAATAGCACAAACACTCATAACGGGGGCCCCCAAGACTCCCTTTCCCCTGGGCAACAGTACGTGGCAAGGGTACCCACTCTCACCACTGCTGTTTGCGCTCATCCTCGAGCCGCTGCTTCTGGCCATCAGATCAGACCCACTGATCCGAGGTGTAGAAATAGCACATAAACCATTTAAAGTCACCGCGTACGCGGACAATGTCCTCCTGACTCTTACAGTCCCGATAACAAGCGTGCCCAAACTTGACGCACTACTAAACCAGTATGGAGACATCTCCGGCTACAAAGTTAATCGTTCCAAATAAGTTGTAATGCCTTTCCACATCTCGATCCCGGACACTGCTGCCATCAGACAGATATATCACTTTAAAATAGCAACAGAAGATTCAAATATTTAAGAGTTAACCTGACGGCTGACACCGCCACCCTCTACAGATGTAATTACGCCCCGTTGTTCCACACTCTCATGCCTCTCGCACCTGTACCATTATTATCTAGCGACCCAAGTCACTCCGATTATACATTGGCACTCACCCCAGACCGTAGGAGATGGGTGGACATAGAATCCCTGCTCATGGGGGCGGATCTACTCCAGTTCTACTTATGGGCCCCCAAAACCCAGAGGGTCATACTATGGATGACATGTCCAGCCGTTCTCAATTCCATTCGCTTATGGGACCAGGTGAAGCTCAAATATGCCCTAGGGAGCGACCCTTCACCGTTGACACCGGTTCTCAGGGATGAGGGCCAGGGACTTCTGGGGAATAGAGGCTACGGGGTTACAAAGGTACATACACCTATACATGAATGGAGACATAGTCTTTTATGACCACTTGCGAACCCAAGCCCCACTCCAAAAGCGGGACTATTTCCACTATTTACAGATCAGGGACTTCATACGTTCCAAAGAGGTCAGAACAGCAGCGGAGCGTCCATTAACATTCTTTGAAAAACTATGCCTCGAAGAAACAACCCAGACTAAACTTATCACTCTACTTTATCAACACATCAGCTCCTCTTAGATACACTGACCAGTGGAAGTCCGACCTGAGGGAGGTGCTTGAGGGAACAGACTGGCAGGAGATCTGGGAAGCGTGCACCAAGGTATCAATGTGTGTAACGCTTCAGGAGCAATGCTACAAAACGCTATTTAGGTGGTACACGACACCAGTCAAGCAATGTCACATGAGACTGAGTCCCACTGATGCATGCTGGCATCTATGCGGAGAAAAGGGTAGTTATATACACATGTAGTGGTACTGCCCAAAAGTGGAAGGAAATGGTAGACCCTAGCTCTAAAGTGTTACAAACGCAATTAGGACTTGACCCCTGGGGATGCCTACTCTCCAGACCCACGGAGGGCCTCGCAAGCACAAACAAAAGTTATTAAACATGCTCTACTTAGCAGCACAGAGAGCACTGACACAAAAATGGGCTATTCCGGAGTTACCACTTATGTCCATGGTACTAGCGAAAATTAGGGACAACTATTTAATGGACAACTTAACAGCACAAATCCGCAACACCACAACCACCTTCCACAAAGTATGGGACCTATGGGGACAGTATGAAGATTAGCCCCTTAGATGGTCGTGTCACACAGAGCTTAGCACTCCTCCACCCACTTAGCTACCCGATTACATCAGAACGCAGAGAAAGACACGCAGAGCCCATTTTTGCACACTGTTCGTTTGTATTTATGTTTCTTTTGTTAGTGTTCATCTAAAATTCTGACAAACTGTGACAAAGCTAAGCACGAACAATCACATGTATGCAACCCACATAATTTATGTCCTGTCATTTTATTATGCTGATACTTTTCCAAAATCTAGCTTCTGCGTAAGCTTCTTATCACTGCGCTGTTTCAGTAGTTGTCAATGCAAAAATAAAGATCTCTCTGTTGTTGGAGATCCGACATTTTCTTTTCCACCGAAGTAAGGAGGGATTTTTGCGTGCTGTGTGAGGCCTCCAGTAGCGTCAGCCTCGTGGTGGCGCCCTCAATGGTGTGGCCCAACGCAGCCCCCTCCTCTGGATATATAAAGGTGTCTTCAGATGATTACGATGATCCCTCATCCTCCAGTGCCATCTATTCCCATGTGGCCCTCTATGAGCTCCGCAGATAGCCGATGTTACGGCTGGTAAGGGTCCTTACCTGCCCGAGATTTCTTAGTTTTCTGGACCAATATTCCTTCTAAGATCAGGGGTCATGTGTACTATATTGTAACTACCTGTATTCCACCCCCCCCCCCCAAAAAAATCTGTTTTTTGGCAAAGTATAACAATGTCCTCAGCAGGATGTGTCTGCTCAGGTATGCAGCTATCTCCTTCCCACCTGGAGTGCCCCTTTAAAAGAAGACTATAGCTTTAGGGATACAAACCTAATGTCCATGGTTCCCCTGTCCCTAGTTGTATTCTTCCCTCCCCACCCCCCCGCCCAACACCTTTTTCCAATAAAATTTAAGTTTTATTTCTTTTCCGACCTCCCGCAACATCATGGCAGAGTCCTGGCTTCCTCCAGTGATGGCAAGTCCAGTTTCTCCTCATATGAGCTTTAGCATTATGTATTCAATGCTTTCCTGTGCGCTTTCACGGCTCGTGATCCAGTCTTACTCGGTGAGTACTGCGGAAGCCGGGAGAGGTGGATTTACCCTGCAATGTAAACATCACAACTTTTTTTAAGGTTTTACCTTACTGCACCCAGACCTTTATTGAGATAATGTGGTCTGGGGACTTTAGTGTTCTTTAACAAGCGTGTTTGTGAAAAAGAAATCAAAATGTAGAAATTCTCACTGCCTTCATCGTGTCGCGTTGTCAGACATTTTTATCAGCTCCGCCCCCTCCTGCCACTGCACATAGCCACCACGTGGCCGACCGTTCAGAACTGTACCTGAATGGCGATTCTGTTCTACCTAAGGGATCTCAGCGCTATTTGGACAATTTGGGGGCTCAGACCTGGGCAATTCGGGGATATATAAATTGTGGGATTCCTGTGTACCATGGCTGTATTTTCAGGGGGGTTTATGTATTTCTTATGTGGTTCCCTGTAACTGAGAGATAATTGAGTGACTGGTCTTTGACTCCATTATCTCCCAGACACAGGGACGCCTGGGAGGGGTTTGTGTTGTGTTGAATGGAGACCCCATGCTGGTGGTCTGTGCATTAAAAGCCGAGTGTGACAGAATACAATCAGTTGTACTCCCAGAACTGTGTGTCGTCCAGTTACTGGGGAGGGATAGAGCTATTCACATTCCAGTGCCTTGTTCCAGTTATCCCGGATCCAGCGGAGGAAAGTCCTTAGCAAAACCAGAATCAATGTTTCTCCTTCTCCAATGCAATGTGTGCCTGGCTGTGCCAGGACTGAACTGGATTGTGATGGCAACTGATAAATCTTAAAGAAAAACACGCGTTCTAGGTGATTTTCAGTGTTTTATTCCACTGTATATTTTCCAGAGAAATCATGCTTTCCCTTTAAACAGCACTGGACATGAAATAGTTACTTCAATACATCGAATGTTCCATGTGCTGTCAGCAATGAGGGGTGTGTAGCGTATGGAGTGACTTGCAGCTGTTCTGTGTGATCAGTAACCCCCCCCCCCTCTTCCCTTGCATTTTTAGAGCAGCACTTAGACATGCAACAGCTTGCAATGCAGCCCTCTTAAAGAGCCCCGTTCTACTTCCATGTCGGGATAGAGGATCGGTCCCTATGTGTTTCCCTATGATGGGGCGCACCGTGCACCCCAGTGATAACACAGAGGGGCTACCTAGAGGACATAACTTCAAAACCTAAATCCCAAAAATCTGACAGAATGGTTTAAATACATGTGTGGATGATGTAATGATCTGTGTGTAAAATATTATTTATCTCACCCTATACACAGCGTCCCAATTAATTTACACAAAGAAAGCCCAATCAGGCATCTTTATCTATATAAACTAATAAATGATGAAATTCATGGAGTCTCTATATTACATGGAAATTTATATAATGCTTCCAAAATGGGGGGTCAGGTTTTAAATAGATTCCTTTCTCATTCTGCATCTAGGTTCATGATGCCTCACTGCCTCGCTCATGGCTGCAGGAACTGCTGCGACACGTCAGACCCATCGGTTACTTTTCATGCATTTCCAGATTGCGTGGAGGCAGCGCAGCGCTGGGCTGGCCTGTGCGAAGTGTCAGAAGCAGACCGTAACCACTTAATACAGGATGTACAACGAGGTCACTCCGCGAAGTATCATATCTGCTCCCTGCACTTTGCTGACAGTGATTTTGAGGAAAGTCTGTCCTCACCCAATGGAGAGGCACCAGGAGGGGCGAAACGCAAACTGCGATATGGTGCACAGCCCTCCGTGTTTCTTACAGCTCCAATTGGGTCCAATGACGAATGTTCAGAGAAAGGTGAACAGGTGAGGAAAAAAACGCTCAATATCTATCATATGGTCATTTTGTATAACCTCATACCATATAGCAGTGTATTGTATAACATCATATTATATAGCCATATTGTATAACCTCATATCACATAGCCGTGTATTGTATAACATCATATTATATAGCCATATTGTATAACATCATATTATATAGCCATATTGTATAACCTCATATCATATAGCAGTGTATTGTATAACATCATATTATATAGCCATATAGTATAACCTCATATTATATAGCTGTGTATTGTTAGACATCATATTGTATAACCTCATATCATATAGCAGTGTATTGTATAACAACAAATATCCACAAATAATGGCAGTGGTGTTTGGAAGTTCCGAGAAGAACAGTTTAAATAAAGAATTATGGAACACTCTCTTTAATAGAGTGTGATGGAGTCAATAGAACTGGGACGCTGGCAAATCTAATCTTATTTTGAAAAGACCCCCAATGGTGACATGTCAAGTCAGTGTGTGCTGGCCTAGAGGTGCGTTTTTTAAGGTGAATTATTTCATGCCCTCATTCCAGATTAGATGGTAATTCTCTCATGTTATAGAGCCCTTTAAACATCTCTTATTATGCACACTGATGCTAATATGGATCTTCCTACCTGTAAGATGTCCCAGTGTTGGTCTTATATATGGAGGTAAACATCCCAACGTCCAATAAAATAATAGTTTAGAATTTCTTGTTTTTTAGGCTTCTGATGTCATATCTCCAGAGTTTCAGGACACAGAAACCAGACCGCCCCCAAGCAAAAGCCCCACTTGTAACTGACCCTTGCCGGTCCAACAGACCCCTCCTATTGTGCAGATAATGTGTGTTAAGAGCAAGCTGCCAGGCCATCTTTACATGTGTTATTCTCCACCTTCATAAATCAGTTACTCTACATTGTTATTGCGTGTTCTGGATATTTTTATCAGTAGCAGGGATCATAATACTGGCCGAAGGGTGCATTCATGAATGTCACACTATATAACAATATAACATCTCATTTGTAGTTCAGACACTCCATTCCTTCTGCTGATTAGTGTCTGTAGTGGAGCACCCTGTACCCCGGCTGAGTACCTCTGCCAAGGACCGCTTCCAAGCTGGAACCAGGGAAAACCTCAGCGCTTCTGCCCCAGTCATCATGGCTTGACTGGGGTCCTCCTAGAACCTCTCCGTCCTGGAACAGGATAAGGAACTAGCTCTATTTTCTCCCAGTAACTAGACGACACATAGTTCTGGGAGTGCAACTGATTTTAATGAGCCAAACTCGGCCTTTTCTGCACAGACCCCAGCAGGGTGTCTTCATTGTATTCAACACAAGCCCCTCCCAGGAATCTCTGGGCATGGGAGATAATTACGTTAAAGACGTTAATTTTCCCATAGGAACAGAGAACCCAACACAAAATATAAAAAAAAGGACCCCAAAACATACAATAACCCCACATATTAAACATCCCCAAATAGCCCTGATCCAAGTGCCCAAGTTCTCCAAATAGAGCTCAGATACATGCAGTGAAGGGGAAATGCCACCGTGTTGAAGTTCTTACTGGCCGCAAATGTGGTCCTATGCCTAAAATAGTTCCAGGGCGCTTGGTGCTTCTGCAGGCCAACTTTCGTGAGCTCCTGCGGCCGCAATACGGGGTGCTCCACCTTGCTCTACGGTAGCATTTCTTCGCCTTAGTCTCAGGCACCTTCCCTCCAAAAAGCGCTCTCCTGGTACCGCACGGTCACCTCATGCCAAAACACATTCTATAATATTCGCAACTATGTCTCGCTGAGGTGACTGTGAACCCACAAAGTCCTCATGACGAAATTGGTTCCATAGCGGTCGCGGCTAAGTACTGCTGGGACTATTTATGGCTTTGGTTCATGTGAACGTCCAGCATCGGTTCCATTCGTATGAAGGGAAAGTGCCAAACCAGAGGCACCCAGGGAAAGTTGTTAATTGCGGCTTGGCAGAGTAACTCCCAAACGGTGTCCCAAACCTTGGCCATAGTCGGTGGGCAGGAGGCCGGCTTCCACATTCCTCCAGGAGTCCGTGGCAAACGTACTTGTGAAGGAGTGTTTGTCACAGCGTCCTTACCTCGATATCCAAGAGGAAGGTGGCCTGTGTGTCGGGATTTAGGATGCCAGCTGTGCTTTGTCTTGTGTGTTGTGGTGGGGATGGGACACTGACTTTTTTTTGTTATGTAATTTCTCTTTGATTGTGTCTTCAGGTCCCAGTTGCGCACCCTGAGCTTCATTTCAAATCTGAGACTGTATCTGGGAAGGAATACTCCTGTGCATCACACTGCGTCACTCAAACTGTGGTTCGCAGCTCCCACCAAAACATGGACCAGGTGAGTCCCTTGGACAAAGCTTCAGACGTGGCCTGCTTTATGCATCCCTGTACAATCGACACTTTCCTAATGTCATTGATTAAACCTGCCCTTGTGTCCGTCTTTGTCAGAGAGGGGATTAAACAATGAAATGTACTGTATCAGAGAGGGGATTGAAGCAAGGCGTGACAAATCCCAGGTTGCCATGGCGACCAGGAAATTTGTCCTGGTGCCTGGGATTTGTGAGCCTGTTCAGTTCCCGAGGTGACCTGCTGCCTGAGAGCGGAGGCGGACAGCCGGTTAATGGAGGGCTCAAGCAGACAGGCGGGAGGCTGATTAAGTGCTAGGGCATCTCCCTGCTCTGCTCCCTCGCATGCCCTGCAGAGCAGGGAGGTGAACAGAGCAGCCCCAGTGGACCCCAGGGAATGCCGATCCACTCCAGCTCTCCCAAAAGTAGGAAGGCTGGGTGGACACATTTTAAGTAAACCAATAATAGTTTGTGAGTGTGTGAGTGCTGCAGTATTACTGTGTGAGTGAGTGTGTGACAGTCTGTCTGTGAGTGTGTGGCTGTCAGTCTGTCTGTGAGTGTGTGGCTGTCAGTGAGACATTGTCCGTGTGTGTCAGTGACTGTATGTGTCTGAGAGTGTGTGCTTTTGTCTGTCTGTGAGTGAGTGTGTTTAGGTCCCCAGCCTCCCTCCAATCACATGGGAAAGGTGTTTTTACTCACACTTTTTTTTCCCACGCTGTGCTAATATTGCTCTGGCTGGCCCACCTCCATGGCAGAGATCATCGATCTTGACTATCTCAGCCTATCCAATGCGACCCCTTTGGAAAGCATTGGAAGACTATTGCGCATGCACGCAAAACGCCACGCTGCGCAAATTCACATCTACTCATAGAGATACATTGAGTCAGTGCATCCCTATGGGGAATATTAAGCATCTCCATGTAACAGTGGCCTAGGAAGCACCTCTAGAGGCCGTCTGAGTGACTGTCGTTTCACTAACCAGCAATATAAACACTGCCTTTTATCTGAAAAGTGTGCAGGGGCAGGCTATAGACTTCAGAACAACTTCATTAAACTGTAATGGTAGAGGTGACTATCGTGTCCCTTTAAGAGTTGTATTTTTGACATTGGAAAAATCTGGCTCCTAAACTGGCTCTTAGATTTGAACTAAATTTGTCAGGCCCTGCATTAAATTTCTTTAATTTTCTTTACATTGGAATTCACATTCAATGTATGACTTGGTTTAAACTGCTTTATATCGGATTGATTGCTTCAAGCTAAATAAACCACTTAATGTTCGATTAAAAAAAAAATTAGAATGAATAATGCCATTAGGCCACGATTTTAATATTTTTGGATGAGCTTAAAGGGACATTCTAGGCATCAAAACAACTTTAGCTGAATGAAGCAGTTTTGGTATATAGCTCATACCTCTGCAGTCTCACTGCTAAATCTTCTGCCATTTAGGAGTTAAATCACTTTGTTTCTGTTCATGCAGCCCTAGCCACACCTCCCCTGGCTATGATTGACAGAGCCTGCATGAAAAAAAGTGTTTAATTTTCATTTAGATATTAACTTGCTTTAGAAGTTTTTATCTCCTGTTCTGTAAATGTAACTTTACTCACACTCAGGAGGCAGGAGGCACCTGCAGGGTCTAGAAGGGTACTAACAGAACAGAAGATAAAAAAAAAAAAAATTAAAAGAAAAGTAAACCGAATGTTCAATAAGGGACGTTTACACGTGAGATCTTTCTTTACAGGAAGTGTTTAGGAAGGCTGTGTCACATGCAGGGAGGGCTGCATAAACAAAGTGATATAACTTCTAAATGACAATGAATTGAGCAATGAGATTGCAGGGACATGATCTGTATGACAAATCTCCTCCATTAAAGGACCACTATAGTGCCGGGAAAACATACTCGTTTTCCTGGCACTATAGTGCCCTGAGGGTGCCCCCACCCTCAGGGACCCCCTCCCGCCCGGCTCTGGAAGGGGGAAAGGGGTAAAAACTTACCTTTTTCTAGCGCTGGGGGGAGAGCTCTCCTCCTCCGATCCTCCTCTTCTCCTCCTCGTCGGCTGAATGCGCACGCACGGCAAGAGCTGTGCGCGCATTCAGCCGGTAACATAGGAAAGCATTATCAATGCTTTCCTATGGACACTGGCGTGCTCTCACTGTGAATATCACAGTGAGCATCACGCAAGCGCCTCTAGCAGCTGTCAATGAGACATCCACTAGAGGAAATAGGGGAAGGCTTAACCCATTCATAAACATAGCAGTTTCTCTGAAACTGCTATGTTTATGAAAAAATGGGTTAACCCTAGCTGGACCAGGCACCCAGACCACCTCATTAAGCTGAAGTGGTCTGGGTGCCTAGATTGGTCCTTTAAGCTGAATTTGTTTTGTTGCCTACAGTGTCCGTTTTATATTTTTGGATAAACTTTTAAAATTATCTAATACTTTGAAAAATAATTGAATATCTTAACATTTTTATATTTTTTAATATATTGAGAAATATATATATATTTTACATTTGATATATATGAATATTTTGAAAAAATAATTTTAAAAGCTCATCCAAAAATATTAAATAATTTGAAAAGTATAAAATCAAGGTCTTACATTGGATATATTGCTGTGTAAATTGTGCAACTTTTCATCCGTAGTTTTCTGTTGGTGTTACGTCAACAGCAATTTAATTTCACTATTTACTAAGCAAGTCTTTTAATGTGCTCATGATTTTAAAGATTCACAATTTTTTTAAATTTATTTTTTATAATTTTTGCCCCTTTATGATGGCCCCCATATTTTATAAAACTCCTGCTTGGCTGGGAGAAGTCATAGGGGATATGTAGATTGTAAGCTCACGGGCAGGCCCTCTACCTGTTTCAGTCTGTTCTTATTGGCCCTGCCAGATAGGAGTTTCAGAGCAGCACCTAGCAGATCTCAGAGGGGGCCAAGTAGTTGCTGCTTGAGTTACAGGAGCATCAGCCACAAACTTTGAAGAATTATTGGATGTTTCACATAGAATAATCTCAAAAATAATTCCAGCAAGTGCCACGGGTGGGCAAAGGGGAAGTGTTCTTTGAAGCTTACTGACAGCGATAAATAAAAAATCTCAGGGTGAGTTTTAGTTGCTAGAGACAGACAGTGTAAGATCTCTTCCTGTATCTTCCTGCATAACATCTAATGTTCCCCTTTCCTAAGGTTTCCCATTTCTAAGTAATAAGGTTCCGTCATAGTTTATTCAATCAATCTGCTTAAACGAACACTTCAAGTGACAGACACACTCACTGACAGATACTCACAGACAGACACACACACGCTCACTGACAGAAACACACACACATTTACATATTCTTGCACTCACATCATTTTATTTATTACTCCCTACCTTTGGGAGCTAGTGTGGGCCCTTTTCTGTCTGGAAATCTCCTTCCTGATCTTCACTGCTCCCTCACGCTCGCAGTTTAGTGATGCCGGGTGCCAGAGTACGACAAATTCCAGCCCCCGGCATCACTAGAGACGGCGAGCGCAAGGGAGCAGTGAGGAGCAGGAAGACAGAGCTCCCTCGCTGCCGCCAGGAACCTCTCATCCCCGGCCGGGTAACCTATAGCAGATTGACTTGCGGCTCGCTGGGCTGCAAAGTGTCCATTGTGGGCTTCGAGTTTGACATGCTTGCTGTAGAGTAAAGCATCGCTGCACAGGACTGTTTGGCTGAGAGTGATCAGCTGATGCTTGGAACCAATGAACTCAGCCCTGCATATTCCTGCATTGTTTTATAGAGAATGCTGGATACAGCGGATGTGGCCACAAGTTGTTCTGCTAAAATGGATACTTCTGACACCATAACTAGGACAGCACAGAGTGTAGTGGTTATGGTGCTTTGCGTATTCCATGTTTGTTTGTGATGTTTTTGTCTTTTTTCTTCTTTTCTTTACTGAAAGTGTGTTGCTTTCCTCCCTTGTTCACATTAGATTGTCCTTAATTTCCTGGAGCAGAATAAGAAGCTGATTGGGGATAATGTGTCCGTCCAGTGTGCTGCGCAGTGCTCAGGGTCATGCAATATTACACAGGGCATGGTGAAACAGGTGAGTATAAAGGGATCCTCCCTGAGTGCTGCCATCGGGGGAAGTGTTTATCTAACGGCAAATCACACACCGCTTTCAGAATGCATTAACAAATTGTCATCATGGAGTGCGCATGTGCTCCTAGCTCCTTAGAGCGTGCTATCAGGCATGGCGGGAGGAGTTGACAGTTTTCATTTGAGTTAATCTGGGTGCAGTACAGTGAGGTAGTGGGAGAGGGTCAAAGGCAGACAAAAGAATGGGAGGGAGGATGAGGATCACATCGATGTGGGGGGAGAATAGGAACACTTGGTGATGGACGGAGGGTATCACATGGATGGGGGATAGAAGAGGAGGATAGATTTACAGAGATAAACACATTTCCACAAAACGACAGGCCACAGAGGACCATTTCTTTTTCCATTGATCGTGTAGTGATAAAGTGATGTCCTCTCTTCAGATGAAAGCACCTATAAGTCTCTTCATTAATCGTTTTGCAGGTTGTTATTATCTTAATGGAGCCTCCCAAGCACACCCCTCCCAGCACGTCTCAGGAACCCTCCCACAGCTTGACCACCAGCACCCAGACTGAGCGAACACGGGGACCAGAGGATGTGCCCCATCTTGCCAAGCACAGTCCCCCAAAATTGTGCCAGGAGCCCCGGCACACTGTGAGCTCCTGCACCCAGACTGAGGTATCTGAGCTCGGAAAAAGACAAGTCATACAAACTAGAACGCAGCTTGATTCATATAGTGCATTGCACATGGGATATTTTCCATATCTATAGCCAGTACCTGTATTGTCCTTGTACACAGTCTGTATATTATTGGTACCCATAATGCCCCTTAACCTAGTCTGTGCAGAGTCCGTCTCTAGCCATTACCTTTAATACACCTGTACCTGCCCTGCACATTGTGTTTCTTAATAGCCTGTCTATCTATGAACAGCTTCCCCTAGTGCTGGCTTGTGATCACTCTGTATTTGCAGCTCAGCATGGAGTATCTGCAGAAACACCTCAGGAATCCTAAGGAAGAAGCCGCAAGCAGCTCGTACTTCCCACAAAGACCCCACTTCTGCCAGAAACATGCACAGTGTGACCCCTGCTTTCTGACGCCTTCCATAAACCAGGTGAGTCGCTCCCATGGGGATTCTACATCCGCCTGTCAATTGTCTGTGGGTCAATTAATATGAAAATTACAAACTCTTTTGACACAGAAAAAGATTTGTAAACATGAAGTCACCGTACTTAACTTACCGTGTTAATCCTGTCTGTCACTGACGGTGAACCTCCCCTGTCTGTCACTGACTGTGAACCTCCCCTGTCTGTCACTTACTGTGAACCTCCCCTGTCTGTCACTGACTGTGAACCTCCCCTGTCTGTCACTGACTGTGAACCTCCCCTCTCTGTCACTGACTGTGAACCTCCCCTGTCTGTCACTGACTGTGCATCATCCCCCTGTCTGTCACTGACTGTGAACCTCCCCTGTCTGTCACTGACTGTGAACCTCCCCTGTCTGTCACTGACTGTGAACCATCCCCCTGTCTGTCACTGACTGTGCATCATCCCCCTGTCTGTCACTGACTGTGAACCATCCCCCTGTCTGTCACTGACTGTGAACCATCCCCCTGTCTGTCACTGACTGTGAACCATCCCCCTGTCTGTCACTGACTGTGAACCTCCCCCTGTCTGTCACTGACTGTGAACCTCCCCCTGTCTGTCACTGACTGTGCATCTCCCCTGTCTGTCACTGACTGTGAACATCCCCTGTCTGTCACTGACTGTGAACCATCCCCCTGTCTGTCACTGACTGAATCTCCTGTTTATTTTCTTGTAGTATGTTGACAGTTTACTGGCACAGCACAAAGTACCTCTCCAAGAGTCCTCACACAGCTGTTGCATTTCAGCCTCTACCTCCCAGTGTTCCTGCCATCAGTCCACTCCATTCGTAAAACAGGTCTGTCCGCCCCTTTGCCCCTTCAGTTCTGCTTTGTTTATGTATCTCTCAGCCCCTTTATACACTGACCCTGTCATTTAAAGCAAGCATGCTGTTAATTAAAGGAGCACTCCACACACACACATAAAGCACAGTCATATTTGTGGCACTTTATAAAAGAGAGGATTTCAGTAGAATATTTTTAGGGGTTCTTGTTTGCTTCTGTTCGATCCACAGAGCTAATGGGAGCGGCTAGTGTGCTGGGCTAGTGTGCTCCTGCTTTCCCCTTTCTTAATGACTTGTATTATAGCTCACTGAGAAGCATTGGAAAGCCGCGTTGCCCGCGCAGTCGCAGATGCACACAATCAGCTTCTCAATGGGAAGCCTGTTACCGGTCGTGCTGGGAATAAAGACGAGGGCTTATGAAGGCTGCAGACAGCAGGTCCACACCTATTGCTAAAGAAAACATGCAGAAAAAAATCCATGCATGTTTCCTTTGGGGATATATCTATAAGTGGCATTTGAGGATATTGCTTTGTACAAAGTGCTAAAAAAGTAAATATAGGGCTCACCCAAACTGTCGAGCTGATCAGACAGATCTCGAGAGTGCTCCGAGAGAAACGCTCATAATTCATGCCTTTATCAATGTATTTACAGCATCTAAAATAATCAGATAAAGTGCCCTCTGGGATTCCCCAGCTCATATCATTTTGAAGCAGCTCCGATCACATTTAGAGGATCCTGAACACGGCAGGTCTGCGGCCTACTCAACATGGGTGAGAGGGAGGCAGCCCATCTCTCTGTCTTTAGACTTAGCAAAGTCCACTTGTGTCTACCCCCCGCAACGCATGCCGGTGTGGGTTATCTGGGAACTTACTGTTATTGTTGTGCCCAAGCAGCAAGAGTGTTGTCTCCTTTCAAATGGCGGACGCCGTGAGCTCACTTGATTTCAGAGGCCTCTCGTCTCAAATTCTGTCCAAAACCAGTTGATTTTTTGGGTCATGCTTCCTCGCCGACGTCATCCCCTCGTACCAAAGCAGCTGATGCCTACCTGAGAATCTGGTGCTAAGTGAATGGGATGGGGAGGTTTATCCACAGGAGGGCAAAGACTCTGTCACGACCCTGGAGGCCCTGAAAATAGTTAGCACTGTCTCAAATGGGAGCAGAGTTCTCGGGTTGATGCCATATTGGACACAATACTTACCTGGTGACAGGGACATGTGAGCCTCTCCCAGCATTCCTGGCTGTCTACATCGGGGCCTAAGGTCCTCTGGGTTTATGCTTTTGTGCGGGTCTGTGTTCTACCTTTGGAGGGAATCAGTTAACCATATTCCAGGCATCCTGCATGTGCTGGGCTACACAGCGTTAGCCATGACACTAGGGTTTGCTTATGCTTCACATTGTTTTCCATGTTATGTGCTGTAAGCAGTTAATATTTGTTTATATATACATATTATTCTGATTTGCCCCAGCTAAATTGGTGCAGTTATACTGCACCAGTTCAGCTTTATTGTTAATATCACTGCATACTATACTGTCCACCTTCTGCTTTGCTCATAGAACACTCAACCCCTCAATGCACTTACATGGTGTGCAATGCATATCCCATGCTTGTCGATCAAGTCTAAATATATTTTCAATGGAGTGTTCCCATGCACGTGATATTCCCAGCATTTCCTTAAGGGGTTAATATTATTTTTACTAATCTCCATGTTTAACAAACATGTATTTGGATTTCTACGTTATGATTACATTTTTCACACCACACACACGTTTATCCTGTAACTGGGCGCCTCCATCTTAGCTCCCTGTCAATCATTGTTATAAGCTCCGCCCTTTACACCTGGCAGTCAGTATAGAGAGAGCCGCCTCCATCTTAGCTCCCTGTCAATCATTGTTATAAGCTCCGCCCTTTACACCTGGCAGTCAGTATAGAGAGATCCACCTCCATCTTAGCTCCCTGTCAATCATTGTTATAAGCTCCGCCCTTTACACCTGGCAGTCAGTATAGAGAGAGCCACCTCCATCTTAGCTCCTGTCAGTCATTGTTATAAGCTCCACCCTTTACACCTGGCAGTCAGTATAGAGAGAGCCACCTCCATCTTAGCTCCCTGTCAATCATTGTTATAAGCTCCGCCCTTTACACCTGGCGGTCAGTATAGAGAGCCACCTCCATCTTAGCTCCCTGTCAATCATTGTTATAAGCTCCGCCCTTTACACCTCTCAGTCAGTATAGAGAGAGCCACCTCCATCTTAGCTCCCTGTCAATCATTGTTATAAGCTCAGCCCTTTACACCTGGCAGTCAGTATAGAGAGAGCCGCCTCCATCTTAGCTCCCTGTCAATCATTGTTATAAGCTCCGCCCATTACACCTGGCAGTCAGTATAGAGAGAGCCGCCTCCATCTTAGCTCCCTGTCAATCATTGTTATAAGCTCCGCCCATTACACCTCACAGTCAGTATTGAGAGAGCCGCCTCCATCTTAGCTCACTGTCAATCATTGTTATAAGCTCCGCCCATTACACCTGGCAGTCAGCATAGAGAGAGCCACCTCCATCTTAGCTCCCTGTCAGTCATTGTTATAAGCTCCGCCCTTTACACCTGGCAGTCAGTATAGAGAGAGCCGCCTCCATCTTAGCTCCCTGTCAGTCATTGTTATAAGCTCCGCCCTTTACACCTGGCAGTCAGTATAGAGAGAGCCGCCTCCATCTTGGCTCCCTGTCAATCATTGTTATAAGCTCCGCCCTTTACACCTGGCAGTCAGTATAGAGAGAGCCACCTCCATCTTAGCTCCCTGTCAATCATTGTTATAAGCTCCGCCCTTTACACCTGGCAGTCAGTATAGAGAGAGCCACCTCCATCTTAGCTCCCTGTCAATCATTGTTATAAGCTCCGCCCTTTACACCTGTCAGTCAGTATAGAGAGAGCCGCCTCCATCTTAGCTCCCTGTCTATGATTGTTATAAGCTCTGCCCCTGGCAGTCAGCATAGAGAGAGCATACAGAGGGGAGGAGAAATGAAACGATGGTACTATTTCTCCTTCCCAGCACAATGTGTGCCTGGTTTGAAGTAAACCTAGCATCTCATGAAATAATGTTAAAATGCGTTCCGGGTGATTTTCCTCTTTTTACTCTGTGCTGTAAATGCCAGAGAAGTTTCAGTCCCCCATAACTCTACCTTATATTTTTAAATTCTGAGAAAAAGCAACAAATGAGCCCAGCATACCGTGTTTTTGTATTATTGCATTTCTGTTAAGTATAAAATGTTTAAAGGACAACATGCACATTTTGTTTACTGTTTTCTGTTAATTTGCAGATAATCATTAATTTCCTGGAGCAGGGCAATAACCCTGTGAAGCTGGACGTGCCCACTCAACAGACCTCTAGGGACCAGTCGCCCCCTGCAGACTCCAGACAACAGCACATGGAAACTCAGGTGGGACGGGGGACCGTGATAGTGGGGGCTACTGTACAGATAGATGATATTGTTAATGCAGAGGACTATGGAAACTCAGGTGGGACGGGGGACCGTGATAGTGGGGGCTACTGTACAGCTAGCTGATATTGTTAATGCAGAGGACTATGGAAACTCAGGTGGGACGGGGGACCGTGATAGTGGGGGCTACTGAACAGCTAGCTGATATTGTTAATGCAGAGGACCAGGGAAACTCAGGTGTGACGGGGGACCGTGATAGTGGGGGCTACTGTACAGCTAGCTGATATTGTTAATGCAGAGGACCATGGAAACTCAGGTGGGACGGGGGACCGTGATAGTGGGGGCTACTGTACAGCTAGCTGATATTGTTAATGCAGAGGACCATGGAAACTCAGGTGGGACCGGGGACCGTGATAGTGGGGGCTACTGTACAGCTAGCTGATATTGTTAATGCAGAGGACTAGGGAAACTCGGGTGGGACAGGGGACCGTGATAGTGGGGGCTACTGTACAGCTAGCTGATATTATTAATGCAGAGGACTTTACATCAAGACTTCTTTGTTTTTTTTTAACCCCTTGAGTGACAGAGTTTTGCCCATCAGGCAACGTGACGTGCTTTCCGTAATGATTCTTAGTCTGGTATTGCAGTCACAATGGTCCCTTAATCCACAGCAACATTTGTGGGGTTTCTTTTTACAGACACATGAAGAACATTTACAAATAAATCTCAGGAATCCCAGAGATCTATCAGAACACCTGCCTTCCGATTCAGAAGCCCCCACAGAGTATCCTCCCTCACCACCTTCAGCAACCACCTTTCTGACAGGATCTTTAAAAGCGGTACCACACGTTATCCTGTATCGTTACATTATGTTTGTATGGTATAGCACATTAAAATAGGATAAAACCAGTGAGAGATTGTTCTGTTCCCTGTCGCATGCTAGCTTGTCTTTCTGTTACTAGATATTGTTTGAAAACTAGCGCTCTATAGACTATAGGTGGCCAACCTTTTCTGTCCTACATTCCCCATAATTCGCTACTGGCGCTCCAATGGCATGCCTGACCTATACACCTTCTCCAAGAGCCAGATCCTGTGCCCTAGATCCAGTGACTATGGATGAGGGCAGATTGGTCACTGCTGGTTTAGTTTCCAGCATAACCGAATGAATTCTGCGTCTTTATTGTAGGAGGATGGGATGGAGCCCCTCTCCCTGAAGATCCATGAATGTCCCTCTGAATTTGAGTCTCAGTGCAACTATGAACTCCACAGGGTAATGTGTTCTGTGTAACATGATCTCTTAGAGGAAAATCAGCATTTGATGTGTTATGGTGTGTTTGTGTGTGTGTGTGTGTCTGTGTCTCAGAATTTCAAGTTCTACGCGATTAGCCAGGCATTAAATTTACAAGCCACTGCAAGCCTGGAGGGTTAATGGCACACCCACCAGAGGTGAGGTTCTGCTCGCCAGGGCTATTATTTGCTCTCTTTACCCAGTTAGTTGGGGCCTATGTTCGTGTCCCAGTGCTGAAGACATGGAGAAATCATGAGGTGATTGTCTCGTCATTTTTTCCTTAGGATTTGGTGACATTTGAGGACATTGCTGTGTATTTCTCAAAGGACGAATGGAAGCTGTTAGGGGATGAAGAAAAGGAACTGTACAAAGAAGTAATGATGGAAAATTACCACAACTTATGTTCTCTGGGTACGTATGTTAGATGTATAGCTGGGGCAGTTACTGGCTCTCTGGGTAATGGCTGTTAGATGTATAGCTGGGGCAGTTATTGGCTCTCTGGGTAATGGCTGTTAGATGTATAGCTGGGGCAGTTATTGGCTCTCTGGGTAATGGCTGTTAGATGTATAGCTGGGGCAGTTACTGGCTCTCTGGGTAATGCTGTTAGATGTATAGCTGGGGCAGTTATTGGCTCTGGGTAATGGCTGTTAGATGTATAGCTGGGGCAGTTATTGGCTCTCTGGGCGCTGTTAGATGTATAGCTGGGGCAGTTACTGGCTCTGGGTAATGGCTGTTAGATGTATAGCTGGGGCAGTTACTGGCTCTCTGGGTAATGGCTGTTAGATGTATAGCTGGGGCAGTTATTGGCTCTCTGGGTAATGGCTGTTAGATGTATAGCTGGGGCAGTTATTGGCTCTCTGGGTAATGGCTGTTAGATGTATAGCTGGGGCAGTTATTGGCTCTCTGGGTAATGGCTGTTAGATGTATAGCTGGGGCAGTTATTGGCTCTCTGGGTAATGGCTGTTAGATGTATAGCTGGGGCAGTTATTGGCTCTCTGGGTAATGGCTGTTAGATGTATAGCTGGGGCAGTTATTGGCTCTCTGGGTAATGGCTGTTAGATGTATAGCTGGGGCAGTTATTGGCTCTCTGGGTAATGGCTGTTAGATGTATAGCTGGGGCAGTTATTGGCTCTCTGGGTAATGGCTGTTAGATGTATAGCTGGGGCAGTTATTGGCTCTCTGGGTAATGGCTGTTAGATGTATAGCTGGGGCAGTTACTGGCTCTCTGATCCAGTTCACATAAAGTGGGTGTGGTGATTGGGCACAGTGAGTCCCACGTGGTGTCTCATGGGATTGAAATGCTCCTGTCTGGTACATGTTGGTAATCCCAGTTATAGGCTTTGTATGTGGAGATCAGCTATAAGCGATACGTTCCTTATTCTGCTAACACTCCTCTTACAGGGTATTCGAAAGAAAAGCCAGACCTCATCGTGTGCATTGAAAATGAGCAGCTCGACCTGTGGAAGAACAGTGGCCGTGATTGCAAGGACCGCCAAGCTGAGTGGGGTGAGAGGAGTTTGGTGTAGTTTTTAACAAAGTCTTGGTTTGATATTTAGCGCTGATATTATTTAATGGATAGACTGGACAGGGTACTATATTGTCAGTGTTCCAATGTAGAGCTTTTTTACTGTGTGTTTGTGTACTGCTGCACACACTGTGTACTAATGTCTTCTCCTGGTTTTCTATGGGCACAGAGGAGGATCATTGGTGCCCCCTAGACATGGATGTAGAGGTGACCCACTGTCTGGATAGAAAAGACACACAGAAGCCGCAACGCACCGCTGACAGAGGTAAGTAATTGTAGACAGCTGGAATATGAAAATATGACTAAAAGGAGGGGATTATGTGATATACGTTTATTTAATTCATTATGTACTCCCAAATGTAGACACAATTTGATTGAGTTTATAGATTGAGGAAGTCAAATAGCATTGGAAATCATGGCTGTGTTTACATTACATTGTAAAAGAATGAACTAATGGCATTCATGAGATTAGGGTTCTCGTTTGTTCCTGGGAATGAAGGGCGCTGTGGAGGTGTAATTTAGAATATGGGATTATATTCTGGTGACTACGTTACTGTAGATATGTTTTCTGTAATGAACAGAAGGTTAATAAATCAGGTATTGATTCTCATATCCTGTAAAAGGCATGTGGTGGGTTTGGATAATTCTTCTCAACATCACAAATTATTTCAGTTTTTGGCATTATACTAACAGTGGGCTGATGGTTATTCTTTATTACATTCTAAAAGAAGTTTCAATAGTGATAGGACCCCCTGTTAAGGCACTGCATAATGATCTATTGCTTTCATTGGGCAGCATCTGCAGAGGGCAGCAGTCACATTGGTGCCCTGATGAGGTTGGTGAATGAAATTCCTGGATTCCTGCTTGGCAGCTCCGTTACTGATGGCAGCATGTCTCCTGCTGAGAGCCTGGAAGAGCACGAAAACCTCGGACCAATTTCAGAGAGTAAGTCACCTCCCAGTATAGAATCTCTCGCTGTGTATTACTGAGACCCACTCCGTATAATCTGTGTCTCTTTGATAGAATCTCTCGCTGTGTATTACTGAGACCCACTCCGTATAATCTGTGTCTCTTTGATAGAATCTCTCGCTGTGTATTACTGAGACCCACTCCGTATAATCTGTGTCTCTTTGATAGAATCTCTCGCTGTGTATTACTGAGACCTGCTCCGTATAATCTGTATCTCCCCGTATAGAATCTCTCGCTGTGTATTAGGGAGACCTGCTCCGTATAATCTGTGTCTCCCTGTATAGAATCTCTCGCTGTGTATTAGGGAGACCTGCTCCGTATAATCTGTGTCTCTCCGTATAGAATCTCTCGCTGTGTATTACTAAGACCTGCTCTGTATAATCTGTATCTCCCCGTATAGAATCACTCAATGTGTATTACTGAGCCCCACTCCATATAATCTGTATCTCTCCGTATAGAATCACTCAATGTGTATTACTGAGACCTGCTCCGTATAATCTGTATCTCTCCGTATAGAATCACTCAATGTGTATTACTGAGACCTGCTCCGTATAATCTGTATCTCTCCGTATAGAATCACTCAATGTGTATTACTGAGACCTGCTCCGTATAATCTGTATCTCTATGTATAGAATCTCTTGCTGTGTATTACTGAGCCCATCTCCATATAATCTGTATCTCTACGTATAGAATCTCTCGCTGTGTATTACTGAGACCTGCTCCGTATAATCTGTATCTCCCCGTATAGAATCACTCAATGTGTATTACTGACACCCGCTCCGTATAATCTGTATCTCCCCGTATAGAATATCTCGCTGTGTATTACTGAGACCTGCTCCGTATAATCTGTATCTCCCCGTATAGAAACACTCAATGTGTGTTACTGACACCCGCTCCTTATAATCTGGATCCCCCGTATAGGATCACTCAATGTGTATTACTGAGACCCACTCCATATAATTTGTATCTCCTAGTATATCATTACTCACTGTGTATTATTTTCATTTAGTTAAAACTGAAGAAAGCTCCCCAGCCTGCATTCCAGTTTCTCTCCATGTCCCCCACCTGAGAGACACACCAGATATATACTCTGTCAACCGGAGGATGGTGAAGAATATTGAGCCTGTTCTAATTACGTCTGTGACCAAAACAGAGGAATCTAAAACAGGCAAGTTACCCCCAAGATGGCATTCGCTCAGCCTACAGACTGTCTGTAATTTACCCTCAAGTGGATTTTAGCTCAGGATCCATTCCGTCTGCAGGTGGGAGAGGGGAGAATAATAGCTCAGGATCAGGTGTGCAGGTTACCCCTGGGGGAAAGTAATAGCTCAGGATCCTGTGTGCAGGTTACACCGGGGGGAGAATAATGGCTCAGGATCCTGTGTGCAGGTTACCCCGGGGGGAGAGTAATAGTTCAGCATTGTGTGTGCAGGCTACTCCTGGGAGAGAGTACTAACTCAGGATTGTGTGTGCAGGTTACTCCTGGAGAGAGTAATAGCTCATGATCCTCTGTGCAGGTTACCCCGGGGGGGGGGGAGTAATGGCTCAGGATCCTGTGTGCAGGTTATCCCGGGGGGAGCGTAATAGCTCAGGATCGTGTGTGCAGGTTATCCTGGGGGGAGAGTAAAAGCTCAGGATCCTATGTGCAGGTTACTCCTGGGAGAGAGTAATAGCTCAGGATTCTGTGTGCAGGTTAGCCCGGGGGGGAGATTAATAGCTCAGGATCGTGTGTGCTTGTCATCCCTGGGGGAGATTAATAGTTCAGGATTGTGCGTGCAGGTTACTCCTGGGAGAGAGTAATAGCACAGGATCCTGTGTGCAGGTTACACCGGTGGGAGAGTACTAACTCAGGATTGTGTGTGCAGGTTACTCCTGCAGAGAGTAATAGCTCAGGATCCTCTGTGCAGGTTACACCGGGGGGGAGAGTAATGGCTCAGGATTCTGTTTGCAGGTTCCCCAAGGGGGAGAGTAATAGCTCAGGATCCTGTGTGCCGATTACCCCGTGGGGGGAGTAATTGCTCAGGATCCTGTGTGCAGGTTACCCCTGGGGGAGAGTAATAGCTCAGGATCCTGTGTGCAGGTTACCCCTGGGGGAGAGTAATAGCTCAGGATCCTGTGTGCAGGTTACTCCTGGGGAAGCGTAATAGCTCAGGATCCTGTGTGCAGGTTACCCCTGGGGGAGAGTAATGGCTCAGGATCCTGTGTGCAGGTTACCCCGGGGGGAGAGTAATGGCTCAGGATCCTGTGTGCAGGTTACTCCTGGGGAAGCGTAATAGCTCAGGATCCTGTGTGCAGGTTACCCCGGGGGGAGAGTAATGGCTCAGGATCCTGTGTGCAGGTTACCCCGGGGGGAGAGTAATAGCTCAGGACTCTGTGTGCAGGTTACCCCGGGGGGAGAGTAATGGCTCAGGATCCTGTGCGCAGGTTAGCCCGGGGGGAGAGTAATGGCTCAGGATCCTGTGTGCAGGTTACCCCGGGGGGAGAGTAATAGCTCAGGACTCTGTGTGCAGGTTACCCCGGGGGGAGAGTAATGGCTCAGGATCCTGTGCGCAGGTTAGCCCGGGTGGAGAGTAATAGCTGGTGCTGGTCACCCCCGGGGGAGAGTAATAGTTCAGGATTGTGTGTGCAGGTTACTCCTGGGAGAGAGTAATAGCTCAGGATCCTGTGTGCAGGTTACACTGGTGGGAGAGTACCAACTCAGGATTGTGTGTGCAGGTTACTCTTGGAGAGAGTAATAGCTCGGATCCTGTGTGCAGGTTATCCCGCGGAGAGAGTAATAGCTCAGGATCGTGTGTGCTGGTCACCCCCGGGGGAGAGTAATAGTTCAAGATTGTGTGTGCAGGTTACTCCTGGGAGAGAGTAATAGCTCAGGATCCTGTCTGCCAGTTACACCGGGGAGAGAGTAATAGCTCAGGATCCTGTGTGCAGGTTACCCTGCGGGGAGAGTAATAGCACAGAATATTATAGTATAACAGAATATAATAGTATATTGTACTTTACTGGTCAGATCCATGGCACCACAGCAATGGGTAGCTCCTCCCTATCCCTAATTAGACAGGAACCTAAAAAAACAAAAAACAGAATGTATAAGTAACCCCTCCTACCCTTCCCACCCTCAATCGTTTTGTTCCTGTCCTATCCCTAGGACAGACTTAGTCATTCTAAGACTAGAATTTTTTTTCTTTTTGGCTTACATGAGTGTTACCTTCTGCCTCAAGGGAGCTTAGCCTCTCTCTTACTTGGGAAGTCTTCGGTACATGTTCAAAGGTGACCCCCTGGAGAAACCCCGTTAGTGACCAGGGTTTTTACTTGCTGTGACCCTAGAGGTAGCAAGACCATGCAATCACCATAATTCCTGCAGTGACCCAAGGAGTAGCAGGCAGGGCAGGCATATACAGAGCATATATATGGCTATAACCCCTTCTATCCTTCATTGGTTTCATCTAAACGGTAAGAGTTTCCTGCTAATTTGAATTTCAATCAAATGTATTCCTTGGCCTTTGTGTATTTTAATTTGCCACTGGAGTGACTTTTTCTTCACCTTCTGTTATGTCTTTTAATATAGCAGCTGGATTAACTGATTCCTAGGCCTCTGTTGGGTTGTAGCCCCTGGATTCACTTATTCCTAAACCTCTGTTAAGCCTTTTAATCTTGCAGCTGGTTCAGTTAAGTGTGGTGAGATAGCTCAGTGGGTTAATACTTTATCAGAATGATTTGTTCAACCCTTGGGGGTCGCAGGTTGTAATTTTTTTTATTTTATTTTTAATTCTTTATTTTTGTCAATGACATAGACTGTCAATGTAACACTGTATGGCTTGTGCAAATGCCTTGTTGCAGTAAAGATAACATTGTATACATGGTACAGAAAGGAAAATGGAGTGGTTAATACATGCAGTGGTTAATAAATGCAGCATGTCATTCAATACTGGGTGGTTTGTTCACAGTCAGTCAAGGTTTTTTTTTTGGTTTTTTTTTGTAAAATAACATACACTAGCATTCTGGCGCAACAATGGCCTTACAAACAATGACCGTTCCTTAAAGAGTACATTGGATCCCCCGACAGAACGATATATAGTGGAGTTACAGAGTGCGAACCATCAGTCACGGGGTGTGCCTTTGGCATTTTGTTATAATTTTTCCTAGTGCCTTTGAGTACTGAGCCGCTGGGCTCACTGATTCTAAATATTAGTATTCTAATATGCATTTGCCACTTTATTCACTATTTCTAGGCCTCTGCGATTTTTATACCTTGTGATTTCTCTTGTGCAGTCACAGCTATCTGCCACTTTTATTGCATTATTATGTGCTTCTATGTTTGTTTTTAGGCATTCACTAACTTTATTATTCTATTTCTATGTCTCTGTACTTGGTAATAGGTTATTTGCTGTTCTGTTCCTCTATCTCAACCTTTTGACGTGTTTTATTATTGGTCCCTAGGTTTTTATACTTACTTGGGTGCCCATTCAGGTTTTTTCCTCTGCATTTAATCTCCGCGAATACGCAGGCGCTAGCCTAATGGTCGCGCCATGCCATTTCTGTACATGCGCGGATATCTGATTCGCTCGTGTGTATTCTGAAATGTAAGTTCAGTTGCGGTGGTTGCAGGGTCGTATTGGCTTCCCCTTTTCAGCACAATGTTTCTTATAGTTTTCTATATTAAGTAAGGAGATTTGTGTGCAGTTTTCATCCTATTTGAATTCTCCTTTTTGGTTTTGGTAAGTTTTTCTTTATTGAAGGTATATTACATATTTTTCTGTATATATCAATCTCTACTTGTTTAGCAGAGATTTGCTTTGTTAAGGATAAAAAGGAATCTTATGTAGTTATGGATTCAGATCCCTCTGTTCCCGGAAAAAGGTCACACTGTAAGAGACATAGGTAAGCCATTCTATTTTTTCTGTTGTTACTAAACCAAAGAGTGCCTATCAATAATTTGAATTCCCTATGATGATAGCTCTACGGGAAGAAAATAATCCGGATCATACAAAGGAAGTCCCCCTAAAGGATAGTTTGTGAGGCAAATGATAAGAGAGCCTTGTAAAAGTAAAGTCTCTGCACAGACTGTCTGAAAGCAGCTTCAGGCCCATCTACCACTATGCCGTATGTTATGCAATATCAAACAGGAGGTATCTCAAGACGTCATAGAAGCTGTTAAAGCTCGGATCCTCTGGGCAATTCCCAGAATGAATACCCTGAGGAATCTTTGGAGATGTATACATTCAGAGATATGGAAGTTTTCAACACAAGGGTGTCTCTTCGTCTTCATCCATTGGGATTTCAGACACTAGTGCCTGTGACTTTGCTCCTAAGTAGATGAGGCAGTACTTAGACTGGCTAAATGTTCCTCTCTGCCTGTAAACAATGTGGGATCTCTCTGAGACTCCATGGAGTATACATGGTCCTGCTCCTCTCTAAAGCCTATGTGGCAGCTGGCACAGGTTTTTATCATGCTGTAAGGTCTTACCTCAATCTTTAAGGATCTAAGATTGGTATGGATAATTTGATTTGGAGGAGCATATCAGAGATAAATTTCCTTTTGTCTGTTGACAATTTACAAGTCATTAAGCCAGAAATAGTCTTCAGCTAAGAAGCCTACGTAGGTTGCATTATATTCTGGCCAGAAATATGACTTTATCTATATCTACTCTTTGGCTTAGTACCTGGTCCACAGATGCATCCTCCTAAATGAATGGATCAAGAGAACGGCAGAGGGAAGTGTAACAGAGCTCCCTGTACCCCGACTGGGTAAGTTCGCCAAGTGCCGCTTCCTAGCTGGAACAGAAGACAAACCGCAGCACTTCTGCCCACAGTCACTGTGGCTTGACTGGGGCCCTGGAACCACTTCTTCCTGGAGCCGAATGGGGAAATACAAGGTCTTTCCACGTTGAATCCACTGCAAGCTGGAACAGCAGACACAGGAGTAAATCTTCTATCCCTCCAATAACAGGACGACACACAGTTTTGGAGTGTAAGCTGGAATAGCATTTTAATGGAGGCACACTGGCCTTTTATGCAAATTTCCCAGCAAGGGCGACACCCAGGTGGACCTTGTTGGGCACAGGGACACAAAGTGAACAAACCAATAAAAAAAAGTCATACAGTGAGACACTCCCATACACAAACAAAAGAATCCCTCTTCTGTGCTTGGTAGATAATTGAATCAGGAACTTTACTAATCTAAACCAATTATCTTCAAGGATAGAAAAAACATACAATTTTATGAAACCCCAAAAAGTACCTTAAAAACACACAAAACCCCTGATAGCCCCGTTCTGGTTGAACAACATATCCAAAAATCACCCAGATCGGTTCAGGGGTTCAGGAATTTCCTTGAAGTCATAGTTTTGACCGACCACAAGCATGGCCCCGTGCCCAAGACAGTTCCAGGGAAATCACCGCTAACAGTCGGTCAAGTTCGGTAGTCTTTTACAGGTTTTCCTGCAGGGCCCATAGTCTGTGGTCAGGAGGCTGGTGGGCAGGCTCCTCCAGGAGCTTGTGGCAAACTTGGGCGAAAAGTTGGAGTTTGCCACAGCAAAGCTTGTCTACTTCAAGACCTAAGGTTCAGGAGACCCTTTTGATTTAAGCACTCTCATTAACTTTCTTCTCAGACCAAGGTATTTCACACCAGGAAGAGAGTATGGTAGATCTCAACCTTGATGTAAGTGGTCATTTTTCTATCAGAGGAAGAGAAAAGGTAAAAAGAGATGCTTTGTAAATTTCATGGCCTCCCTTCAGTTAGAGGGAGCTTTTTTGAGAAATGTTAAAAGCAGCTAGAACACAAAGATTTTGTTTCTAACAGGTGGATGGAAATCCACTCTAGTTTACAGGATTCTTGAACATTCTTCTTTATAAATTCCTAGTAGATTGGATGATGTCTATAGATTTGCAGGATGCTTATTGCCATGTAGCCATTTCCTCACATCACCAGATGTGCCTCAGATTGCAGTGGATTGACATTTTCAGTTTTACATCTTCATGGTGAAAGATGAATGTCTGCTGTAGTCACCTCTTGCTCCCTCTCAGTTCAGGGTATATCTGGGAACACAGTTTGACATGGTCCAAGGTACAGCTCTCTTCAGACTAGCATATTACCTCAGCAGAGAGTGTTGTGATCCAGGTCCTCCACCACAGATCTGATAAGATGGCACAAGGGAGGAGGTTAACTTTCCTATGGAATTTCCTTGGCCAGTGATAACTATGAATACCATCAACTGGGGTTAAGGAACTTTTTCTCCAAAATGGAATATGTTCAGGAAAGGGACACCCTTAACATCTTCTGCATAGGTTGCAAGAGCCAATATCAATCATCCTGACAGTTCCATATTGGTACCCAGTCCATCGTTTCCACTTCTATTTATCTTCTTCAGTACCTCCATGGGATCCCCCAAAATAGTTCTTCCCTCTTCCTTCAGATCCAGTGCCACTTTCCTTATTCTGAAGGTTTTGATAATGTAAAGAAGGGCTTAAATATAAGGGGTTTTGAACTACTGTAATTATTACCCTTCTGAAGGCCATGGAAGACGTATATCCTTGGCTACCTTTACAGAGTTGAGTGTCTCAGCACTCTGATCTCTCTTTTCATGAAAAGGCTTTGATATGGAGGTATCTCAATTTCTGATGGCTGTATTTATAGTCCCGCGGTTCACCATTGCTCCCAGTGGAATTCTTCAGTTTTTTTTTAATTTCTTTTTTTAGGGCTCTGAAATTTTCACCCCTTTCAACCATGAGGGTATATCTCTCCACAACTGCTTAATATTAAGTTAGCTCTATCGGTGACATTCGCATGGACTGAAGGATATCAGATCTTCAAGCACTATTTTGCATAGAACCCTTTACTGCCTTCCACAATATATCTAAAGCCTATTGATTAGAATGTAGAGCCAGTAATAAAACTTTCTCCTCCTGTCCTAGATTTTTATAGATCCGCTTTCTGGATTTCTTCTGTTTATCTTTACTAATAGACCATAAAGGTCTTCAAGCCTCTATATAAGCCATAAGAAGATGGATAGTCTTGGCTTTTTTTAGGCTACTAAGCCCTGGGGGTTACAGTACTTAAAGGTATGTTTGCTCTAGAGCCATTTCTCCCTCTTGAGCATTGGTGGCCAAGTTTCCCTGGAACTTGTAGGTAAATGGCTGCTTGGTCCTCAATCAATTTTCAGACATTTTATTTTTTTTGTGGTACATTTGAGTTGGTCAGTTTGATAATGTGCCATTAGTGGGCAATCAGTTTTTCATGTCCTTATGAGGTGTGTGTGTGTGTTGTCAATTTGCATTCATATTTAGGAAGTCTTGTGTATTTCTTTCACTTCCTTGGTTATTTCTTGGGTATTACCCATTGTTGTGCTGCCATGGATAAGGCCAGGAAAAAGGAAAATGTATTCCTACTTACCGTAATTTTCTTTTCCTGGTCATAGGCCATGGCAGCACAAAGATCCCGCCCTGGGGTATTGCTGGAAACAAGACTGAGGGTGGGAGGGCTAGGAGGGGTTACTTATACCTTCTGTTTTAATTAGGTTCCTGTCTGGTTAGGGGTAGGGAGGAGATACCCATTGTTGTGCTGCCATGGCCTATGACCAGGAAAAGAAAATTACGGTAAGTAGGAATAAATTTTCCTTTATTATATTCTGTTATACTATTATATTATACTATTATATTCTGTTATACTATTATATTATACTATTATATTCTGTTATATACTATTACACTATTATATTACTCACCCAGGACATACTTGAAAATGAGTTAAATCTCAATATATCCTTACTGGTAAAATATTTTATTAACAAATAAATATTCTGTTATACTATTATATTATATTATCTGTTATACTATTATATTCTGTTATACTATTATATTATATTCAGTTATATTATCATATCATATTATATTATATTCTGTTATATACTATTACAGTATTCTATTACGCTCACCCAGGACATACTTGAAAATTTGTTAAATCTCAATGTATCCTTCCTGGTAAAATATTTTATTTATAAATAAATATTCTGTTATACTATCATATTCTAATCTGATATACTATTATATTCTGTTATACTATTATATTCTGTTATACTATTATATTCTGTTATACTATTGACAGATGGACTGTAGGTCCGTTAACTTGGCAAAAAAACTGAACTTGTGTCAGATCTGTCCATTTCCAAAGACACACACTCTGCATAACAAAAATTACTCTTGCTTTGTCTCATTTATAAAAAAAAAAAAAAGTGAATTTAACATACAAAAAAATAAGGGAAAATGGAGGGTCAGAAGCATTGATTTAAAAAAAGTGGCAGTGCCGCAGTTAATACTCCTGTAAATGTTGTCTTTAATGTGATGTTTCACTGTTCTACCAGCAGAGGTTGCTATAGAAGCAGCTGCCAAACATGAGAAGTCCTTCAGTCTATCTCATCCATCTTCCTGTGACCTGATTGCTAAACGCGAATTTGACGAAGAAGAATGCAGCATTAAACAAGGTCCTCTAAAACCCAGACAGTTTATTACTATGTACACACCCACACAATAGAATATCAAATACGAGAATATTTATTAAAGATTCAAACTAGTGTGCAGAGGTAAAGTATGCCAGGCGAGTTATAGTGTAGGAAATGGTGTCACTGCCCACAACAAATAGTCCGTAGTAAAAAAAAACTAAAGAATTCAATGTAAGTGCATATCCCCTCACTACAAATGATCAATATTACCCTCCTGGGTAAAAAAAGATATATAGGAACCTAAAACAAAAATGCAAGCATATTGCTCTACATAACGCAAATACATGCTGTAAATGTCGCGCTCACATACTGCGGAGTCAGACTTCGAAGCTTGCATAGAAACAGCTAAAATTCAAGCACTGACGTTTTCTTCTATTTGGAATTATTATTATTATTATTATTATTATTGCCATTTATATAGTGCCAACAGATTCCGTAGGAATAAAGTTACATACAAGTTTCCTGTGCCATACTTTAGATTGGAACCAGCATTTACCCCAACCAGGAAATCTTTGGAGAAGGGTTATACAGCCTACTGAAGGAGTTTTTATACAAGCTTCTAAGTCTGACTCCGCAGTATGTGAGTGCGATATTTACAGCATGTATTTGCGTTATGTAGAGCAATATGCTTGCATTTTTGTTTTCGGTTCCTATATATCTTTCTTTACCCAGGAGGGTAATATTGCTCATTTAGTGAGGGGTGTATGCACTTGCACTTAATTCTTTAGTTTTTATCATTTATAGAAGACTGCTTTCAGTAAGATAAATTCTCAGATCTGTTAATGTGATCATTTACATCTGGGTGAAGCACGGAAGAAGAAATCTGATCATTTCAGTAATAACAAACCCAAACAGAAATGGGATTGGCGCTAATCTTGTGTCCTTAACCACAAATAAGACACTTAATTAAAACCGAAAACAAGATATATAAAAAGGGGGTGCAAATTACAAGCAAAAAACTGTGAGTTAAAACCAATTTTCATACATTACATATTGTCTGTTGGTTAAGCTGTAAGAACATAAAAGCTAACATAGCATAATATTGTTTTAAAAATCAGATTAGAATCAAAGGTAATGGATCACTCACAATATCCCGAGCCACAATTAGCAGGCTGTGCCTGTAAAGGTGTTGGTTAATATAGTCCTCGGGCAATCTGCCCCACTCCTGGTCCACTCCTTTCTCAGTAATAAAGAGTCCTCCAGAATAGTAAGAATTTTTCTGTCATCAGTCGTCTGCTCCTCTTACCACCTACTTAAATCTGAAAATTTGCTTCACAGAGCGGTCTCCAACCTGCACCCCTGTACATGGCTTTTTGGGACCGAAAACAATTCCTGATCTGACACACCGGGCCCCTCACACATTAAAAAACCCATCGCACGGCCTGTGTTCCCAGGGAGACCATACACCGGAGGCTGTAATCCGAACAATTCATTGCAAAGGTGGGTCTTGTGTATCGAGCATAGGCCTGAGATCCGAGGTTCTAATTATAAGGGTTAATGGAAGGAAGATTTGACTGCGTAATGTCAGAGGAGATTAGTCAATTCATATTAATCTGATTCGTATACTAGAAATGTATAGTCTAATATGAATTATACTGACACAGCATTCAGCACTCAGTTCTTGCTTTGTAGAACTTCAAAACCTACTCTAGAGAGAGTTAATCTTCTCCGAGCGACTTCTGCTTTCTGCGCTTTACTTTTTTTTCATTACCTTGCAGGGAGTCCGAGCACATGGCTTCGGGCGCCATCAGATCACGCTCTCAGAACATCGCCTGGAAACCAGAGCATTTCCCCAGCGTGGGGAGGGATCCTTAGCATTAAACAAGGTCAGTGACCCCGGCAAGGTGGTGCCTTATGTCAGGAATACAAACTTGTTTTCCTCACACTATATCATCCTTAGGACCCCTCCATCCTCAGGGCCCCCTCCCTTGGCGCTGAAACCCCTTCAGTTACCTTAATCCAGCGCCAGGCTCCCTTGGCGCTGGTGACCTCTCCTCCCCTGCCGATGTCCGCTCCCGAGTGGAGCGGAATGCACATGCGCGGCAAGTGCCGTGCGCGCATTCAAACAGTCCATAGGAAAGCATTTCTCAATGCTTTCCTATGGACGTTCTGCACGCTGGATGCTATTTTCGCATCCAGCGTTGCAGAAGCAAACTCTAGCAGCTGTCAGGAAGACAGCCACTAGAGGTTGGATTAACCCTGCTATGTAAACATACCAGTTTCTCTGAAACTCCAATGTTTACATCTGAAGGACCTGGCACCCAGACCACTTCATTGAGCTGAAGTGGTCTGGGTGACTATAGTGTCCCTTTAATAGAAAATGATGTCTAGTTATTGTGCTGTTTATTTATCAGAATATTGGCAATGATGAACTCGTACCCAGAGGGTTTATAGATGAGAGGTTAGATTTGCCATGGTTAAGCTTAGTGTTTGAGGGATTTAACTGGTTAGTAAATCTAATTGTGTTTTCTCCCTTTTCATGTCTTTTCTCACTGGATTCGGTTTACAGATAACACAGTAATTCACAGTCCTGCCGGCAGAGGCTAACCAACATTTTAACCTCACAGAAATGTTTGTCATATTGTTATTTGATCCCATGTCAGGTTGTTTCTGTCTTTGCAGAGGATTCTGGGAGTGAAGACAATTTGCCTTTGTGCCTATCTGATGTTAGGAAGCTGTCAGCCCCACCTGCTGATCCCCTGCAACAGAACAGAGGGCATCGAAGGCAGGAAGCCCCTAGAAGGTCTCTAGCAGACAGTAAGCATATATTCTACTCTCCGGATTTACCCCCACTGTCACTGCACCGTGGGGTGTTCTGTTAGGAGGTTGATAGAGACTGGATTCTCGCCCCTCACGCAATATCACGTACCCCTCTATTCTTCCTGTATTAAGATCGGGTCTGGGATGTGTGAAACACTTAACCACATATGAGGTTTCAGCCCATGGCGGCATGCATGGGTTTAGCCCCCTGGCCATAAATATTTATATGGTCATAGTTTATTAAAATAGAAAAAGAAACCTAAACCTTTTAAATGATCTAAAAACAAATACTGGAGAATATCCCGCTAAGTATCATGGAATGAGATCACCCCAGCAGTACCCGACTGCAAAATCTTTAATTTACAGCCTGGGATTAAATCAGAACGTGTGTCTCTGGACAGTCCCTGCTTCCCTCCCTCCTGTAAACGCCATTGAAGTGATTTTAGTGGGTATACAGCAGAGGTAGTAAAAGCACACTGTCTGGAGCAATTTCGTATTCACGCGCCACGGCATCAATGTGAAAACATGGTACAAGGTTTTCCTTCAGTAGTGCCTTACACTGCATAGGTTAATTTACGTGGTATGCTCTAGGTGTGCCACACAAATTCTGAATTAAGCTGGTTTAAAAGGATAAATTGCAGAACCCATAGCTAAACAAATATTACATATCAAAAAGGTTAATTTTAATATAAATAGTGTTTGCTCTACTCTGAATGGCTTGTCTTGGGTAACAAAGGGTTATCTAGCAGCTATAACATAGCGTGGAATTCAGGGCAAATCTCGAATAACTAAGTGCTTATGGCTTGTCAGTGTGTAGGGAATTCTGGGAATATATCAGACAATATGGTGCTCCAGCGGTAGAACCTCAATAATGCACAGTAACAGCAGGTTACAGATCAGTAAAGCTGAATGGCCATGACATGCCCAGCAGCCCGTTTTTTCGAGGTATTTATGAGTAATGCTGGTGGAAAAGCTGCCAGAAGGCAGAGTTCACGTTTTCACATCGCGCTTCATGAAATGCTAAGAACAGAGCATGGAGCTGAAACTCTCAGGCTGTCACTGCCCACCCTCATGGCGACTCCAATCACCGTAGCCACTTCATTGAGTCAAAATGGTAATGGTGCCTTCGTTGCCCCTTTTAATATACGTATGTGCTTTTCTCCCCCTTTGTTTGGAAACTTGTTATCGAGTTTCTGGACCCGATCCATTGGTTGTTGTTCCTTTTCTCAGGCATACCTCCAGGTAATTCCCATCTGCATGGCTTGATGAACTGTTTGAAGGAGATATCTGCATGCCAGCCCCGTCCTTTCAGCAACACCGTCACGTCTGCGCGGTGGGGCTTGGAGCTGGGCGGAATATGTGCAGGTGAGACTGTTGTGTGTTACGAGGGCAGATATTAGCAGCATCGCTGAGCAGTTTAAAGGGACACTATAGGTATTCATTGAAGTTGTCTGGGAGCAATTTCCCAGGTCCAATAACCCTGCAATGGTAATTGGTGCAGGTTTTGAGAATGCAATGGTTTGCACAAGCTCTGTATTTTATGACTCTAAGTAACAGTTGCACTTGCTCTGCAATTAACCCTGTTTTCCATAAGATTGATAATTGAAAACTATTCTTGGTCAGGGAAAGATCCCTTGTATTTTTCAATCACCGTGAGGTAACATATCTGTATTTACTGACGGAGTAACATTCGCTGACCTGCATGGATTTTGAGGATTGATGGGATCCCTTGTTGTAGTTTAAAACAGTCCGTTTGTTTACTGAACTGTGAAATGTGGAGAATTGTTAAATTAATTTTAAGTTGTAGATAAAGACTTCTCCAGCTCACATTTTTATTCTAGAAATGTACAATTTTATTTTCCATATACAATTCCAGTTTACCGAATAACCTTTTACTTAGCATTGAAATAATGATGTGTGCAATTCTCATATTGGAAAATAGTGTGTCAATCCACTTTTCCTTGATACAGTAAATCCACTTTTCCTTGATACAGTGCTGATGGCTTCATCGATGTCCATTCATGAACCTATAGTTAATGTTTGAGTAAATTTCCCATAATTCCCTGCCAGCCTGTGAATAGATGCTCTTTGTACCCGTGTCTGATTTGTTTGGGTTGGTGATCCCTTTAGCTTGCTGTCCACATATAGAGATGGGTAGTAGACATTCTTGATACCTCTGTTTTCTGTTGTCTGCTTTGGATAATATTAATGTTTTGTCTTTAGAGACTACCATCCGATCCGGTGGGTCTGTAGTCACCCGTACATCCGAAATCTCACCGGTTCCACCCAACCCTTTCACGGTGGCCGTCACAAATGGAGTTTCCAGGATGCATTATTCACAGCAGCGTACGCCAGAGACTTGGAGCCCACAGCCTGGCCGAGACGGTATGTATAGAGTATGTGAAATGTATTTTTCATCAATTACTGCGGAATATTCCACCATCTTCCATAGCTGATTGAAAGAAAATAGCGTGCCTGCTGTCAGTGTTAGAATTTCTGGGCAGCTGCCGAGTTAAAGATCCAGACCTATATCTCTGTTTCAAGGGTGAGTGTATTTATACAGCGCTCCACTTGAGGGATTAATGGTGAACACCACCTTTTAACCCCGTTATTCGCACAAAATTTAAGATTTTGGTGGGCAGGAGAGATCTCCACATCAGTGTTGTAGCAGCTTTTTAGATTGGCATTTCGGACATTTATCTTTCGAGCGCCTATTTTTATGCATAGAGCACTTTTCACGTTTAATAGATCAATGAACACGCATTTAGCGTCTATACCTACTAAGTGCTTTTAGTTTTTTATTTTAGCGGGAAATAGTTTTTTGTATATTTACTCAGACGCAGACATTGCCACAGGGTCCATTTTATTATCTCTTGCCGGTGTGTATCATAGTGGGAGAAGACAGACTTACTGCTGTGTTTCCGCTCTCTTCTAGGGAAGTTTCTGGATAAAGTTGCTATGCGTGTCCCTGGTTTGCATGGATTGGGAAGGTCTGGGCCCGAGATGGTTGAGGAGATGCGAAGACCAGTCCTGGGCGTGAAAAGAACGCATTCAGAGGGTGTGTTGATCTAGAGGAAGAATCTGTATTTATTGGGGGTTGTGTGTGAAAGTGTTGCGTTACCCTTTTCCTTTGGCATCAGTTTACTCAGATTATCCATACTGTGCCTCTTGTGTCATTTTATTTTCCTGCTCACTTTGTTTCTTGTTTTTGGTTTACAAATCTGTTACTTCCAAATGGGTGGAAGAATTCACTTTTTATTTTTTTTGTCACTGTCTGAGTGGTGGATTTTCTGAAACATGTAAGGATCTTTCACGGTCATTATTTTTACTTTAAAGGAACATTCTATTTTATATCATAGGGGTATATCTAAAAACAGCTTGCAAAAGATGCAGATCTCTCCTCTGCAGCCTTTGCAAGACCACCCAGTCTTTCTGTGGCAGTCCAATCGAAGACCCCTCAATGACAAGTCATTACAAAGTACTCTGGGCAATTGCTGCCTCTTGAGTTTATCTCCAGTGAGCTAAACAAACCAGGAAGTAACAAGATCAGTGTAGCGGAGATGCAATATTCCCCAGGTATCTCCGCTTATAATCCAAGTGAGGCTCAGGAACAAGTAAATTGTAAATCCACAGGCAAGGTCTCCAGCAGGCAAAATAACACAGCAATATCCCACAGCAAAACTGGACGACACACAGTTTCAGGAGCAGAACTGAAATCTTTATTCCACACTGGCCTTTTAAAGCATGCTCCCATGCAAGGGAGGGATTACACTCATTAATACAGTAGCCAATCCTGCCCTGGTAACCTCCCACACATCTCCTCCCCTCAGCCAGCATCATAATCCCCTTATCCAGTACAGTAATTCCCCCCATTTCTGGATGTACCTCTAAACGTAGGGGTACCCCTTTAAATCCTACACCCCCCCCGATAGCCCTGATCTGGGTGAACAACATATCCAAAAATCACCCAGATCAGACCAGGTGTTCGGGAAATTTATGGAGGGAATAAAATGACCGACCGCACTGAGTGAAACCGCCGAATGCGGTTCCATGTGAATGGGCCCTGCGGTCGGTCCTGGAGTAAGGGAACAAACTGCACGAAAGCCTCTAGCTATAGAGGCTAGGGAGGTTTCGCCTGAATCCCCTCGTTCGGCTCTTTCTATCTACCGAACGAGGGGCCGTTCGGTAGAGAACAAAGGACGGCTACTTCACTTGTCAATTACCCGTTCGCAACAATGTTGCAACGGGTAATTGAGGACACACTTCACACAGGGGAGGTCTGACTGTTCGGTTGTTTCATTCGAACAAACTAAGGGAATGAAACTACCTTACATTCAGACGAATCCAATACATTTTACACATAGAACTTAGCTATTTTACACGAATACATTCCCTTACTGCAAAGACATTTAGCAAATAGACGAATACAGTTTAAACATAATGTAAGTCCCAGGGCAGCTCATGGACATCCGCTACAATCAGGTATCTGATTGACAGCCATGGGGGGTGTAACAAGGTCCATTTATAAAAGTGCCAATTTCTAATTAAACCTACACATTTTGTAAACTGAAAAAAGGACGCACTCTACTCATAATAAAGCATTACAACACGCTAAACTGCTTTAAGTGTGTGGAGTGTCCCTTTAAGGAATAAAAATCCTATAAAATATAAATGGGATTTTTCCCCTTGTAATACTATTCATTTGTCTTATTTAGTGAATGTAACCAGTGGTCATCAGGAAAAAAACAGAGCAAACAATGTTAAACAGGAATAATATGTGTCAAAGTCCGATTATTGTGTCACATTACAGAAAAGTATGAAATAAAAGTACAGGTAGTTCCCGACTTTACGATCGAATCAGTTCTAAAGCCTCGCTCATAAAGTGAGAACTAATTTCCCATAGACACAATGTAATAAACACGGGTTCCATTCCTGACCAACACATTTTGCCATTGAAAACCTGAATTATGAAGTACAAATACAAGATGAAAGCATAGCAAATACATACATGTTGTGTGAACAATAAAGGAAGACATACTATATTAAAATCTTCATCAAATCATCTGTCATCTAACTCGACAACGACATGTTGCACTTGTTGAATGTAGCACTGCACTTGTTTCTGGTTAGTTTGAGACGCTCCGTGTGTCTCATTAGCCCCCTCCCCCCCCCCAGTGTCTCATTACCCCCTCCCAGTCCCTCCATGTGTCTCATTTCACATCCCAGTGTCTCATTATACCCTCCCAGCCCCCCCATGTGTCTCATTACCCCCCCCAGGGTCTCATTACCCCCTCCCAGTCCCTCCATGTGTCTCATTCCCAGGGTCTCATAATCCTCAGCCCCCATGTGTCTCATTCCACCTCCTAGTGTCTCATTACCCTCTCCAGCCCCCATGTGTCTCATTCCACCTCCCAGTGTCTCATTACCCTCTCCCAGCCCCTTCATGTGTCTCATTCCTCCCTCCCAGTCCCCATGTGTCTCATTCCCCAGTGTCTCATTACCCCTCAGCCCCTCCATGTGTCTCATTCCACCTCTTAGTGTCTCATTACCCCTACCAGCCCCTCCATGTGTCCCGTTCCTCCCTCCCAGTGTCTCATTACCCCCCAGCCCCTCCATGTGTCTCATTCCACCTCCTAGTGTCTCATTACCCCCTCAGGTGTCTCATTCCCCCCTCCCAGCCCCCTCAGGTGTCTCATTACCCCCCAGCCCCCTCCATGTGTCTCATTCCACCTCCTGGTGTCTCATTATCCTCCCAGCCCTCCCTAGTGTCTCATTACCCCGGTATCTCATTACCCCCTCCCAGCCCCCCATGTGTCTCATTACCCCCAGTGTCTCATTACCTCCCAGCCCCTCCATGTGTCTCATTCCTCCCTCCTAGTGTCTCATTATCCCCCCAGTGTCTCATTACCCCCTCCCAGCCCCTCCATGTGTCTCATTACCCAGTGTCTCATTAGCCCCTCCATGTGTCTCATTATCCCCCCAGTGTCTCATTACCCTCTCCCAGCCCCTCCATGTGTCTCATTACCCCCCCAGTGTCTCATTAGCCCCTCCATGTGTCTCATTATCCCCCCAGTGTCTCATTACCCCCTCCCAGACATGACAGGGGCTGGGAGGGGGTAATGAGACACTGGGGGGGTAATGAGACACATGGAGGGGCTAATGAGACACTGGGGGGGTAATGAGACACATGGAGGGGCTGGGAGGGGGTAATGAGACACTGGGATGTGAAATGAGACACATGGAGGGGCTGGGAGGGGATAATGAGCCACTCCCCCTTCCCTCCTGCTCGCAGTGCCAGACACTCCCCCTTCCCTCCTGCACGCAGTGCCAGACCCTCCCCCTTCCCTCCTGCTCATAGTGCCAGCCACTCCCCCTTCCCCTCTGCTCGCAGAGCCAGCCACTCCCCCTTCCCCTCTGCTCGCAGTGCCAGCCATTCCCGTTTCCCTCCTGCTCGCAGTGCCAGCCACTCCCCCTTCCCTCCTGCTCGCAGTGCCAGACCCTCCCCTTTCCCTCCTGCTCGCAGTGCCAGGGGAGCATCTGGCTTGCTTGAGCAGGGCTGTAGCTGAAACTGAAGGACAGACAGCAAATTGTAAGGTAGGAGAAGAGGGGCTTGGGGGAAGGAGGGGGGCACTGTATTAATTTGAGGGAGGGAGGGGGCACTGTATTAATTTGGGAGAGGGAGGGGGCCAGTATATTAATGGGAGGGAGGGAGGGAGGAGGCTACTGTGTTAAATTGGGGGGGGGGAGGGGAGCAGTGTATTCATTTAAGAGAGGGAAGGGACAGTGTATTAAATTGGGGGGAGAGCCGTGTATTAAAGGGGGGACGGGGCAGTGTGTTAGATTGGGTCTGCATGGAGGTGCTGAATACTCCCCATGGAGATGCAGATTGGCCGTGCAGCTTTTTGCCACACATGTACCATAGCCTCCCAATGCTTTCCTATTGGAAAGCATTGGATTGGCTGAGATCATCAAGTTTGATCTCAGCCAAAGTGAAGAACAAACTCATAGGACTTCAAAATAAACAACACAACGTAATTTGTTTGTTTACAGCTGTGCAACAGCATACATTCACCATTTCAGTCCCATTACCAAACATTTCTTAATATGTCAAGGTAGTTGGACTAAAACGTTGATTATATGCAAATACACGTCTCCTTAACCCCTTAAGGACGGTGGGCATGCTATGCCGTCCTTGGGGACCCGGCTCTAAACGCCCAGTTGTATATAATATATATTATAACAATGATATCGTCAGTGAAAGTGAAGTTTTTCGCATTTTTCACACACAAATGGCACTTACAAGGACGATATAATTGTTGTGATACGTTTTACAGTTTTGAAACACTAATATTTGTGTTCAGTGAAGTCTACCGAGTATAACAGTACCCCTCATGTACAGGTTTTATGGTGGTTTCAAAAGTTAGTCAAATATAAGGCTTGCGTTTCAGTTTTTTCACGTTGAAATTCGCCAGATTGGTTACGTTGCCTTTGAGACCCTATGGTAGTCCAGAGATGAGAATTACCCCCATGATGCATACCATTTGCAAAAGTAGACAACCCAAGGTGTTGCAAATAGGGTATGTCCAGTCTTTTCTAGTAGCCACTTAGTCACAAACACTAAATTGGCGTTCAAATTAGTTTTTTGCATTTTTCACACACAAACAAATATTAAAGCTAATTTTGGCCAGTGTTTGCGACTAAGTGGCTACTTAAAAAGACTGGACATACCCCATTTGCAATACCTTGGGCTGTCTACTTTTGCAACTGGTATGCCATCATGGGGGTAATTTTCTTTCCTGGGCTACCATACGCTCTCAAAGGCAAATCTAAGCAATCTGGCAAATTTAAATGTGAAAAAACTGAAAAATGTAACGTGCTATATTTGACCCTGTAACTTCCCAAAACACCATAAAACCTGTACATAGGGGGTACTGTTTTACACGTTGAATACAAATATGTATTTTATTGCAGTAAAAGCAAAACGTATCATGACATTCACAGTTAAAATTTCTTAAGTTCTCTCATTTATTTATATTGTATTCATATTAAATTGTTTGATAGCTAAATATTTGATGTTAAATGAAAGCCCTATTTCTCCTGAATAAAATGATATATAATAAGGGTGGGTGCACATAATATGAAAGGAGGCGAATTACGCCTGAACAGACATGTAGCGCAAATTCCAGGTTTTGTTTACGTTATATTTTGATCACAACTTGTACATTTGGCTCAGTCCTTAAGGCGTTAAAATAAATTTGCTATTTTGTTTACTTTGAAGCCCTACAAGCGCGAGGATGTCCAGTGTCAGGCAACTTTTTTTATACTGTACTTTTCGAAATAAACCTACGTTTCTACGGAAACTGACGTTTTGGGTTTTTTTTGCGGCCCACATAAACGTAAACCTTGTTTATTTGGCCCGTCTTGGCCTTTGAGTTTGACGTGCTTGTTCTACAGCTAAGCTGACCCACCCTTTGTTTGTCTAACACTAACTCCCATATTAATGCTGGACAGTGTCCAATTAATGGTGGTTACAGACATATTGAGCATATACATGTAAAACCACCTAATGTTATTAAATAAACAGTGTGGGATTGACAGCCAGGGGAGGTCTGGCTAGGACTGCATTAACAAAGCAATTTAACTCCTAAACGGCTTGGAATTGAGCAGAGAGACTGCAGGTACATTATCTATACACCAAAACTGCTTGATTAAGATAACGTTTTGGTGACTATAGTGTCCCTTTTAAATCCAAGCCGTCAGTCTAACTTCCAGAAGTACGTCATCCGGGATCTCACTGGCGATCATGAACCAGCGCTGATTCTTTCCTGCCAAATACATGCATTAAATCATGCAGTCAGCAAACAGAGCGAGAGAGGGCGGGCATGCTAAATGATATCTGAAGTCACAGGACCTGAAAGTGTTAAACATCTTATTCTGAGGCCAGCATGATAAGCATAACAATACTCAGCACCACGTATGCCATGCATACGGTGAAACACGCAAAGTTTGCCCTGTTTGTTCTGAGTTTCCTGTCCTCTGAGCTGTTTTCTGCCCCCATTTTCCACATTGACTATCACTTCCTGTATCACTCTAATGCCCTATTAATGGAGTAATATGTATTCCTGCAGACATGGCGCCCCCATCAGGGACAATGGACAGCAAGAGACCAGTTCTGGAGCCCTCCAGCCCTTCTCATCCTATCTCTAACAGCTTCCCTGGGCAGTATGACTTGTGGCGCCCCCCAGAGGATTTGAGAGGGCAGAGTGAAGGTATTCTTACCCTATAGCAGTCACTCACACTCCTTGTAACCCAGCTAGTGCTTGTATGATAGTGCTAGCTCATCACCTCGGTCAGCGTTTTCTAGAGTAATTGTAATGCTGGCTATTAGTATTGTGCAGTCAGATAGTCGGCTGGCCTCCTGTTCCCACATTTCACACCTTTCTTTCACCTCTTTATCATTTACATTATTTTCATAGCTAACCCAACTGGAAAGTCCCATTTGGTGAATGTGGTGAACTGTGTAAAGAAGATCCCTCACTGTAGACCCAGCCCACCTGCCAAGGGTCCACGGTCTGCCCAAGGTCTAACAACCACTGAATGTGATCTCAGCCAAACCCACAGCCAAGGTAAGTAATACGGGAACCCAGTCAGGTTAGGTTCTAACATTCCAAGTGAGTTCATTTATTATATTTAATGAGTGACAGAGAGCGTTTATCATATCCCAGGTGAGTGACAGGGAGGGTGTATTATATCCCAGGTGAGTGACAGGGAGGGTGTGTTATATGCTAGGTGAGTGACAGGGAGGGTGTGTTATATCCTAGGTGAGTGACAGGGAGGGTGTGTTATATCCTAGGTGAGTGACAGGGAGGGTGTGTTATATCCTAGGTGAGTGACAGGGAGGGTGTGTTATATCCTAGGTGAGTGACAGGGAGGGTGTGTTATATCCTAGGTGAGTGACAGGGAGGGTGTGTTATATCCCAGGTGAGTGACAGGGAGAGTGTGTTATATCCCAGGTGAGTGACAGGGTGAGTGTGTTATATCCCAGGTGGGTGACAGGGTGGGTGTGTTATATCCCAGGTGAGTGACAGGGAAGGTGTGATATCCCAGTCGAGTGACAGGGAGGGTGTGTTATATCCCAGTCGAGTGACAGGGAGGGTGTGTTATATGCTAGGTGAGTGACAGGGAGGGTGTGTTATATCCCAGGTGAGTGACAGGGAGAGTGTGTTATATCCCAGGTGAGTGACAGGGTGAGTGTGTTATATCCCAGGTGGGTGACAGGGTGGGTGTGTTATATCCCAGGTGAGTGACAGGGAAGGTGTGATATCCCAGTCGAGTGACAGGGAGGGTGTGTTATATCTCAGTCGAGTGACAGGGAGGGTGTGTTATATCCCAGGCAAGTGACATGGAGAATCTGTGTCATATCCCAGGCTAGTGGCAGGCAGGGTGTGTTATATCCCAGGCCAGTGGCAGAGAGGGTGTGTTATATCCCAGGCCAGTGGCAGGGAGGGTGTGTTATATCCCAGGTCAGTGGCAGGGAGGGTGTGTTATATCCCAGGTCAGGTGTGTTATATCCCAGGTGATATTTCTGGTCTCCTCTCCAGGAATCATTATGGACGATAAGACTAAAGTCCACGTGAAAGAAGAGAAGTGTCCGAGCCCAGCACTGGCAGTACCTGGTCAGTGGGTGCAGCCGCCCAGCAGCCCCAGGGACACGGAGGGACAAGGTGAGAAGAATATTCTGTGCTGGATACCATGCTGTGATGTAAACATTCTGCATGACATTATAGGGAATGCTAGGAATGCAATCTCTCAGGTTTTTGTAATGACCTGTAGAAATTATTATAGTGGTGTATTGGTGAGATTGTATTTAATCATTAATAATATGTTTGTGTATATATTTATGTGAGTGTGAATATCACTTACTGAGTGTGTCTGAGTGGTTATATCTGTGTGTGTTTTAATGGCTATAACTATCTGTGTGTGTGTGTGGCTAACGGGGTGTGTGTGTGTGGCTAACGGTGTGTGTGTGTGTGTGTGGCTAACGGTGTGTGTGTGGCTAACGGTGTGTGTGTGTGTGTGAGTGGCCTAACGGTGTGTGTGTGGGGCTAACATTGTGTGTGTGGCTAACGGGGTGTGTGTGTGTGTGTGTGGCTAACTATGTGGTTATATCTGTGTGTGTTTTAATGGCTATAACTATCTGTGTGTGTGTGTGTGTGTGTATGTGGCTTACTATGTGGTTATAAATGTGTGTGTTTTAATGGCTATAACTATCTGGGTGTGTGGGGGCTAACGGGGTGTGTGGGGGCTAACGGGGTGTGTGTGGGGGCTAACGGGGTGTGTGTGTGTGGCTAACGGGGTGTGTGTGTGTGGCTAACGGGGTGTGTGTGTGTGTGTGTGTGTGTGTGTGGCTATGTCTGTGTGTGTGTGAATGGATATAACACTTTATTCTTTATCTAGGACCATCTTTTCCAAACATGCACCTGATTGGTCTGATGAAACTAATGGAGGATATCCCACGTCCTGATTCGGGCAGCTCGTCCAGGGCTATGTTCAGTATCGCTGTGGGACGCACTGAGATTAGGAGAGCAGAACGAACTAGTCACTTCCCTCTACCTGCCGGTAAGAAGGGAATCGGTCACATTGTTTCCACCGGTGGCATTGCATGTCTCTCCAATATGTCACAGTATACTCACTTTGAACCAATCTGAGGCTGCATTGTCAGAAAGTTTTTAACTTTGCCATTTCTGCTGCACGTGGAGGATTGCAGAATCTTGGTTTGCATTTTAGAATTTTTTTTTCCCTTGTGATCTCCAAATTTAATCTCCACTATTCTTATCAGTAGTTTGTCCCTTTGTGTGACTGTGTGTTGTCCCATGCCAGCACTAAAACCATGTCCTGTGTACTAGCAATGCATTGCATGTGATGCTATCATTGTTACTCAGGATACCAGTATACAGTGACCCCTGCGGCTTACACCACATGGCATGGTTGTTGATGGCACGGATCTCTGTAAGAGTTTAGATTGTAATAAAATGGCCATGCTGTGTGCGAATAGAATCAGACAGATATCCACACAGACGAGCTGTGTTTTCTCAGGTTATTCACGGCACAGTTCGTTCTGCGATCCCCATACCATCTCAGGTTAATCATGACACAACTCGTTCTGAGATCACCATACCATCTCAGGTTATTCACGGCACAGTTCATTCTGAGATCACCATACCATCTCAGGTTAATCACGGCACAGCTCGTTCTGAGATCACCATACCATCTCAGGTTAATCACGGCACAGCTTGTTCTGAGATCACCATACCATCTCAGGTTAATCACGGCACAGCTTGTTCTGAGATCACCATACCATCTCAGGTTAATCATGGCACAGCTCGTTCTGAGATCACCATTGTTCTGAGATCACCATACCATCTCAGGTTAATCATGGCACAGCTCATTCTGAGATCACCATACCATCTCATCTATTGTGCATGCTGACCCTGTAACTTAATCCCATTTCTTCTAGATGACACTATTTTCCAGCCAGAGTCTAATGATACCATTGCATCCGTGGACTCCGTTTTCAGTGATGACATCAGCTTGTCCTCAGAGAATGGTAACTCCTTGACTTCTCTTGCTTCTCTGTAACGACCTGTCTCTTTGTCTATCATGCCCTCTTCTGCATTTCTGTCTAGAACGCCCTGTCTTGTCTTTATCTCTATCTATAATGCCCCAATTTGCCGGTCTGTCTACTATGCCCTGGGTTACCTGGCTGTCTCTAACACTCTGCTTTGTCTGTCCCTATGTGTATCAAGCCCCATCTTGCCACTCTGTCTTATGCCATGTCTTGCCACTCTGTCTGTCTCACGCCCTGTCTTGGATGTCTGTCTGTCTTGCCAGTATTTCAGTCTATAATGCCCTGTCTTGGATGTCTTTCAGTCTATAATGCCCTGTCTTGGATGTCTTTTAGCCTATAACGCCCGGTCTGTGACTCAGTCACTGTGTAGGGACTGTTCCCATCCATTTTTCATATGCAGGGAATTGTGTAAATGTGTGAATTCATTAGTGAATGATTTAAAACTCAATTTTCCAGTCTACCCAGAATTACGTACTATATTATAGTGCTGTACTATGCTGTATTTGTTTAATTAACAGGTTGGTAACTGTGTAAGGAGCCCAGTGCTGGATTATTAGCAATACAGATTTAGATGAACTTACTTTACAGAACTGCGCTAATTTCATATTTCTGTGTTATGGGTGGCTCGTTCACCTTAGAAGGAACACTTTGTGTAAGAGTTGTCTCACAATTTGAAGCTTGGCCCAGAAGGATGGGTTCATGTCTGTGTTTTCCCCTTAGTGGATCCTTCGTACTCTGCGATTGACGGATTGCAGAAGGTAGTCAGCGAGTTTGCTGAACTTGGGTCAGTCAGTCCCCTGGTAGCAGTGGCTACTCCCCCGGTCTCTGTCGACGTTGCAGAGGAGAGCGGGCTCAGGAAGAGTAAGGAATCTGCTCCCGGTAAGTACAGAGTGTGTGACGGTGAGAGATACACGAGCGTTCGAAACATTGGGATATACCCCACAGAAAACAGAAATAATAATATATTAAAAGTAATCTGTGATAGGAGAATAAGAAAGGAGTCAACAAAGTGTAATTCTTTTTATTAATCGCTTTGTTTGTGATTCTATTAATGTAATATTATCAGCAAATATCTCTTTACTCCCTGCTTTTGGTTATACTGAATATTTCCCCATTTCTATTCGTATTCTCTAATTATAAGCCCAGTTGATTCACCATTTAACATGCATGTAATGATAATATCATTTTTACCAGTTGCCCTTTCTCCTCCTTTCCTTCACATTAACATCCCGGCACTTTATACACGAACGATTTGTTCCCTAGGACCTCCCTGTTCTACTCGATTAAACGAGAAAGGACGGGAACCTCTCAGAAGCACTCTAGTGAACGCTGGCAGCCGCTGTTCTGCTGAGGACGGTAAGATGACATATTAGATGGCGTTTTTACCGTACCATTTCGTCTTCCGTTAACCATGTAATAAAATCACTGAATCTTCTGATAGTTTCTTTAAGGGACGCTCTAAGCACTGTTATTGTTAACACTTAATATAGTTGTTGAGGTAGTGCTTTGTGTGTGCAGTTCCTCTGGTTTTCATTAAACTATTTTCAAGAAGCTTGGTAAAATCCAGGGTGCTGCCAGCACACACAGCCTGGCAACCAGCTGACTGGAGGTAGTGTCATATTTTGTTTCCACATTATCCAAAAAAAGCCATCCATCCCGGATAGCAGTGGAAGGCTGCAAATGTTGATCTTTGTCTGGGTGTCGGATCTGTGTCTGGGTGTAATGATTACTGCGGGTAGGGATCTCTGTCTCTTTGTATGTATGATGGAACCTGCTCCGGTGTGTTCTGTGCAGGGAAAGCCTCATATGCAGCTCTCTGTGGTCTGGAGAAGGTGGTCCATGGGTTTTCTGAGCAGGAATGTGTGAGTCCGTTTGCTGCAATTAGGATACAATCCAGCTCCAACCTCACAGAAATAACTGCAAATAAGCATTCAGATCACGAAGACACAGGTAATTTGCAAACAATCTCACATACAATCCCAACATATTAACATACACCTCACCTAAAATACCATTATGATAAAACATAGCAAACATCACACACAGTACCAATATAATAAAACATACCAAACCTCACACACAGTACCAATATAATAAAACATACCAAACCTCACACACAATACCAATATAATAAAACATACCAAACCTCACACACAGTACCAATATAATAAAACATACCAAACCTCACACACAGTACCAATATAATAAAACATACCAAACCTCACACACAGTACCAATATAATAAAACATACCAAACCTCACACACAATACCAATATAATAAAACATACCAAACCTCACACACAGTACCAATATAATAAAACATACCAAACCTCACACACAGTACCAATATAATAAAACATACCAAACCTCACACACAGTACCAATATAATAAAACATACCAAACCTCACACACAGTACCAATATAATAAAACATAACAAACCTCACGTACACAGTACCAATATAATAAAACATACCAAACCTCACGCACAGTACCAATATAATAAAACATACCAAACCTCACACACAGTACCAATATAATAAAACATACCAAACCTCACACACAGTACCAATATAATAAAACATACCAATCCTCACACACAATACCAATATAATGTCTTACAAAGTGCCTGCATGTCCTCTCTTGGTTGTAAAGAGTGTCCCTGTCCCACCAGATTCCTCATACTCTGCACTCAGTGGGCTACAGAAGGTGGTGAATGGATTTTCCGAGGTTGGTTGTGTAAGTCCGTTCTCTGCTGTTAGTACCACTGCCAGCGAACCAGCAATGGAGACCTCAGTCAGGAAAAAGACTGAGCCGCCAGCAGACACTTCTAGTGGACATAATGCAGTTGAAAATTTTCACAAATCATCTTTGTCCTTCCTGACCGACGAGGACTGGCCTGTGAGTGGAGGTGGGTATTAATGTAATCAGTATCTATAGTAAATAAAATAACGAAGGGGGATAAATGGCAAATATAACATAATAAAGGAGGATTAATGGGAAATATAACATAACGAAAGGGGATTAATGGCAAATATAACGAAGGGGGATTAATGGCAAATATAACATAACGAAGGGGGATTAATGGCAAATATAACATAACGAAGGTGGATTTATGACAAATATAACATAATGAAGGGGGATTAATGGGGAATATAATGAAGGGGGATTAATGGGAAATATAACATAATGAAGGGGGATTAATGGGAAATATAACATAATGAAGGAGGATTAATGGGAAATATAACATAATGAAGGAGGATTAATGGGAAATATAACATAATGAAGGAGGATTAATGGGAAATATAACATAACGAAGGGGGATTAATGGCAAATATAATGAAGGGGGATTAATGGGAAATATAACATAACGAAGGGGGATTAATGGCAAATATAACATAACGAAGGTGGATTAATGGCAAATATAACATAACGAAGGTGGATTTATGGCAAATATAACATAATGAAGGGGGATTAATGGCAAATATAATGAAGGGGGATTCATGGGAAATATAACATAATGAAGGGGGATTAATGGCAAATATAACATAATGAAGGGGGATTAATGGGAAATATAACATAATGAAGGGGGATTAATGGGAAATATAACATAACGAAGGGGGATTAATGGGAAATATAACATAACGAAGGGGGATTAATGGCAAATATAACATAACGAAGGGGGATTAATGGGAAATATAACATAATGAAGGGGGATTAATGGGAAATATAATGAAGGGGGATTAATGGGAAATATAACATAACGAAGGGGGATTAATGGGAAATATAACATAACGAAGGGGGATTTATGACAAATATAACATAACGAAGGGGGATTAATAAATATAACATAACGAAGGGGGATTAATGGGAAATATAATGAAGGGGGATTAATGGGAAATATAACATAACGAAGGGGGATTAATGGCAAATATAACATAATGGAGGATTATTAATGGGAAATATAACATAACGAAGGGGGATTAATGGAAAATATAATGAAGGGGGATTAATGGGAAATATAACATAATGAAGGGGGATTAATGGCAAATATAACATAATGAAGGAGGATTAATGGGAAATATAACATAACGAAGGGGGATTAATGGGAAATATAACATAATGAAGGGGGATTAATGGGAAATATAATGAAGGGGGATTAATGGCAAATATAACATAACGAAGGGGGATTAATGGCAAATATAACATAACGAAGGGGGATTAATGGCAAATATAACATAACGAAGGGGGATTAATGGGAAATATAATGAAGGGGGATTAATGGGAAATATAACGAAGGGGGATTAATGGCAAATATAACATAACGAAGGGGGATTAATGGGAAATATAACATAACGAAGGGGGATTAATGGGAAATATAACATAATGAAGGATAATTAAGCAAGTTTACAGTTAAACATGGCTGATTATGATATAATGAAGGTAATTAAAGTGTGTACACAGTATAATGATGGCAGATTATGATATAATTACAAATGAAAAACAATCTACATATCTGATGTTTCTACGTGAGGCTTGCATAGGATGGTGCGCATATACACTTTATATTCTGTATCCTGTCATACTAACCAATCACACTTCATGAGTGGTGTCACTTCCTCTCTTCTTCCTCAGCTTGGTTATCATGATGTTTCCTTTTCTCTTGCAGCTGATTCTTCGTACTCTGCCCTCACTGGCTTACAGAAGGTGGTAAATGGTGTCCCTGACATTGGATGCCTGAGTCCTCTGACGGTGGTCAGTATCCCATCCAGTGAGGGTGACCAGGAGCCCAGTGTGAAGAGAAGATGTGAACGGAACAATGAAGGTGAGGAGCTGTTGGTTATGATTTGTTTGGCAGTATGTTAGTGGTTAGTTAGCAGCTAGTTGGTGGTTAATGATGGGTTGGTACGGAATTGGTGATTACTTGTCATTGTGTTAGCAGCGAGGAGGCGGTTTGTTTATAGTAAGTTTTTGGCATTGTGAAGTAGTGAGTTGGTAGTTGGCTGGTGATGAGCAGGTAGTGAGTTAGAAGTTACAAACAGAGAAAAGTACACACACTAGAAATGTATATAGTGGAAAACGTGTAACTGGAAGTGATCCCAGGTGTACCTCACAAACACCTAAACAATATACAACCAAAACATAAAGTGGAAAACACCCAGAATACGTAAAAATATATATGAACAAGTTAAACAACCTGAAATCAGGTAAATATCCGTGGATATAATCTGTATAAAGAATCAAAAGGCTGACATAGCGCAATACAGTATTAAATGGAGTGTGTGATAAATGTGGTAATGAGTACACTCACAAACAAACGTGAAATCAGGCTTCTCACCCTCTCAGGGGTAATATGATGTATGATGAATATGAACTTGAAATATCATCCGATGGAATATATGTAAATAAAGGAAATCAGATATAGTGAAGTTTGTTATAAAAATACAAAATCACATTTATTGGTCGCACTTACACATATAATATTAAGAAGAGCGTGTCTCCATATAACATGGCGTTTGGCAATACGAACTGTGGCCTCACAGAGAGAGCACTAAATCTGCAGTTTTCTTTGTACTTAATGAGCCTTGGCTTGGGGGGGGGTTGGTGTTAGGTAGTTTATCTACCGAATGAGGAAAATCAAAGTTAACTAAGCAGAAAGTGTAGATTCTTCACAAACCGGTAGTGAGTTTGTGGTTAGCTGGTGATGTAACCTCATGGTATTTAAAGCAATTTACTGTTTAGTCGTTCTGTTCCTTCCTTTAGATGTTTGGCAGATGTCACCCCAGCCGTTAACTGAGAAGCAGAGTCAGCCCTGTCTTACTGCAGGAGGTAATATGGAGCCAGCCACCCTAATACACAACACTGCTAGCTGTTCTCCCAGACCCCCAAACCGAGGTTTTATTGATGGAAATGTGCGCACGTTGACTGACGTGTAATTCTCTGGGAGCCGTTTATGATACGGATACTGGCTGCAATTTGTGCATATCTTACCTTTTATTCCCTGAAATTTCCACATTCTGGAATTAATGTGTGAGGTAGTTACAGATAGCTCCGCTGCCATGCTGACTTCCCTCCCGGCCCAATTATAGCCACGTTCCTAATATAAACGTTACATTCTAACATGCTCAGATCAGCAGAATGTGGATTATAGGAGACAATGAGGAAGCTCTGCATCCTTTCTGGTGGAATTCATTAAACATGTTTATTATGTGTCGCTTATTTTCCACCCTGTCATTTTTTTCTGGGAGAAACATAGTTATATAGTTACATAGTGTTATATCCGTCTAGTTATATACACTGAACAAAATTATAAACGCAACACTTTTGTTTTTGGCCCCATTTTTTAGGAGCTGAACTCAAGATCTAAAACTTTTTCTATGTACACAAAAGGCCTATTACTCCCTATTATTGTTCACAAATCTGTCTCAATCTGTGTTAGTGAGCACTTCTCCTTTGCCGAGATAATCCATCCACCTCACAGGTGTGGCATATCAAGATGCTGATTAAACAGCATGATTATTGCCCAGGTGTGGCTTAGGCTGTCTAAACAATAATAGGGAGTAATAGGTCTTTTGTGTACATATATTTATTTCTGACTAGTTATACAGTTACATAGTGCTATTTCTGACTAGTTATATAATTACATAGTGCTATTTCTGACTAGTTATATCGTTACATAGTGCTATTTCTGACTAGTTGTATAGTTACATAGTGCTATTTCTGACTAGTTATATAGTTACATAGTGCTATTTCTGACTAGTTATACAGTTACATAGTGCTATTTCTGACTAGTTGTATAGTTACATAGTGCTATTTCTGACTAGTTATACAGTTACATAGTGCTATTTCTGACTAGTTATACAGTTACATAGTGCTATTTCTGACTAGTTATACAGTTACATAGTGCTATTTCTGACTAGTTGTATAGTTACATAGTGCTATTTCTGACTAGTTATACAGTTACATAGTGCTATTTCTGACTAGTTATACAGTTACATAGTGCTATTTCTGACTAGTTATACAGTTACATAGTGCTATTTCTGACTAGTTATACAGTTACATAGTGCTAGTTTCTGACTAGTTATATAGTTACATAGTGCTATTTCTGACTAGTTATATAGTTACATAGTGCTATTTCTGACTAGTTATACAGTTACATAGTGCTATTTCTGACTAGTTATATAGTTACATAGTGCTATTTCTGACTAGTTATACAGTTACATAGTGCTATTTCTGACTAGTTATACAGTTACATAGTGCTGTTTCTGACTAGTTATACAGTTACATAGTGCTATTTCTGACTAGTTATACAGTTACATAGTGCTATTTCTGACTAGTTATATAGTTACATAGTGCTATTTCTGACTAGTTATATAGTTACATAGTGCTATTTCTGACTAGTTATACAGTTACATAGTGCTGTTTCTGACTAGTTATACAGTTACATAGTGCTATTTCTGACTAGTTATACAGTTACATAGTGCTATTTCTGACTAGTTATACAGTTACATAGTGCTATTTCTGACTAGTTATACAGTTACATAGTGCTATTTCTGACTAGTTATACAGTTACATAGTGCTATTTCTGACTAGTTGTATAGTTACATAGTGCTATTTCTGACTAGTTATACAGTTACATAGTGCTATTTCTGACTAGTTATACAGTTACATAGTGCTATTTCTGACTAGTTATACAGTTACATAGTGCTATTTCTGACTAGTTATATAGTTACATAGTGCTATTTCTGACTAGTTGTATAGTTACATAGTGCTATTTCTGACTAGTTATACAGTTACATAGTGCTATTTCTGACTAGTTATACAGTTACATAGTGCTATTTCTGACTAGTTATACAGTTACATAGTGCTATTTCTGACTAGTTGTATAGTTACATAGTGCTATTTCTGACTAGTTATATAGTTACATAGTGCTATTTCTGACTAGTTATATAGTTACATAGTGCTATTTCTGACTAGTTGTATAGTTACATAGTGCTATTTCTGACTAGTTGTATAGTTACATAGTGCTATTTCTGACTAGTTGTATAGTTACATAGTGCTATTTCTGACTAGTTGTATAGTTACATAGTGCTATTTCTGACTAGTTATATAGTTACATAGTGCTATTTCTGACTAGTTATACAGTTACATAGTGCTATTTCTGACTAGTTATACAGTTACATAGTGCTATTTCTGACTAGTTATATAGTTACATAGTGCTATTTCTGACTAGTTATACAGTTACATAGTGCTATTTCTGACTAGTTATATAGTTACATAGTGCTATTTCTGACTAGTTATACAGTTACATAGTGCTATTTCTGACTAGTTATACAGTTACATAGTGCTATTTCTGACTAGTTATATAGTTACATAGTGCTATTTCTGACTAGTTATATAGTTACATAGTGCTATTTCTGACTAGTTATACAGTTACATAGTGCTATTTCTGACTAGTTATATAGTTACATAGTGCTATTTCTGACTAGTTGTATAGTTACATAGTGCTATTTCTGACTAGTTGTATAGTTACATAGTGCTATTTCTGACTAGTTGTATAGTTACATAGTGCTATTTCTGACTAGTTGTATAGTTACATAGTGCTATTTCTGACTAGTTATATAGTTACATAGTGCTATTTCTGACTAGTTATACAGTTACATAGTGCTATTTCTGACTAGTTGTATAGTTACATAGTGCTATTTCTGACTAGTTATACAGTTACATAGTGCTATTTCTGACTAGTTATACAGTGCTATTTCTGACTAGTTATACAGTTACATAGTGCTATTTCTGACTAGTTATACAGTGCTATTTCTGACTAGTTATACAGTTACATAGTGCTATTTCTGACTAGTTATACAGTTACATAGTGCTATTTCTGACTAGTTATATATGTAAATAACTCCAAATGTAGTTCACTGCTTTAGGCTGTTTCTCACTTTTATATTGGTTTTACAGCTAAAGCTGATGCTGGACTAGGCTATGGGTCAAACAGTCCCAGGAGAACCCCTTCAGCCCGCAGTCAGTGCATCGATCTAACGGAAGAAGAAGAGTCAATCTGCACCAATACCACCCCTCCTACTCTAAATAGGCCTCAAAAACCCCTCTCATGGGGCACGAACTCTACTCTTTCCGCCTCTGAGAGGCCACAAAAAAACACCTGGAGGCACACCATGCTTCCCTCAATAGACAAGTACCAGAAACCCATCTCAAGGGGTACAACCACCACCACTTCTGTCCTAGAATGTCAACAGAGACCCATCCCCAGGGTTACTTGCTCCACCTCTTTCACACCAGAAAGGCAGCAAAAACCCATTTCCAGGGACGTTAGTGTGACATCCTTTACACCAGATATACAGCAGAAACCCATCTCCAGGGAAGGTAATGCCACATTTTCCACACCTGACAGACAGCAGAGACCCATCTCTAGGGAAGGTAGTGCTTCCTCTTCTGCACCAGAAAGACAGCAGAGACCCATCTCCAGGGAAAGTAGTACCACATCTTATACACAGGACGGACAAGAGAAACCAATCTCCAGGGAAGGTAGTGCCACATCCTCCACACTGTACAGACAGCAGAGACCCATCTCCAGGGAAGGTGGTACATTGTCTTATACACTGGACAGACAGCAGAGACCAATCTCCAGGGAAGCTAGTGCCACATCCGCTACATTGGACAAACACCAGAGACACATCTCCAGGGAAGGTACTGCCACATCCTCCACACTGGACAGACAGCAGAGACCCATCTCCAGGGATGGTAGAGCCACATCCTCCACAATGGACAGACAGCAGAGACCCATCTCCAGGGAAGGTAGTGCCACATCCTCCACAATGGACAGACAGCAGAGACCCATCTCCAGGGAAGGTAGTGCCACGTCCTCCACAATGGACAGACAGCAGAGACCCATCTCCAGGGAAGGTAGTGCCACGTCTTATACAGCGGACAGACAGCAGAGACCCATCTCCAGGGATGGTAGAGCCACATCCTCCACAATGGACAGACAGCAGAGACCCATCTCCAGGGGAGATAGTGCCACATCCTCCACAATGGACAGACAGCAGAGACCAATCTCCAGTGAAGGTAGTGCCACGTCCTCCACAATGGACAGACAGCAGAGACCCATCTCTAGGGAAGGTGGTGCCATGTCTTGTACACCAGCCAGACAGCAGAGACCCATCTCCAAAGAAGGTATTTTCTTCATTCTCACCTGCATGGGGTGTGAGTGGCTAAATCTGTTAACAGTAAAGTGTTTTACCATGTCCCTTTTAATAATGTGCATTCTGTTTAAACATGTGGCCATGTGTTTGCTGTCATTTATACCTGTATTGTTTAACAATCATTGATAAAAGTTGGGATTGAGGTCAGGTGTGTCTGGCATGGCTGGTATTAGCAGCCCATTAATGAGCACTGACAATTTGGACAGTCTGACGCTGTCTGTTCTCTTCCCACGCAGCCACCGGCCCGTCTACGTTCCAGGTCACCAGCAGCCAATGTATTGACCTGACCACAGAGGAACACCTGGCTAAATCCAAAGATCTGACCCCAGAGCTTGGACGAGGAGTGGCTTCCAATGATGGTAAGAGATGTTTAAATGATTGGAATGAGCCTTTTTTTTCAGAATCCAGTAAATTTCCAATATTTCACCACCTCATTGGGAGGGTTCAACATATAGATCAGGGGTGCCCAAAAAGTAGATCACCAGATGTTGTAAAGCTACAACTCCCATGATATTTTGCATGTCTTTAAAATTCCTTTAGAATGACAAAGCGTCATGGAATCTGTACTTTTAAAACATTTGAGGATCTACCTTTTGGTCATCGCTGGTCTATATGTTGGACCCTCCAATGAGATGGCAGCCTCGGTCATAATTACCCTTTGTAAGGGTTCTTACTGTATCCTTGGGGTGAGTTTCTATATTTCAGCCTTCGGGAGCTAGTGGGATTGGTTATATATTGAGGCACCAGTTTGTTATTTAATCCTAAATTGATATCAAGCAACGTTAGCTGGCAGGTTAGGGTATGGTATATTCTTCTTTTATTTATCGTTCCTTTATTATTTTGTTGTCCCAATAATGCTTGCAATCTATTATCTCGTGCTGCCCTCTCATCCCTCTCTCCATTTAGTGCTGTCTATATCCTTCATTTATCTTTTCCACTTTCTGCCGTTTCTATCCGTGTAATGTCTCCTACACATTGTGTCATTGTTCTTTACTCCTTATCTCTCTCTGATTTCCCAGCTTTGTCTCTTTCTCACTCTTGTTTAGTTTGGGATCTTTCCTTATTTAATCACCACCTTTCCCTACCAGCCAGTCACAGGAAACCCTCTGATGTGGAGAAGAGGCAGCGGCTATACATTGACCTGACAAGGGACAGCAGGAGAAATCTGGATAAACACCTCCATCCTGGTCCATCTGGCCAGGAGACAAATCTTCGAAAAGGAGGTTAAAAAAAAAAAAAAAAACCCCACTAAAATAAAACCTAGTACCTAGTTCCACAAAAACGGATCACTGAAGTATGATGTCATGCCTCCTGTATTTCCCATTGTCTTTGAGATTTGTTCTGTGTTGTTTGTTCTAGGTGTCACTACTGTTAATGAACATCTCAGTGGCTTGGAGAAGCTCTTGAAAGACATGTCTTCATTAGCATCCACTAACCACCCCAGTGAATACAGCCAGAGCGCCACCTGGTGGTTTAAAAGCACAACCCCTCCTGGTAATGTCTTCACATAAATGTGTCTCTATGTTATGTGTATGCATAGACAAACAGTATGTAGAAATTACCTGTGATATCTCTAATATGGTGATTGGCTTTGTATCAAGAAATATACTGCGTTAAAACTGTTTAAAATAAATCTTTGGTGTCTTGTTTGGTGTTACATAAGACACAGAATGGTTACAAAGACTGAATCAAGCTTTCTGTTCCTTCCTTCCTCATGCACAGTAAAGGCTGGTTGACCATTTACAATCTGTTTACCTAGGTCCCTCTCTTCCAGCCTATCTCACATCTCTGCTTCTGATATTGATTGAACCAAAAAAAGTTAAGCAAAAGAAATTAAACAATTTGAAACATTTTCCATTTGTGCCACAAAATCAGAGGGGTGGCTGGGGGCAGCCCACATATTAATTTTTTATTATTATTATTTTAAGCTGATTACAAATGATACCGCAGTATGGTCCCTATTTTCCAAGTGCTTCACTTCTTGTATCTACGAATTGAGACATGTCAAGGTGTCATTTAACAGCTTTAGCAAACTATGTCCCTTCCTGACCTCCAAGCCTGCAGGACTGTCTTCTCACTGCTCAATATTTTGACAGATGGCTGATACATGCAGACAATTCCTGACTGCTTTTGAGGAAAGAGAGGTTGTTGCTTACGTACTAGCCTAGTTTTGCCCCACAGGAGGTAAAGATTACCACTCAGTGACTGTAGAGCAGTAAACATCTGTTATAAAACTACCCAGTCCATGTAACCTCAATCTGTGCTATTTTAGTGTCCTGGCAATTTAAGGGCTTGTTGCCATTAGACTTGTGCACGAATCCTTTTCAATAGCAACAGACTAATCAAGTTGAATTCCCTTGGTAATTACTATGTTGTGGTTCTTTTCTTTTTTTACAGAAACGTGAAGATGCCTTGATGGAATGGAAGGAAGAGGAAATGCTGTTTGGTTTCTCATCTACTATAAACGTTTTTGTTTTACGATGAGCTGAGAGAAAGGATTGTCCTCTACAGAGATACAAGGCTTGTTCGCTTGCATCCTGCCTGAACCAAAAGTGGATTCATTAAACTGTGAAACTAGAGCAGGATTAAAAAAAAGCAAGAAAAACAAGAACTGAAGCGTGAATTGAGATGGAGAAGCATTATATTCCAGCAGACCAGCTCAGGACAAGGAGAGACCAGAAGGAGTAGGAAAATTACCAACTTACGAGACACAGGCAGGGGTGGAGGCAAGCTATGGACTAGCTAACTAGGACAGATGGGCAAGAGTGGAAGATTAGTTCAGGAGAGATGGGTGGAAGTAGAGAAGACCAGCTCAGGACAAGAGATGGCAGGAGTGGAAGACCAGCACAGGACGAGAGATGGAAGCCAAACTCAATATGGTAGATGGGTAGAAGACAAGGTGATGAGATGGGTGAAAGTGAAAGACTAGTTTAGGAGGAGAGACATGTAGGAGTGGAATACAAGCTCAGGAGGAGAGACAGGTAGGATTGAAAACCAGCTCAGGAGGAGAAATGGGCAGGAGTGGAAGACCAGCTCAGAAGGAAAGACGGATGACAAGCTTCGAAGGAGTGATGGGTGGAAGAAAAGCTCAAGACGAAAGACTGGCAGGAGTGGGAAAAAAAGATAAACTCAGGACAGAGAGACAAGATTGGAAGAGTACTGATGGGATTAACAAGATCGGCTGTTGACAGCTGGACATGCAGAGCTCACCAGATTCGTGGGTTGAGAGGACTTGAAGGAGCAGAGAGCTCAGTAAATGAATTATAAGGTGCTGATCTGGTAATTTGTTCTAATAGATACTACTATAATTTATTTAGATTTGAGGGTCCCAGTGTCCTGTTTATAATTCCCCCATATATAGTGTGTATGTCTATACAGAATATTTCTTTATAGGTTAATTGTTTTCTGGAGCTCAGCTGATGGCGTAGTTATACATTTAAGGTATTTTCATGTGTTATCCAAACAATAATTTGTGGCTGCTTTAAGTGCTGCTTGCCTTGAGGAATAGCTCAAGGAGAGAGATTATTTTAACTTTAGTACATTTATCTGGAAATCTTGTGAATTGGTAAACAAGAATGGGGGGAAAAACACATCATATCCCCTGGTGATAGAAAATTAAATAGAAACTATCAATTCTCTGGAATTTACACTAAAATAAATATTGAAAATCATCTGTAACAACCCCTGGATGTTGGGCTAAGGTAACATCCCCAGTACGTACTTGAAAACCAGAGTAATCTGAATGTGCCTTTCCTGGTTAAATACTTTGTTATTATAACTTGTTTTAACCTTTTTATTTAAAGTTTATATAACAGATTTTCCAAATTACAGCATAACCCGGTTCAGCCAAGGCACACAATGCAAATGAAGGGGAGATAGAGAAACATTGGGGGGGATTTATCAAAGTGTCACTGACACATTTACATTTAATTAAAAACAGCAAATATTTGATGCAATTCAATAAATCTAGCATTTTCAGCAGTACCTTCGTTTGCTTCCCAATTATCATTTATGATAATGGCTGTTTTTCAGTTATGCTACAGATTTGTCATTCTTCTCTTCACTTTTCCTAAAAGAAACAGATTTTGTTTCAAATCTTTTTCCCATAATTCTAAATTTGACAATCTTCTGAGATTAAAATTTCTGTGAAAACCTGCTGCATTTACTGTGAACAAAAACCATCACTTTTTAGATCACATTAATAAACCTGTATATGTCCAAATAATGATGGAATTTAACGGTGTGCTCAGAACACTGTGATAAATATCCCCAATCTCCTCTGTGTGTGCTCTCTCTATGGCAGGTGTAAGGGGCGGAGCTTATAACAATGATTGACAGGGAGCTAAGATGGAGGCGACTCTCTCTATACTGAATACCAGGTGTAAAGGGCGGAGCTTATAACAATGATTGACAGGGAGCTAAGATGGAGGCGACTCTCTCTATACTGAATACCAGGTGTAAAGGGCGGAGCTTATAACAATGACTGACAGGGAGCTAAGATGGAGGCGACTCTCTCTATACTGACTGCCAGATGTAAAGGGTGGAGCTTATAACAATGACTGACAGGGAGCTAAGATGGAGGTGGCTCTCTCTATACTGACTGCCAGGTGTAAAGAGCGGAGCTTATAACAATGATTGACAGGGAGCTAAGATGGAGGTGGCTCTCTCTATACTGACTGCCAGGTGTAAAGGGCGGAGCTTATAACAATGATTGACATGGAGCTAAGATGGAGGTGGCTCTCTATACTGACTGCCAGGTGTAAAGGGCGGAGCTTATAACAATGATTGACAGGGAGCTAAGATGGAGGTGGCTCTCTCTATACTGACTGCCAGGTGTAAAGGGCGGAGCTTATAACAATGATGACAGGGAGCTAAGATGGAGGTGGCTCTCTCTATACTGACTGCCAGGTGTAAAGGGCGGAGCTTATAACAATGATTGACAGGGAGCTAAGATGGAGGTGGATCTCTCTATACTGACTGCCAGGTGTAAAGGGCGGAGCTTATAACAATGATTGACAGGGAGCTAAGATGGAGGTGGCTCTCTCTATACTGACTGCCAGGTGTAAAGGGCGGAGCTTATAACAATGATTGACAGGGAGCTAAGATGGAGGTGGCTCTCTCTATACTGACTGCCAGGTGTAAAGGGCGGAGCTTATAACAATGATTGACAGGGAGCTAAGATGGAGGCGGCTCTCTCTATACTGACTGCCAGGTGTAAAGGGCGGAGCTTATAACAATGATTGACAGGGAGCTAAGATGGAGGTGGCTCTCTCTATACTGACTGCCAGGTGTAAAGGGCGGAGCTTATAACAATGATTGACAGGGAGCTAAGATGGAGGTGGCTCTCTCTATACTGACTGCCAGGTGTAAAGGGCGGAGCTTATAACAATGATTGACAGGGAGCTAAGATGGAGGCGGCTCTCTCTATACTGACTGCCAGGTGTAAAGGGCGGAGCTTATAACAATGATTGACAGGGAGCTAAGATGGAGGCGGCTCTCTCTATACTGACTGCCAGGTGTAATGGGCGGAGCTTATAACAATGATTGACAGGGAGCTAAGATGGAGGTGGCTCTCTCTATACTGACTGCCAGGTGTAAAGGGCGGAGCTTATAACAATGATTGACAGGGAGCTAAGATGGAGGTGGCTCTCTCTATACCGACTGCCAGGTGTAATGGGCGGAGCTTATAACAATGATTGACTGGGAGCTAAAATGGAGGTGACTCTCTCTATACTGACTGCCAGGTGTAAAGGGTGGAGCTTATAACAATGATTGACAGGGAGCTAAGATGGAGGCGGCTCTCTCTATACTGACTGCCAGGTGTAAAGGGCGGAGCTTATAACAATGATTGACAGGGAGCTAAGATGGAGGCGGCTCTCTCTATACTGACTGCCAGGTGTAAAGGGCGGAGCTTATAACAATGATTGACAGGGAGCTAAGATGGAGGCGGCTCTCTCTATACCGACTGCCAGGTGTAAAGGGCGGAGCTTATAACAATGATTGACAGGGAGCTAAGATGGAGGCGGCTCTCTCTATACTGACTGCCAGGTGTAAAGGGCGGAGCTTATAACAATGATTGACAGGGAGCTAAGATGGAGGGGTGGCTCTCTCTATACTGACTGCCAGGTGTAAAGGGCGGAGCTTATAACAATGACTGACAGGGAGCTAAGATGGAGGCGGCTCTCTCTATACTGACTGCCAGGTGTAAAGGGCGGAGCTTATAACAATGATTGACAGGGAGCTAAGATGGAGGTGGCTCTCTCTATACTGACTGCCAGGTGTAAAGGGCGGAGCTTATAACAATGACTGACAGGGAGCTAAGATGGAGGCGGCTCTCTCTATACTGACTGCCAGGTGTAAAGGGCGGAGCTTATAACAATGATTGACAGGGAGCTAAGATGGAGGTGGCTCTCTCTATACTGACTGCCAGGTGTAAAGGGCGGATCTTATAACAATGATTGACAGAGAGCTAAGATGGAGGCGGCTCTCTCTATACTGACTGCCAGGTGTAATGGGCGGAGCTTATAAATAGTCGACTGACAGGAGCCTGGCGATGGAGGGGGTGGCTCTCTCTTATACCGATCAAGCAGGGAGAATGGGCAGAGCTATAAATTACCGATTGACAGGGAGCTAAGATGGAGGCGGCTCTCTCTATCCTGACTGCCAGGTGTAAAGGGCGGAGCTTATAACAATGATTGACAGGGAGCTAAGATGGAGGTGGCTCTCTCTATGCTGACTGCCATGTGTAAAAGGCGGAGCTTATAACAATGATTGACAGGGAGCTAAGATGGAGGCTGCTCTCTCTATACTGACTGCCAGGTGTAAAGGGCGGAGCTTATAACAATGATTGACAGGAGCTAAGATGGAGGCGGCTCTCTCTATACTGACTGCCAGGTGTAAAGGGCGGAGCTTATAACAATGATTGACAGGGAGCTAAGATGGAGGCGGCTCTCTCTATACTGACTGCCAGGTGTAAAGGGCGGAGCGTATAACAATGATTGACAGGGAGCCAAGATGGAGGCGGGTCTCTCTATACTGACTGCCAGGTGTAAAGGGCGGAGCTTATAACAATGATTGACAGGGAGCTAAGATGGAGGTGGCTCTCTCTATACTGACTGCCAGGTGTAAAGGGCGGAGCTTATAACAATGATTGACAGGGAGCTAAGATGGAGGGCGGCTCTCTCTATACTGACTGCCAGGTGTAAAGGGCGGAGCTTATAACAATGATTGACAGGGAGCTAAGATGGAGGCTGCTCTCTCTATACTGACTGCCAGGTGTAAAGGGCTTTGAGCCAACAATGATTGGATTATGTGAGCTAAGATGGAGGTGGCCTCTCTATACTGACTGCCAGGTGTAAAGGGCGAAAATTTATAACAATGACTCCTGACAGGGAGCGCAAGATGGAGGCTTACTCTCACTGACAGCCAGTGTGCGCTTATTTTACGTACGTACTGATTGACAGGGAGCTAAAGATGGAGGCCTTCTTATACTGACTGTCAGGTGTAAAGTGGTGGAGTTTATAACAACAATGATTGACAGGAGCCAAGATGGAGGCGTTCTCTATACCTGACTGCCAGGTGTAATGGGCTGGAGCTTATAACAATGACCGACAGGGAGCTAAGATGGAGGTGGCTCTCCTATACTACTGACTGCCAGGTGTAAAGGGCGAGCTTATAACAATGATTTGCCAGGGAGCCAAAGATGGAGGTGGCTCTATACTGACTGCCAGGTGTAATGGGCGGAGCTTATAACAATGACTGACAGGGAGCTAAGATGGAGGCGGCTCTCTCTATACTGACTGCCAGGTATAAAGGGCGGAGCTTATAACAATGATTGACAGGGAGCCAAGATGGAGGCGCCCAGTTGCTGGATAAAACATTGTGTACAGAAAAAGCTGTATAAGTTGTTGTGATTTACTCATTTGAATCCTGCGTCAGATACCCACTAATAAAGATAGAAAGAAAAGTAACAAAGAATAATTGTTTTATAATATTAAAAATGTTATTGGATGTTTCCATTTAATGTTTATTCTCGTGATTAATCACAAGAGGAAGCAATGTATTATAAACCTGTTTTAAGAGTTTAACAGATCATAGACAGGATTTCACCTGCTTCTTGAAATAATCCTTATTTGTTGACGTTTTCTCAGAATTTAATGATTGAACTTTGATTAAAGGCTTTCGATCAGTCAACTGCTACCAATCACACCTCATAACCATGTCCTTTTCTGTGCAGGTATCTCTGACACACCCTAGACTTCTCAAATGACCCACCAGTTCCACTCCAGCCTGACCACAGTCTCAGATATATGCGTTCTAAAAAGGATAAGATTAAATAAAAATGTGGTAAATTCCCACCAGTTCAGCCCACAAGGACTCACCAGCTACAGTGCATCTGGACAGTAAAGGCGTGACTCCAGCAGAACACAGAAGCGTCTCCATTGGTGCAGATAAAAAAAGCAATTGTCCTAGTGGTATGTCTAGCAATCAGAACCCTTCCGGACCCAGAGGGGCTTGTTTATCCCGAGTATGAATGAAAGTTGCGTGTCTACTCCTGCTCCGTCAATGTCAACCGACAGAGTGCTAGAGAAATCCAAATTAATTAATCAGAAGGTAGTTATTTTACGTATTCAACAGTTGGCCCTCGGTGGAGATGCCTATAATGAACTGATCCCCATATCTATATTTTTATAATTTTAATTTATGAACATGAAACTGTAAATATGTATACATTAATAGAAGGTGCTGACAATTTTAAAGACTTTACCGACAAACTGAGAGTGAAACCTGTGTATACAGACTTCGTTCTTGCCATGCAGGGCCATGCATGTTGTGTAAAATCGTTCCAGGTTTGGCAGGATGTGGTAAACTGGTTAATTTGCCAACCAACCGCCTCTCCAGAACACCAAATACAGAGAACAGAATATCAACAAACCTTGTACCATTCTATCGTTTATAAAGAAAGGAGATTAATACGGAAAGCTATTTTAATATTAAACATATGTACCAGATTCACGTTTTTTTTTATTCTTACTGGTTTTGATCATTTAATATTTGATTTGTTCCCCTTTTTTAGTGGTTTGCTCTATTCCATTTTAAAAAAATTTCTGGAAAGATTTATTCCAGCCCTTTCATTTTGGCCTCAAATGCTGAATAGATCTCGATTAGTTTACGGCCACAGTGCTGTAGCGTGCCTCGAGGACTTGGGTAGTTAGAGCTGGAGGTGTTACGTGAGTCTTATCCTGCAGATATTTTGTGTACTGTTTGTCAGAAATAAACTATGTCTACCTCATTGTCCAGAATCTGTCTCTTGTTACTGTTTGTTCTGTGAACCTTGATCTTCTGCTAAATGTTGCTATCCCCTATAAGAGACGCAGTTACATATTAGACCCCCCCACACCCTTATTCTGTATTATAAGCCCTGCATCACCCACGGATAGCAAACAATGGCATAATGTTGGTGGGACAGTAGAAGGAAGTCACAGCTTTCCACCTCAACCTGAGAAAATAATGACCTGATTATTTGATGGCAAGCGATTACAGCCATTGAACAATAAGGCTGACCAAGCATTGAGAGGAAATGACGTTCAGACACCGTTGGCCGTCACTAAATTAAACCACATGTCTCTGTTCCATTGTATTTATAGCCTGATCACAGCACATGGTCCTGTAGGAATGACCCATGAACTGTTGCAAGGCCTCCTATGAATTGACATTATTTGAAGTTTTATTAAGAACATTTTATTTTAATCTCCTTAACCCCTTAAGGACCAGACTTCTGGAATAAAAGGGAATCATGACATGTCATGTGTCCTTAAAGGGTTAAATCACCTTCCTTCTTGTAAATTAGTGGCTGGCATGTGAAGAACAAGGGGGTTAATGGAACAAAATGTAGACCCACAAACATCTTAACAAAGATGTTAATTTGAAAAAAAAATCCAATGTTTTATTGTGTAAATATAATTACACACAATGCAAAATAAAGCCATTTCCACATATTGCAGGATAAAACAATGCATTTCCCATTCTTTATAATAAATATCATGAATTTCTATTTTCAGATACTTGAACCCATGTAACGGAATGTTGACGAGTAGATAAAAAACTTGCATTGCCCACCCACACGGATACTTCCACTGACTGTGTCATTACAGTCCGTGCTGCTGGATGGATTCATTCTGTAAGACTATGCTGATACTATAGAAGGCTAAACTGTATTCACACAACATATGGAAACTGATAGAAAAGAAAAACAGAACAAGCCTTTAAAAACACAGAGTAACGAGTAATATTCTCTATATGTAGATGTGCGTTCGATTTCATAGTAGACGGAATGAAACCCACAATTGATACAAAGTTAATTAAATAAAGGTTTGTAATGCTGAAGTGTGAATTGGGGAAATAATGTCATTGCGAGATCTTGAAGATTTGACCTTGTGGTTTACGACTTTCTCCCTATACACTCTTCACAGTTCCTGTGAATGCATGGATAGCACGGTCACCGTGAACGCATCGATAGCACAGTTATCGTGAACGTATGGCTAGCACGGTCGCCGTGAACGCATGGATAGCACCGTTACCGTGAACGTATGGATAGCACGGTCACCGTGAACGCATCGATAGCACCGTTACCGTGAATGTATGGATAGCACGGTTGCCGTGAATGCATGGATAGCACCGTTACCGTGAACGTATGGATAGCACGGTCGCTGTGAACGCATGGATAGCATGGTCGCTGTGAACGCATGGATAGCACGGTCGCTGTGAACGCATGGATAGCATGGTCGCTGTGAACACATGGATAGAAGATTCTACAGTCAGAGAATGAAAGTGAAACTCTCTTCAATGGGGCCAAGTCAAAGTGACACCTTAATATGGCGACTATTCATTTATTTAGATGGAGAGTAACTGCTGGGCAACATTATTATTACTAAAATACCGCGAATAAAACTATAGTGGATCAGGTATTTTAATGAATCCCCACCCAAGCAAACATCATATACATCAGACCCCAGGGACTCACCGCCAACTGTCCACTAGAGGGTCCCGGCGTCCCACAAGAAGCGGCAACACACACATTTTTGGAGAATATAACATTTCCCCACAATCCTTTGTGTGCAGCAATCCCTATACTCCTGGACAATGACGGATTTGATGTGGCTGGTGGAGAATTACACACTGGTTTGAGCAAGTAGCAATAATACTCTAAAGCAGGGGTGCCCAAGAGGTAAAAAAGGTAGCTCCCCAGATCTACCTATTGGGCAACTCTGTTCTAAAGAAATCCATTATACTCATTCATCAAACCTCTTCCTACGTACACTGTATGTAGTATAATCACATCTTTACTAAAAGAATATCAAAGCAGTTTAGAGAAAGATTTCAAGCACTTTAGCTTCGTATAGTGGTTATGATGAAGGTCCTCTGGCTTTTGTCAAACCATCCAAAGCCCAAGACTCCACCTTGCAACAACAACATTTGTTCTCATTACCCATCCATATACCTGCACTTTGTGTACACGGCCTTCAGTGAGTGTCTGAGTACTGGGCGACTGGAAGCAACTGCAGAAACCAGCGGTACTCCACACCTACGTTCTATCACATTAACACTAAACTATTGGGTTTGGAGTCTCTCTGATCAGCAGGAACGTCATACAGAGAACGCATGTCCCGAGTCTGGCTTTAGGGCACCAGATTTTTGTAGCAATCAGCACTTTACTCCGTTTGCTACAGGAGATTATTTTTATATTACAGTGTTTTAACATCCCACTTTCAATAAAAGTTTAATCTGGCCAATCAATTTATTTAAGACACTGCGTGAATTCCACGTGCCACTGTAGATAATCTTTGGTGCACACATTGTAAAAAGACTCATTATCGTTGAACAGTGGCGCTAGAGCCATAGATACATATGAGTAACATGGACCTGACATTCATACGGACACGATGACACTTTACAAACAGCTCAGAGACGTCGTTAAACTGCTGCAAATTAATTGTAATTTCAGGCTAGGATTGTGACATTGCCCTAGAGCCCTGATAGCTATTAATGAAAGGTCTTCCATCTCAGGCCTACAAAATTCCTAACAACCTCCCCAAAAACTGGCAATCAAGTACAAACATTTGGATCCAGACAAAATGTCACCACTCTTCTTCACAAAGTACCAAACGATCCATTCTCACACACATTAGCTGGCATGCCTAAGTAGCCACAAACACATATTAGTGGCCACAAACTCAGCTAGCCTGTCCGTTTCATGTATATTTACGCACTGACATGTGTAAATGAGTTACCGCCCTCGGAGCAGGTAAAGAGAATTCTTGTGGTACCAATTGGATCATCATGAATTAGTTCAGTATTCAGAAGTTTAAGTAAGCTGGTTACGTTGCCCAAATGTATCTGCATTCATCTGCTTATATATATATATATCGATAATACTGGTCACTAAATTACAGAAGGCTATGTAGGGGTCAAACAGTGAGCATATAATTATACATTGTGTAATTATTTCAATATTAAATCAATGACAGGTGAGCCATGAAATACAAATATCCCCCCAAACCCAGTAAGTGAAGGAATACAAAAAAAAAAAAAAAAAAGACGGGGACTAAGGGACGGTTTGTTTAGTTGTATTTGAAATTCTGGCCTGTAGGGTAGATGTGATCCTGACATGTTAAGCCAAAAATAATCCATATTTCTATTTGGTAAATGGAGCTTACCTGCTAAATACTGTATTTTTTGGAACATACGGTCGTGCCCTCTCCACAGAAACATTGGATTAATGAGATTATATATTTTATCTGTTTTAGCTTGTATCCTTTTGACAAATGGTTTTTAAACCCCTCTTTTACAAAACAAATGGGATTGCCCAGCAACCTAAACAAAAAAAATTGTATTGGGTTTAATCTGTTAACACTTTAAGTGCCCTGTAAATAAAGGCAAATAATTAACTATCACACAGCAAGGGAAAGCTCACTGAAAAGAATTTAAAACTAATAAATATTCTCCATGGTTTTCACCAACGCTCACAATAATATTCCTTCTCTGTGTATCCAGAACATAAGTTTCAATACTGTTATTTTGTCTCGGTGTATTTTTTTTTTTCTGACCAAAAATATTTTCCATATAGTCCATATTTCATTAAAACATAATTCCATAGGGCAGTTTACTTATAAATAATCTCGTTACATCTTCACCATCACGATTGGGGATTCTCCAATTAAGGTAGGAGCTATGGCAGAGTCTGTAGAAGGTTTCGTCCAAGAACTGGATTGCAGATTGCCATCGTTCTCTGCATATTGGTTCGGTCTCACAGAACAGCACACTCGCTGGTGTCGTAGAGAAGCAGAGCGAGTACTGAAGCCACGGCCACACCAACTGCAGGAATAAGGCTTTTCTCCAGTGTGGATCCGCTGGTGGTTTGTAAGGTCAGATCGCTGAACAAATCCCCGGTTACATTCTGTACACCTATACGGTCTTTCACCAGTATGGATCCTCAAGTGCTTGACCACAGCTGAGCGCTGAACAAAACACTTTTCACATATACTACACTTGTACGGCTTCTCGCTAGTGTGAACCCACATGTGCTTGGCAAGATCGGAGTTCTGAACGAAGCACTTCCCACACGTTGTGCACTTGTATGGTTTCTCTCCAGTGTGTCTTCGAATGTGCTTTACCAAAGCTGATTTTTGGCAAAAGTTTTTGCCGCACTCACTACAATTATGAGACTTCCCTCCCTCGGCATGCATTTTCTGGTGCTTCATGAAAACAGATTTGTGCATGAAACTCTTACTACAATGCTGGCAGCTGTATGATGGACTTCTGGGTGACATTCTTTTATTTTTCAACAAAGGATAAAAACTTTTGAAGCTGCTGCCCAGATAATATGGTCTGATAATTGGAGGGTTATTGCCTTCTTTAACAACATGTAGCTTTGGAATCAAACTCTGCGGGTCATCTTCTGATTCGCCCCAGTATGTAATATGGTGCTGTAACTGGTCCGGCTCTTGAATGTTGTTCTCAGTTTTGGGACTTTGGCTCTGTCTCATATGGGTTCGCTGGTGCTTACAGAGAGCAGACTTTTCCACAAAGCGCCTCCCGCAATCGTTACAATGATAGGGTCTCTCGCCAGTGTGAATACGGTAATGTTTGACAAGATCAGACTTCTGGATAAAGCTCCGTACACACTGGGAGCACTTGTACGGTCTCTCTCCGGTGTGGATTCGCATGTGTTTATTGAGTACAGATCTATGTGCAAAGCTCTTCTCACATTCAGTGCATTTAAACACCTTTTCTCCAGCACCAATTACTGTAATGGGAGTAACATTACTTCCTTTATCAGGACTTGAAGAATCCCCACCACTGCTGGGCCTGTTTATAACGGATTCAAGAAAAGAAGCACTATGGGCCTCTTCCAAATTAATCTGTGGCTTTTCTTCTACGTGGCTCTTCAAGTGTTTCAGGAGATTGGAGCTCTGACTGAAGCGCTTTCCACACTGTGCACAAGGATAGGGTCTATCCTGACTGTGAATTCTCCGGTGCTTTATCAGAGATGATCCCTCAGTGAAGCTCTTGTTACACTCTGGACAGTGATAAGGCTTTTCTCCTGTATGGATCCTCTGATGTTTCACCAAGTCGGAGTTTTGAATGAAGCATTTCCCACATTGCTCACAACTGTACGGCTTTTCTCCAGTGTGAGTTCTCATGTGCTTGGTCAAGGCTGATCTCTGAACAAAGCCACGGTCGCACTCGTTGCATGTGAAAGGTCGCTCACCAGTGTGCGTTCTGTGATGCTTGACAAGGTCAGAGTTCTGAATAAAGCCCTTGTCACATTGTGCACAATGATAGGGGCGTTCTCCTGTGTGAGTTCGAAGGTGTTTAACCAAGTCTGAGGTTTGAAAGAAGCTCTTATCACACTCATTGCACGGATATCGTTTCTCTGTCAGATGAGTCCTCAGATGTTTCATAAGAGCAGGTCTAAACAAGAACATCTTGTCACATTCTGGACATTGATATGGAGATGTCTGCTCTCCTGAAGTCGGTCTCATTTTTTCAGGTTCTTCAATAACTATTTCATGGAAGGCAGTAGCAATTGGTGGGCTTTCTACAGAATGTATCATTATATGTTTAGCAAGGTCAGAGCTCCGTGTGAAGCTCTTCTTGCACTGCTGACATGGATATGGTCTCTCCCCAGTGTGTGTCCTCCGATGTTTCACCAGAGATGAGACTTCCGTAAAGTTTTTGTTACATTCCGTACAGTGATACGGTTTCTCTCCAGTGTGGATTCTTTGGTGCTTGACCAGGTCGGAGTTCTGGATGAAGCTCTTCCCACACTGAAGACAGGAATAAGGCTTTTCTCCAGTATGGCTTCTCATGTGCTTGGTCAGAGCAGACCTCTGAATAAAATCCTTTTCACAGACGGTGCATTTATAAGGCCTTTCCCCAGTGTGAGTTCTATGGTGTTTAATAAGTGCTGATATTTCAGTGAAGTTTTTTTCACAATGTTGGCATGCGTATGGCCTGTCTCCAGTATGAGTTCTCCAATGTTTGTGGAGAGCAGATTTCTGAAGGAAGCTGGTTTCACATAAAATACACTGGTATAGGTTCTCTCCTACTTTATTCTCTAACTGCTCCACTGGATTGGATCTTAGAACCATATTTTTATCAAACTTTGTATACAGGGTAATTTTATCTTGGCTGTGGAAAGTCTGCGGATGAGAACCAGGCAATGAAACATCACCATGTTGTTTGGAGACCACATACTGCAGTTTTCTGTGAATTCTCTGGTGCTTTACCATGTCTGAGTTTTGGATGAACCCTCTGGCACAGTGGGCGCACTTATAGGGGCGTTCACCAGTATGTATCCTCTGGTGTAAGATTAGATTTGACCTCTGAGTAAACCCTTTTTCACATATTGCACACCTGTGGGGTTTTTCCCCAGTATGGATCCTCTGATGTTTAGTCAAGGCAGACCTTTCACTAAAGCGTTTTTGGCAGTGTAAGCAATGGAACGGTCGCTCACCAGTGTGTGTCCTTAAATGTTTAACAAGGTCAGATTTCTGGATGAAGCCCTTGTCACATTCTTCGCATTGATAGGGCCTCTCCCCTGTGTGTGTTCTTAAATGTTTCACTAAATCAGAATTCTGAATGAAGGTTTTGCAACACTCAGGACATCTGTACGGTCTGTCCTTGGAGTGAGATTGTTGATGTCTGATGAAAGAAACCCACTGTTTAAATGTTTTCCCACACTCAGCACAAACATAAGGAGCAACAGTAGCTTTGATCATGTCCTTACACGAGCTTAAAGTTTCAGACTGGATGCCTAACACTTCATCGGCATCAGGCACAGTAATATTAATATTGTTGTGTGTCTTCATGTGTTTAATAAGGTCTGAACTCTGGGAGAAGCTTCTACTGCACACCAAGCATTTGTGGGTCCGGTCAGAATTGTGTGTTCTCTTGTGTTTAATCAATGCGGAACTTTCTGTAAATCTTTTATCGCATGTGTGACATTGATATGGTTTTTCCCCAGTGTGTGTCCGCAGATGTTTCACCAGATCAGAGTTCTGGATGAAGCTCTTTAAGCATATAGAACAGCAATACGGTCTCTCACCCGTGTGTGTCCTTCGATGCTTTGTTAATGCTGACCTCTGATTAAAGGTTTTTGGACAATCCAGGCATTTGTAAGGTCTTTCTCCCGTGTGTGTTCTCTGGTGGTTGATAAGGGCAGATCGCTCTGTGAAGTTCTTATCACAGTCTCTACACTGATATGGCCTATCACCAGTGTGAATCCTTTGGTGTTTCATCAGGTCTGACCTCTGCACGAAGCCTTTCTCACAGTGTGTACAATGGTGAGTCTTCTGGCCCATGTACATTCTTTGATGCCTTATGACTGAGGCATAGCAGTTGAAGCTCTTCCCACAATGGCTGCAGATATGAGGCTTTTCAGCAGAGATCTGCATCTTCGCTGGTTCCGAGTCCAACACCATCTCCAGGTTTTCAATTTTCACCACTGCTAAGGAATTCATATCCAACTCCCAAGATGAACCCTCTGGTAACGCAATATCCGTCCAGCAGTTTTCTGTTGAAATAAGTGCTTCTGGTCCCATATTTGGATTCTCATCTACCAAGCAAGAGGTGAAATATAATATTACAAAATATTGGAGTACAATTCCCATCCTCCATTACATGTAAAGTAAATATATCTCTAGATAATCCCAAACCAGTATAATAGTCAGGTCTCCAGTGACCTCCATGAAAAATGATATATCTCAAAACCATTTTATTGAATAGCTTTTTTTGCAAGCATGCTTCAAATTAAGTAGAAACAGAGAAAATATGTAATTACCTCTATCCTCACCTGGCACACCGACCGGTCCGTCCCCTTCACATAGAGACCCGGCATCACACCACGGCTCCTCTCCTCCTTCAATCCGGGCCACAACATCAGGTTTCACTATGGAATATCCTGCAAAAGGCAAAGGAGGGATGAATGCAAAGCAGGAATAATCTATAATAACATCAGGACATCACTCAAATACAAGTATATTAATTCATGTTTATAGGTTTGTCTCTTAAAATGAAAGTTCCACCTCCAGGAACAGCTTTAACTCCAGATCAACGGAAAGCAAGAACAGTGAGGGCAGTTTTATTTTCTGTGATTCTTTAAGAGCAAATGATTATTGAAAAGATCTTTACCCAGAGACAGCATACACTCATAGTTCTCCTTCATCACACACTTGTAGAGCTCTCTTTGAGTGGTGCTCAGACTCTTCCACTCACTTTGGGAGAAATAAACGGCCACATCATCGAACGTCGGGGGAACCTGGAGCATGTGGAGAGAGAGTTAAATGGTAAGAGGGGTCCATCCTTGTAATACATACTATAGGCAAAGTAAGCATCACAGCTCTTTATCTAGAGAATGAGACTTTATAGAAAGATGTCTAAATAATTAAAAAGGTTTCTGTTAGATTGTAAGCTCTCCTGCAATCTCTGTCTCCCCATGAATAGCTGAATCAGCTCCTTCAAAGAATTGTGTGAGACCTATTAGCCAATCCCGGTCCTTCCACTGCATTCCATGGGCTGTAACGGTCGCCCCATATTCCACTTCCATCTCTTTTATTGAAGTCCACAAGATGCACACAGAGTTCAGTACACATAGAGACACACACTGCAGGATAGACACACAGAATGCAGGACACAGAGACACAAACTTGAGAAGCAAACAGACAGTATAGGAAGCAGACAGACACAGACAGTATGAGAAGCAGACAGACACACAGACAGTATGAGAAGCAGACAGACAGACAGTATGGGGAGCACAAAAACACCATGAGAAGTAGACACACAGACAGTATGAGAACCAGACAGACACGCAGACAGTATGGGAGGCAGACAGACATACAGACAGTATGGGAAGCAGACAGACAGACAGTATGGGAGGCAGACAGACGTACAGATAGTATGAGAACCAGACAGACAGTATGAGAACCAGGCAGACAGTATGAGAACCAGGCAGACACGCAGACAGTATGGGAGGCAGACAGACAGACAGTATGAGAACCAGACAGACACACAGACAGTATGGGAGGCAGACAGACAGACAGTATGAGAACCAGACAGACACGCAGACAGTATGGGAAGCAGACAGACGGACAGTATGGGAAGCAGACAAACAGTATGGGAGACAGACAGACAGTATGAGAAGCAGACAGACACACAGTATGGGAAGCAGACAGACAGACAAACAGACAGTATGAGAAGCAGACAGACAGACACACAGTATGGGAAGCAGACAGACAGTATGAGAAGCAGACAGACAGACAGTATGGGAAGCAGACAGACAGACAGTATGGGAAGCAGACAGACAGACAGTATGGGAAGCAGACAGACAGTATGGGAGACAGACACACAGACAGTATGAGAAGCAGACAGACAGTATCGGAAGCAGACAGACAGTATGGGAAGCAGACAGACAGTATGGGAAACAGACAGACAGTATGGGAAACAGACAGTATGGGAGACAGACAGACACACAGTATGAGAAGCAGACAGACAGTATCGGAAGCAGACAGACAGACAGTATGGGAAGCAGACAGACAGTATGGGAGACAGACACACAGACAGTATGAGAAACAGACAGACAGTATCGGAAGCAGACAGACAGACAGTATGGGAAGCAGACAGACAGACAGTATGGGAAGCAGACAGATAGACAGTATGAGAAGCAGACAGACAGTATGGGAAGCAGACAGACAGACAGTATGGGAGACAGACAGACAGACAGTATGGGAAGCAGACAGACACATAGTATGAGAAGCAGACAGACAGTATCGGAAGCTGACAGACAGACAGTATGGGAAGCAGACACACAGACAGTATGGGAGACAGACACACAGACAGTATGAGAAGCAGACAGACAGACAGACAGTATGGGAAGCAGACAGACAGACAGACAGTATGGGAGACAGACAGTATGGGAGACAGACAGACAGACAGACAGTATGGGAAGCAGACAGACAGACAGACAGTATGGGAAGCAGACAGACAGACAGACAGTATGGGAGACAGACAGACAGTATGGGAAGCAGACAGACAGACAGACAGTATGGGAAGCAGACAGACAGACAGACAGTAAGGGAGACAGACAGACAGACAGTATGGGAGACAGACAGACAGACAGTATGGGAGACAGACAGTATGGGAGACAGACACAGACAGACAGACAGTATGGGAGACAGACAGACAGACAGTATGGGAGACAGACAGACAGACAGTATGGGAGACAGACAGACAGACAGTATGGGAGACAGACAGACAGACAGTATGGGAGACAGACAGGGCTATAGCTTCCCCCCCCGGGTGTCCGTGCTCTGTAAGTACTACTCCCAGCAGCTGGCTGTGCCCTACCTGTGCCATGCTCCT